GGACGGGTTTCGAGGGAGCCGCGACCGCATCGAAGAGCTGCCCTATTGGGCCGACTTAATGGGACGATGTTCTTCATAGGAAGAGGCCGGCACAACGTCTTCTTCCAGCTGTCTCTTAACGGAAGAGAAGATGAAGTGCGTAGAAGGGAAGAACGCAATCGAGTTACTTATTGGTGGCCGAGTATTTCATGACAAAGCGCTCCGAGTTCGACAAATGAACCGCTGGAACGACGATGTGAGAAAGGACATTCCTCCTCATTAATTTCTCCAAAAAAATTGAGAAAGGAAGACAAAAGGGAAAAGGGTGGACGACTTCCGGTCAAACTTTTTCTATGCGACAACCGAGGTTGCGGAATAAAGACAATCCGACAGAAAAAGGTTTGGTTGGAGGAAAATGATTTTGAACAAAGTTATCGTATTTCTGTCGCCAGTTCTGGCTCGTTATGAGCAGTTTCCGGCGTTGTGTGTGTATGTGCCCAATCATAATGATACAACCGCGAGGATGTCATAAGAATTCAAAACGAGCTCCTTCCTCCTTGCCCCCAGTTGTTGCGGTTTAATGACCTAGACAAATGAATACATGTTTTGAGCCGAGTGAGTTTTTTGTGTGTCCGTATCGGTCACAATTCGAAGTAATGACAGAACAAAAAAAAGAAGAAGAAAATAAAAAAAAGAGACATATTTTTGAGAGACTTTCCGACAATGAAAAATGTGTGGTGGAAAGTTTTTCTTCATTCATTTTTGATGGCTTCTTGTGGTGGTCGTATGAAGCTATTTCAGAAGCACAAAAATTGGCTTGGTGGGCTGGGCCCCTCATCACGAAAAAACGGCTGATAAATAGTGTGCGAGACGTGTAAACGGAAAAGATTTATGCTTCCTCCTGTGTTGACGCTGATATCTATTAGAAATGGTTTCTAAGATGAGAAAATAAGAAAACGACGACTGAAACGTTGCTTTGGCACCCCGGAAAAGATTTGAGGACGACGCAGAGAACCGAGGGTTAACCTTGAAAAGAAAGGTTCATAAATCAAAACGTAATAACGTAGCACATTTTGTCTTTTCTTCACGACTCTATAGCAACTCCAGTAGGTGTGAACGCGAAAGATGACACCGAGTGCCCACGGAAACATAACTCGCCTCAGACCCTCCCCACTCGCTTGTCTACGTTCATATGCGAGCTCATATTCCATCTTAACTCGATTACGAGACGACGAAATTTGATGACCTGTTCTGGGAAATATCACTTTCTACCCAAAAACGTGTGGGACCAAAATTATGTGCGCATGTCGAGCCGTGCTAACAAAATGAGATTTTGGACTACTGTAAAGCGGCGTTTTGAAGAAAAAGTTTCCAAAAGCGAGAAGAAAAGAGATTAGTGAGTCGCCGGAGGGTAAATAGTATGGGAATGCAGCCAAATGATTTGTGTTTGTAGTTGTAAATCCCGACCAGAAACGGAAAAAGGTAAGATTCTGGAGGCGGCCGTCGGAGGCTTTAAACTACTTCCAAAAGACTTATGAGAGAAGGAGTATTAACATAAATCGTTAGAGAGTTTTGTTTCCTTATTCTACTGAATCCACTTGGCGTTAGGAAAGAATATGTTGCATAAAAAACCACGGGACATTTATATTTGCACGACCAATAACAGAACTAGGCGAGCCGGAATCTGAGTCTAGTGCAGCAAATTGCTGGTAAATTCGAATATTTTGTGGATGGGGGGAGCCGCCGACAAGCTCTCGTTCGTTCTGAATGCGCCCCATTCTTTCTCACAATGCGCCTCTAAACACGAACGAGCGGCCAGACCTGGTCCGGATAAAGAAGCAGCAAAATACCTGATTTCTATGCGACCAAATTTCGCAACGATGCAAAAAAAAGTGTGAAATGTTTGAGCTCCCATCGAGCAGGAGCTCTCACCTTTTTTCCGGTGCCCGCTTTTCTGCGGAGTGTGTATTATCAAGAAATAGTGGTCAGGAGAATGAGATTCTAGAGTTTGGTCGCAACTTTTGGCAAGCGTGCGCGGGCCCATTCAAAAAGTACCGAACATCTTGGAAAACATGTGAAGAGACGCCAAAAAAAGAAGCTAATCAAATACTGAAGACAGAAAAAGAACAATACGACAAGAGGAAGTAGAGAGATGGGAAAGACAATGAAATTGTTGCCGCAATAGTTTTAACTCTATCCAAAGCCCTCCTCCCCCATCCTTTCGTTTGGAAGTGTGCCAAACTACCCACAATTGCATTAAATTATGCTCTAAAACTTGAAAAGCCCAACAAACTGCTTTCAGAGTAACCGCTCGCAGATTTCGTCGTCTACGTTTCTTCGTCCGCTCCTGCAGGATACTCCTTACTGCATGCTTCAACAATTTTTCGTCTCCGAATCGTTCAAATTCTTCCTCTCTCTCTATAACATTTATTCCGGCACGCACGTTTTGGGTGTCCCGGTATGAAAACGCAACTTACTTTTCACCCTTTTTTTAAAGAATCCTTTGAAACATGAAAAAAAAACTTACAGAGACTTGTACAGAAGACGAGAAAGCAACCAGGAAGCCAGCTTGGAAGATGGAGACTGAAAGTGAACTGATTTTAGAGTACAACAATATCTTTGAAAGCTCATTTTAAGAACCGAATCTGGGTTTGGAGACAAAGAGAAAGAACAAGCCGGGAGTCTGAATGGTGATTGTGTCCACGTCAACTCATCCGTCAACACAAGAAGCGGACTCAATTCTCCATTCTTCATTTCGGAGAAACATATGCAGAAAGAGGGGGAGAAGATTCACTTTTGGCACAATTCTACTGCCGTTTTGATGAGAAGGCAATGACGAAAAAGAGACGAACGGATTATAAATGAACAAAAGTTTTTTCACTGTTTTCTTTTTGTTATAACATGCGCTTCTATTGCACGTTATTATTGTTCTGGTTTAAAGAGACGACGACATGTTTGTCAACGCTAACTGAGTTAAAAATTCCGAGAAAGAAGAGTTCGGAACTTAGTTCCGCACAACTTCCAGAGCTTAAAGCTGTCTTCTATTCCACTCCGTGAATTGGACAAGCGGAAGAAAAGTACAGTATTTCTGAAAAGTTTACCTGGCCAAAGAGTTGAGTGGGCGCGCAGAGAGAAGAAGTTGGAATTTATGTTAATACTCCATCATTGGAAGTTGCACGTTTATCTTCTTCCGCGAAAATTACGCTTCTTTTCCAAAGATACTATGTCGGATCATCAAAAATTCGAGCGCATCGGGGAATTACATATGCACATTTCTCAATTGGCGTCCATCTCTTTTCCAAACATGTTTATTATCATCTTTGTGTGAGAAATTCAGAATCGAAACACAGACCAGAACAAAATGGAATTCGAAGGGGGGTTCGTTTCGCGAAAAACAGGATCTGAGGATGTGAAAATGAGGAAAATGCATGATTGTACACAAGAAAAGAATGGAAAGAGCACGTATTTGGGAAAAGGGCCCGGGGAGGAATCAAAAGTGCTTTTCAGAAGACCCCCCCCCCCCACGAGTGACACCTTTGAAACCAAAATTGAGGACGACACCATTGTGGGAGACGGGCAGACCGCGATACAACAACATTTCATTACATTTGGATCGGTGACGCGGAATCAAGTTCCCCTCTGGTCCCTCTCAATTTTCAACCATCTTACTAGTGCGAACAACTTCTCTCTTGTTTTGACTGATTTGAAAATTCACACTCATTACGCCAAATGTACTTTCTTACAAGAAAGACCGAAATTATACTAGTGGCGCCTCAGTGAACGCCGCGTTCGCATCACTCAATTACATCATAATTGTGGGAGCCCTGTCAATTCCAGAAACGCCGAATTAGCCAAACAAAGGAGCTGCCGAAAGGAAGCGCCGAATAACATAACACTGAAGCTTTTTTTTGAACTGACTCAAAGCAAGAAATTTGTGGGGACCGTGACCATTTGTGAAAGATTCAAAACCATTTTAAACTTCCGGTTTCTAAAATTCAGATCAGCGTTAGTTTGTCACCGGCACTTGCGAACAACCGCAAAAACAATGCGCAGATTAATTAATTTTTTAGTAGTGGTGCGAAAGCTTCTCTTTATCTTCGGAACGAATCAAAACGTCGAAGAAGAATGGAGATGGTGCATTCGGATTTAATATAATTTGACGATGAACAAAGAATGAAGCACGACAAATTCGAGCAAGTTGGAGGCGTGAAGAGCCACGTACTCGAAGAGCATGTACCTAATGAATATTTGTTTCTAATCATACATCGAACTGAATATTCATGAATCCCGAGTGTTTCAAATGGGAGGCGTCAAAAATGGACAAAAAATGGAGAGTAGGCCTTTCTCAAAAAGTGTGCGGGTAGCGTAAATCTCAGTACGAAGTCACTGATGATGAGTTAAGAAGTTTGGTGGGTCGGTCTTAGCATAATGTTTTTGGAGAGCGACTCGCTGGTGGCACGTCAGAAGTGTGACTATCGCCGACAAAAAGAATAAGTGATCAGTTTTGGTAAGCCCCTTGTTTCTTCCCCCGGAAGAATGCGCACATCTTTGTGTGGGAGAACTGAGGTGTTCGTCAACTGGCTTTTTCTTGCAAGTACTGCAGTACGGTTGTGAACTCTGAGCAGATGCAAAATTTACCTGGCTTTTTTTGAAACTCCTCACTGATGGAAATTTATTTGTAGAACCTGAAAGATAATTCAAAATGATTAGACTTGTAAATTTTTACACTCGATTCCTCCAAAAAAGTGGTGGTTGTCCTAAGATGAAGGAAGTGCATAGAATAGTGGAAAAGGATTCCCTACCAAAAACCTCCGTTATGTGTCTTTCGAAAAACAAAGGAAAGTCTGAAATGTGAGACGAAAGACCTGAAAGCATCGACCATGCTATGTTCTTCTAAAGTTATTTTATATGTGCACTTGTGCCAACTGTTTCCAATCTTTGAGGGACTCAAACCACATAGAATCAAGCGAGTACATTCCGATTGAAACAAATTTTATTGGTTCATAAAAATGACTAAAGTGTTATTCTGTCGACGAACTCTCTCCGTTCTCCTCGTGAACACGTGGCGACACGAATGCGTGCGACTTCCGCCGCAGATAAGCAACAGCCTCCACAAATTCTTCGGGTCGTTGGCCGTACGCTGATCCAGACCTGCAACAAGCAAACGCATCAATCATTTCGCCCCCGACTATACGATTCTAACCCGTTGCTCAAAAGCAATAATAATTTTTTGTCTCCATATAATCTTTTAACCCGCTGGTTCTTTTCATAATCCATTCTTTTTGCAAAATGTACTTACATACGCACGGAGGGTCATAAAAAAGAGCAAGAAGCTCTCAATCACTCCAACCTTTTTCTGGGCTCCATGCCAAAGTTGATCGCTCGTGGTTGTCGGCGACGGAGGGATGAGCGAGGTTCAAATACTGGCGGAGGGTCTACTTCTTTCGGGCAGGAAACTGTTTCCGGTACGGCGGTGTTTATCTCCAGAGTCGTTCCACGGGCGACTTCTAATGGTGGCGTCAAGATATCGAAGATGTTTGTGGATACTTCTTGCAATTGATGTTGCATGATCAAAGAGGGCACAGGTGCACATGAGCTGTTCTTCTTTTCCGTTTTGATCACCTCTTCCGTGTGCTCCAGAGCTTTTCGCAACTAAAACATTGCAGTAATCTCGTTTCCTTAAAGAGAATCAGAGAAACATACATCTGCCAAAGCGACAACTCCAATCAGCCTACCGCAATCAGTGACATACGCCTTGCTTAGTTGAAGCATTGAGAAAATGGAATGGATTTTGTAGAGAGATGTTTGTTTGACCAGTTGAATTGGAGCAGGGTCGATGTCGTTTTCAGTGAGGTCAATCTGCATAGCCAATTGCTCTTCTTCCCATGCTTTTTTCTGAAATTGAAAGATTCAGTAACACTCCGACGATTTTCAATGGATATTACCTCTTCCGCTGATAAATCGTATGGGTTACTCTCCTGCGATCCTTTCTTATAGTTTCCAAACTGCATGTGATTCAGATATTTCTTTGCTTGTTTCATGTAACCTGCAAACGCTAGATCCGTTATCATTCAGAATATAATGCACACTTTTAATGATTGTGTGATGTTCACTCGGACTTCCATGAATTGTTTTGTGCTCGATTCCATGATCGTCAAGAAAATCTAAAGCTCGAAATATATTTTTTTAGATTGATACACATTTACACAACAAACCTTTGGCGGATTTCGCATCCATGTCTTGTAAACTGAACAACGCATTTCGTCTTGATGTTGAATTCCGTCGTTTCAACGTATTTTCCACAGGTGCTGATGGTGACATGTGGACTGGAGGGAAGAAAATTTTAGGTTCCCTCACGTCAGGCAACGGCACAACAAGGAAACGGCTAGAAACTGCGCATGAATTATAGGAACGGACATTTCAAGTATTCACTTTTTCTGTTCTGGCGGTTTCGTCGGCTCGATGACTTCAGAAGCAAGTGCAGCTACAATATCCGATTGCTTTCTCTGCATTGTACTGAAATCCGTCTCCGAATGCACTCTCCTTTTATCTTCTGATAACTAGAATACGGACAATCTGACCATAAAACAGAGTGCAAACGACCACACCTCTTTCTCAGAATCTTTGAAGTGATTATCAATGGTTTCGATGGCCATTCTCACTCTTTTCTCTGCTTCTATTTTTCGAGGCTGGTCTCCGATTTTTGCATTCAACAATATCGTCAAGTATCTTCTCGATACAGTTCCTATCAGCATTTGAGAGTCTGAATGTTCGGTTTTGTAGCTCTCTTCCGTGTTCTGACTCACTTTGCGAGTCAACTACAGGAAACAGACGTAGACCGGTCTCAACCATGTCACGAATATTGTTGTATGTTGTGACCTTGGTGATGAATTTCACAGGGGTCACCATCATGTGTTCTGCATAAGTAGTGTGAACTCTGTGAAGAATACTGAATGTTCGGATCATGAGTTTTTGTACGAACAGATTATTGGAAGGTGGAATGTCTGGAAGGAAAGGCAGATGCTTGATTTTGATGATGGTGTCAAAGAATGAGGGCTGAAGGTAGGCACAAACTGCATTCGACAGCATCACAGATATCTGAATCTCTTTTTATTTTTGTAGAAAACCAGTATAGCATTACCATAACGGGCAAGATAAAGTGAAGTTGACCGGTGATTTCAAAAATCATAACGGAAACCGAGACGGTGTGAGTTACTGAAGCGGAGAATGCAGCGGCACCGACAACTGCGTAGATTCCTGGCACAAATTCATAGGTACCTTCAAACGCCAAACCAAGAATCTGAACATTATACTTTTAATGTTTTCTTCTCATGAATTTCCCAGTACCTCTCCATACAGTCGACCAATAGCGGCGCCTAGCACGAAAACCGGTAGGAAAACTCCGGTTGGAACGGGAAGAGTGAAACTGATAATCGAAAAGATGAACTGAATAGAAAATAGGTTTACAAGTGATCAAACCCGTTGAACTCACGTGAACAATAACAAATAGGAACAAGAGTAGCATAATGTTTCCTCTATTCAGCCAGTGCGAATAGATTTCGGCTCCACAAACTAGGTCGTCACTGGTTTTTGCCAAGAACGAACAGTTTGCAAAGAAATCGCGAAGATTTAAACCAAATTTTATCTAATAGGACTTGATGATTTCCCGTAACTTTCCATTTTTGCTTACCCTCCCGGTGAAAAACATTCCAAGACCATGCGGGTATGAAACAACTGAAAAGATACAGGAAATGACGATTGGGTAGACGATCCAACTGAACTTTTCATTATCGATTAACTTCTGATTACTTTTATGAATAAAATCTTACTGTCTTTGGAAAATCATCTTTGCAAATCGGTTATTTCTGAGAAAAAGAACAATTGTTCTATAAATTGATATGTAACCAGCGCCTAAAATCCCGCAGAAAAGACCGAGCAACGCAAAAAGCGGGAGTTCGTTGACGGAAAATGAATCCGGACGGAAACTTGTTTGGTAGAATGCATTGACAGTGACTGCAAAGTTCCAAGTGTTTCAAATTTCAAAATTCCTACTGAAACCTTCAGTTTCTGCTACGTATCCTCTCAATATACGGATAGTGGTGGCTCCGCAACAAGCAGCGAAAAAACCTCGCCAGTAGCTCCTCACGGAAAAGTACATGGTCGTTACTTCAATGGAAAAGAGCACGCCTCCAACGGGAGAACTGAAAGTGCAAGCGACTCCGACCGCACATGCAGCAGCTAAACATTCCATTCTTCTGCTCTCCTCACGATACGCAGAATTGAATTTTGCTGCTAGAAGGCACATTTGGTTGGCCACCACGGACGCAATGTGCACGAACGGACCCTCAAATTATTAGTTCTATCAAATAATCAACACAAAATAGCAATACCATTTTTCCGATAGGAACTCCACTTCCCAATGCCATAGCGATACCAAATATTTTGGAGACTAGCGTTCGAAATGTAAGATAATCCACCAGAATCACTCCTCGAATAATCGTTTTCATTTCAGGTATTCCGGATCCTGCAACTTTATCTATTTACAGAAAATAATTAGAAATTTTTGAGACCAATAGCCTGTGGAGCAATGTAATGGACCAAGGTGGCTGAAGCCGCGACCAGGCCGATAGTGTAACTGCACCATCCGAGCAACCCACACCCCCACAGAAAAAATGACTGATCTGAACCGTATAAATGATAGATTGTCACCGTCTTTCGTTGAACTGTAGAAGAACTGTGAGTACAATTAAGAGACGGGGCTATTACGTTCTTGAAAAAAGAAAACCATCATATCGACTGCAATTGAAATGAATGCGACTGCAATACCGAGCAATGCAAGAAACATCCAATCCGACAGCAAGTTAGATAATGATATCAGTTTAGCCTCTTCAAACAGTTTTCGTTTCGATTCTCATTACTACTTCTTGTTATTATTACTCAGTTTTGCCAATTCCATCCGCAGCCATAGCGACCTGTTCTTCCGAAACTTTGGAAATTCGAAATCGTTTTCCAAAGTGAAAGTGACTTTACGATCCGAATGATTTGATCCATTCTCAAGCCCATTCAAACAATTTGTGCTACTCTGCAATTAAAGATTAAAGAGGCCGTAAAGGATGAGTTTTCACTCACTTTCACCGGGTCTTGTTTAATGTCGATAATCATCTCTTTCAGACTTCGGTACTGTTTATGGTTGAAACTGGTTGTTCTGATGAGTGCACTTCCTAAGGCCAGATGATTATCTTTCGAGGAAACAATGACTCACTGGAAGACTGCTTTCGGATCACTGGAATCACAAATAAGCGGTCTTCGTCGGATTCTTCGTCGTCGGCTTGCAGCTCCGTCGAACCTAGACACTCGTGCTCCGAATCGCTCGCTCCACTGACAAACGAAGTTTTCTGCTGTTGGTACGGCGCACCGTTCATACGAGAATTGCAACAAATAGACGAGCCGAGGTTTTTTTTCGAATACTGTTAACCAAAAGACGACGCGCGAATTGTTTCAACTGTTTTCCCTTGCGTTGGTAACCGTGACCAGATTATGCAAAGTTGCCGGTGACTTTGTCACCGAGTGGAACCGTGTGATGTCAGCTCCGTGCGGTCTTTCCATTCGGTTTGAAACTATTTGATCAGTTACGATCTTTGTGCTCTACCTCATCCGATTGTCCTGTTCGCAAACAGAAAAAACTTTGGTTTCAGTTCTTCAGAACGTGCCTTCTTCAATCACATTGTAAATGTAACTTTAATAACTTTGCAGTTTCACTTTCCAGTGAAAGTTTCTTCCCACTCAATGTGTTCACGTTTTCCCCCGTGAAAGTATCAATTTAAACTTCTATTTCTGGAATCTGAACCGGTTTCTTTGTGCAAACCGAGCGTTTCGTTGGTTGTTAACTGACTGTACTTTTTAAAATTCAAATCTTAAAAACTATTGTGAGACCAGGTAAATACGGTTTATTATTGGAATATTTGGAAGAATATCGTGATCACTCTTTCCGTCAGTTATATACATACAGACACAATATCGGATAGATTATTCATTTCAGTTGGTCAATTTTCGAACGACTTTGACGACTTTGACGACGCAGCAGTTGTCCGCTTTCAGGAAGCAGTTATCCCACTTGAGGAAGCAGTGCTCCGACGTTGAAACACATTTGGTGGCACTAAAGAAAGATTTTCTTAAAAATTCGTAGTATGAAGGTCTTATCCATCAGAATACTTACTTGAGCTTCTGAAGGACGTCAGTTTCCTGTTCTTCCTCCTTCTCTTTCAGCACTTCCTTCTCCTCAGTCTCCGCATTTTTCGCGTTCATCGCCACAGCTTCCTTGGCTTCCTTGTATTTTTCCAGTTCGGACAATTCTTTGAGAGTGTTGAGGTCTTTGCTCGAGACTCCAGTTTGAAGCTTCATGGTTTGTTCTGAAAGCAGAGAGAATTAGTTTGAACGACAAGTAAGGCATTTGACGAGGTTTCCCCCTTCACTCGCCTTTTATAGAAGAAGCTGCCGGCGGCGGGCAGAAAGACAGAAACCGGTTGGTTATTGGAGAAGATTCGGAGGGAGGACGATACAAAGTGGGTACGTTTGCGATGAATCACAAACGAAACTGTAGACGACGTCATATGATTTCCAGGTGGCGGAAAAGCCGCCGCCTAATCTGCCTAGCCTGATCTGTTCGTCGTCGGTGGAAGCTCATGTCTAATTCGAGATGACACGTTCCGAGCTGGTGTTCGTCCTTCACGAACCGGCCGGCTAATGCGAGGTGGTCTGTCAAAGTTCAGTGACATCACTAGGGTCACTGTCTGTTCTTGCATGCGTGCTTGCTTGATCCCGAAAGAATTCGAACAAGCTTTGATAAGCCGCCGGTCATCTGTATTCTGCGAAAATGCAAACGAGTGTCCGCCATCTTTTAATAGATGTTTCCCGATACGAAAACTGATTTGCGTCTTCCAACTTTATTCAGAATGCGTTCGCCGCCATAACATTTAGCGCAAAAGGGCCGAAAACTTTTGTGACAAAGGAAAGGGAGGGAGCAATCATGAATAGAAAGATCAGAAGGTTTTTTGGGGGTTTTTTTTTGGGTTCATTTACAGTAGTTCCGTAGAACGGTTACCGCATTCGCTCTAATGGAAAAATTCGCCTTTTTTTCCATCGGAGCAGCTCTACCAATAGACAGAAAATGCGGTGTTTTGAGACATGGGGGGTAAATTGGGACATGGAAAAATGAGGAGAAAAGAAAAGAGAACAAAGGAATCAAATGGAGAACAAGAAAAACAGTAAAACACAATGAAATTGGGGAAATGTTGACAAACAAGGAGTAAATGTGGTGAGAATCTATCCAAGCCCCGCTGTGAATTTGGAAAGAAACAAAAGTACAATTATTGTTGTGTGCATTTGGGGGATGAGGAACCGTTGATTACAAGTTACAGACAGGCCGTTTCAGATTAAAATGAATGATACGGAAAATGATGAATGATGCAGACGAAAATAATAATAAAAATTGAATTTAAGCCGGGGAAAAAGTCATGGCCTAATGCGGAGTACTCATGATTCCTTATTCTTTCTAACACATTTTTTCAAGTCGTCCAGTTTGCCATAAATGCTAGAAGATTGAATGGAAACCATCAGCAACATCTGATGGATGTTCGAGAAGGTTGCCCTCTAGCGGCAGCTCCCGAGGTTAATCGGAATAACCGGATCATTAGAAAAAGAGCGGAAGAAGAATTGGAAACGAGCGAAGGCACTGAGTTTCAGGTGATCAGACTGGAAATCAGATATGACTTTGAACGGCTTGAAGAGCAGAATCTTCGGTATTGAGTGCAGGAAGTTAAGGGGGAATGAACCGGAGAGGACGAAGTTGAAAGACGGCGATTTGACAGTTCTGAAAAGAAACAATGTTTTTAAAGCACAAAGCACAGACTATTTTACCATTTAGAACGTTTAATCGACTTCTCCCACATGGAACTCTCTGTGTTGCTTCAGTTTCAACGCCGTTTTGTCCGTCCATTGGCCGAGGGTGTCCGGAGCAGTCAAGAAGTCCTTGCAGGAAGAGCTCTTGTTATGTCGGAACCACTCGAAGAACTGCTTGATGATCTCTTTCAGATCCGGAACGGTCATTGGATTCACACGGAGGTCCTCTTTGTCGTCGAAGTAAAGGAACCAGAGTTCGGTATGAGGTTTCGAGTTCGCCAGTTGCAACTTCACAGATTCCAACAGACTATTGCTCTGCTCGATTGTGACGCCCTCCGGCAGAATGCGATTGGGGAATTCGAGCCACGCGCATCGGCCGATCTCAAATAGAGTGAATTGTGATCAATTAAGCGCTCCTGATTCTGTACCTCAGTGCGAACTTCGGCATGTTCGCACATTTTCGAATTGGCACGCTCTTGTCTTCCGCATAGAGCTCTGAGCATGACCCATCCGATGACGTAGTAGAATCCCGGGCCCTGAAAAGACCAGTTATTGATTAGCAAGCTCTTTTTCTATCAACCTTCTTCGCGAATGGCACGCACGCCATCTCAAAGAGCAGTTCGACTGGAGACAGTTCCCCTTGGTAGTTCACAAAGTTTTCGCAGCTGGCCTGAAAAGATGCTCAATAACTCAATGTACTGCATTAGCAGACGCTCACCAGGCTGTCGACGTTGAAAAGGTACTTAACTTCAGGAACCATCGCCTCGAACAGTCCGGTCGGATCTCCAAACTGAAAAAACTGGGATGATACTGAAATCTTACTTCGGAAGTTACCTTCACTGGTCTCTTGCGTGAATATCCGGGGACCTCCTCGAACACCGGCTCTGGCAAGCGATTCGGTGCAGGATTCGTCGGCCTGTTGCGTCGAACTCTCGCAGATTCCGGCAGGCCGTCCAAGAAAGCTCGACGGAAGATCTCAAGTTCCTCTGGGCTGCAATTCGATATTATCGGCTTGATGCCGTTGCACGATCCGTCCGGGGCCAGACCGCGGAGTAGAGGAACAATTCGTTCGTTCACTATTTTGACTTCAACTGGTTTTCCGTCCGCCTCCAGGACAGGATTGTCTCTGAGCTTCTCCCCCATTCCTCCGGCACTTCCAGACCGATTGCCCAAGTCGCTCTGCAAATGAGATAATGAAAGGAAGACATCGAGAAGAAATCAGAACAAGAGAGAAAAAAGGGACGGGCGACCTTTGTGTCGGTCAGATGAGGAATGAGGCTTGAAGGCGGAGTCACTGTTAGTTTGGCAGCAACACCATGTTTTTGTTTTTGACGAACTTTCCGGAGAGCGCGCACCGTCAACAACAACAGAATACCGTGACCGTTCTCTAGAAATATCTCACTCGGAAAACAGAAATTGTTTGATCAGCGTCAGGCGACGGCAGCGTTTCCTTTGTCTCGAGGCGAAAGGGCAACAACAATGACTCGTATTCGAGCGCCCGACACATTCTCACAACAGGACCATTAAAAAGACTGTGCACGTGACGGCAGACACCGACGGCACGACGGTTCGGCCGGACGCTGACGAACACGGAAAACACGCACCTCTCCCATACTATTTCCAAAACTCTGCCGTCTGTGCTAGCTGCCTGCCAGCGTCCGGGGTGACACCGCCAGACACGCGGAGGAATGGTCAAAGAGGGCTCTCGGTGCGTTGTGAGCGAGCAGAAGGACAGTATGAGTGCGCATTGAGCGGACGATGTGGGCGCGCATTGATTTTTGCATAGAGGGGGCACAAGAGAAATGAGCACCTGCAAAAAATGGAGAGCGAAGTTGGGCAGGTGAATGCCGGGATAAAGCGCATATTTCTTAATAAAGTGAACGAGTGAATGTTGCTGAAAGAAAAGCAAAATTTGAACGGTATTATGGAAAAAAGTGGACAAACGAGTTCCGCGCAATATTGAGTTTTTGATGGATTACAATTCAGATGCGAAGATCGCCGAGCTGATAGCAAATATTGAGGAGTTGTCGGCGGAATGGAAACGAAGAATCAAAGAAGTGTCAAGAAGCTCGAGGACTGTGCTCCGTTCAGATCCTCCCATTTTTGCACAAAATTTGACAATAAAAACCATCCGCTGTCCTTCTTGAAAAATAGCCAAAGCAGCCCGAGCTTTGTTGAACACTTTCCGTGTCCGTTCCCTCCGTAAGTCACGCCGGCCTTTTGCCCAGTCCGGGTTTGGCCCTCGGGTAGAATAACTTTTGATGTCCTATTTTTTTAGTTAATTACAAAACAAACAGATTCAGGGTATGGACCCAATTCGGTGAGCGTTTCGAATATATTTGTGTGTCTAATGGATATTGTTGATTAATTGCGAACCAGACACAAGTTGTTGATCACATGACGGCTGCTCACTGTTTTTATTTAACCGAACTGGAAGCGGAGTGGAAAACAGAAATTATGTGGGAAAATCTGAAAGCATCTGAGAGGGAGAACTGGAGAAACCCTGCAATTACAAAATGAATCTGGAAAATTGGTTGTTAACTTGAGAAATGTAATGAGCAAACTCAAAGAACATAAAACCAATAGCAATAATATTTCATGAGTTCTTCCGGTAAATTATGTCGTATGATAACAGCTGTTTCTTCCCGTAAACTAATCCCATCAAAGTTATCGCAGTTTTCTCTGTTTTTTCTGCACCCGAAACAAAAAACCAATTCATTGTGCGAGACGACAAAGCGCCAAGAAGCTCGCGTTTCAAATGCCACTAATATACACACGCTTCTCATTTTCTCAGATATACAGAGCTGCCGGTGAGCATATGTGCCGTTGCAAGCAAACAGCTGTGTTCTTCAAAATGCCTCATCTTCATTTCGCAAGCCGACTCGATCCGAAACGAACAAAAACTGCTGTCGTTGCTGAATTATTACCCTTTCGGTGTATTTATTAGTGACGCTCTACAATCGCTCTGGTTCTTAGGTCATTTGATTCCTGGTTTCTCAACTGAGCTCACTTGGCTGCTCTCTAACGCAAAACACATGTTATCAACGCTTTTCGGTTTCCGGTAGAGAAAGAGAGATCGAATCAGAGGCCAGTATCTTTTCGCTCAAGAGTTCTCCTCATTGGGTCCAGTTTTGAACCTCTACTTATTTACTGATTTTGCCACCATCATCTATTTTATGTTGCAGGATATCTCAGCTATCCCAAGGAGATGCGATGTTCTTCGGTGTCGGCTAGTCTTCTCTTCATTTCTAGTTTGTTTTCAATTCCCAATGTTTTCACTTACTCTGCACATATCGAAGATCCATCAAGAATTGGTTTGTTTTTCACCCAAGTCTACATAATTTGAAGACAATTTTTGCAGAGCTTGACATGTTTGACTGGACCGCCGGTCTCCGGGTAGCCTATTGCGTCGACTCGCCTCTTCCCGATCTCATTTCTCCTTTCCGCCGTACAATGGCTAAAGTTGTGACGAAGTATTGCCAGAATGCAACTGCTTGCAATCTGAGAAGCTCGTTAGTTGGACACCGATTGACAGAAAATCAATGGGAAACTTTTATTTTTCAGATTAGTGTTTGGGCCTGAGCAAATCGTGATTCTGGAAGGATTTCCGAGAAGAGAATCACTGACCATTCAGATTAAGTTTTTCATATTATTACCGCATTCGTCGAATCCAAATTTGCGTCAACAGAGACCCTTTCTACCGAGACAAGTGCTTTCTGGTGGGAGCAGAACCATAGAGATCTGTGAATTCGAGAAAGTTACAGATATTCTGAGAAAACATCATCAGGAAATAGCAAACCGATTGGGATGGCATATACTTGCATATGAAAGGTGAAACATTAAAGGACCAGGGAACCCAAAAATTTTTTTATGTTTTTGTGAAATGTTTTTGTGACTGTTTGAATTGTCTCTTATTGCCTCATACACTGGTGAAATGCTGCCTCTCAAAAACGCCAATGAACGAAACGGCATGCAGTTGAAGTTGTGGCCGTGGCCTAGCGCCAATGACCGAAAAAAATATAAAAAAATAAATGCGCTTCTCGGCCATTTTTATTTTTTTCCGCTTTTTACCGGTTTTTTTCCAAAAAAATTCACGGTTTCTCCCATTTTGGCACTTCATATCGACTGAATGAAAACAATTTTTTAGCAGTGAAAAAATAAGTAAGTGCCGAACAAATGTCAATCAACTGAAAAATGGGAGAAACCGTGAATTTTTGGAAAAAAACCGTTAAAAAAGCGGAAAAAATAAAATGGCCGAGAAGCGCATTTATTTTTATATATTTTTCGGCCATTGGCGCTAGGCCACGGCCACAACTTCAACTGCATGCCGTTTCGTTCATTGGCATTTGAGAGGCAGCATTTCACCAGTGTATGAGGCAATAAGAGACAATTCAAACAGTCACAAAAACATTTCACAAAAACATAAAAAAATTTTTGGGTTCCCTGGTCCTTTAAATTGGTTGTAAAAAAAAAACAAATTTTTAGGTATCCTCGGTTTGACAGTATGACAGAGTTCATGAACATTGCCATCATTCCCATAGTTATCGTTTCTCTACCTCTTATGGTTTTTCTAGCTTATTGGGTATCAACCCTTCGGTTTGTTTCCTCAAAACTTTTCCGGTTCATTTTTAAGTTTTTAGACCGAATTCCGGATCAGACACCTGGATGGTTACCGGTTCAGCCGGAGGAAAGAATGCAGCGCTTCGGAGGACAATGGAGATAATCGCGGAACAGAACGAAGAATACGAACGTCAGCAGAGATACGCATTAACGAAACATGTTGTGGCCACGAGCGGACACGAGGGCATCACCGCAACCGGAGAGTTATTGCTGAATGTGGCGAGGTCCGTGACAAAACGGATCTATTTGTGAAGTCCGTCATTTCCAGATTGTCCATGGCCTCTTCTCAACCTCCGATGTCCAGTTCTTCGGCCCAGTCGCCCACAATCTTTATCCAACCAGGCAGTTCCAGTTCCTCCTCTGCTCCTCGAGCATCCATAGCATCACTACACGGAAAAGAGCTGCTTCACGTCAAGCCCAGGTATACCAATTGATAAAACGGATACGTCCGGCGGGTTCAACTCTTTCTCTCATACATCATCTCTGACAACGCATTTGTTTTATGAACACCCTCCCGCAGTGACGGCGAAATTTTTACACTTTCAATCACTTTTTACGCGGAGAAATGAGAAACGGCCGATCAGACTGATGAGAGAGAGAGAGAGAGAGAAAGTGATTCGTAAGAAGGCATGTCAAGAGAAAAGTGCAAAGGTGATTCGCAACTTTGACACTGGATACTTCTCAATGACATGGCTTTCTTTCTCTCAGACTTATCATTGGGGTTAGGTAACCAGTCGGCATATTGCGGTCATTGTCATTCATTTCTTAATCAGTTTACAGACATTCGCGTCGTCCTTCTTCTGTGGAGGAAATCAAAAAAGCGAGACGCATGCGCGGTCATCGAAAGTCGGAATCCAAGCAGTGGAAGTCGGGAAGTCTGATGTTGGCCGGATTCCGAAGAACATAATTAGAATTCCAAATGATAGGACTCTTTATCATTGCACAATTTCTCATGATTTCTTGTTTCAGATCATCAAATTATTTTACATACATTATTACTTGTTGGTTGTTTTTTGATTATTAGTTCTTCTTGTAGCAGGAAGCAACGAGAATGTTGATCTCCTCGCAAGTAGCTCCCGGAACGTACATTTTAGCGAAAGAGCAGTTGTTCTGAACCCATCCGAGTACGTCCTTGACTCCGTACACCTTCGAGTAGTGCTCAACCTGTCAAGCGCTTCAATTGAAAACAGAAAGGGGTAGAATTTGTTTCTATACCTGCTTGCAATGTTCTGGAGAGAGAATCAGTGGTCTTCCTTTGGCATCTCTCTGAACATCGGAGACTGATGGCAGCGTGGTGGTAACAATCTTTTGGGTCTTCACCTGAAACGCTTGATACTTATAATAATAGTTTGGAAAGTTAACTACTTTTCTCGCAAGTGGCATTTCAATGCTTTCGGTAGATCGGAAGTTTTCATTCTTACGGTTCACCTTCTCCTCTTCAGCCTTCCATGGGTACTTCGAAGCTGGGGTCCTCTGAATATATTGTCGGTTATTCGATGAACACTTGCAAACTGTTTACCTTCTTTGGAACAATCTGAATCTCCTCATCGTCGGACACTTCGACACACTTGTACTTCTTTGTCTTGAATGGATTGGCAGCCTTGCTATAGGCCTCAGCGGCGACGAGAACGCACACCAACACAAGAAGGTACTTCATGCCGATTGTGAATAAGCACTGTCTCGGGAGAGCTTCTGATGCAGAAGGCGGAGACTGGCTTGTGGATGACCTACATTTATAAGCCGTCTTCTTCGTGAGGCGTTTCTTTTGTTAAAAACGTGTTGCAACTGGATACGGCGGGTTGGTCAGGGAGGCAAGCGAAAGGGACACCTTATCACCGGCGGAGAACTGTTTTTGCTAGTTGATTAGCGCTGGCGCTAGCTGGGGCAAGTCGAGAACAACAGATGAGAGATAGAAAACGATTGGCCGGATTCCTCCTTTCACCCGCAGCGGTCTCGGTTGGCAATTAAGGATTACGAAAATTCTGCTTGATGTGAAATAATCGAGACGAAACCTGTTGGAAGCCGCCATATTTTCTTTTTGTCTCCAATCGTCTCCGGGACAAGTTATGAGATTTCCATGGATCGTCTGAATTTCGCATATTTATGTTTATGACAGTAGGGAGGAATAGAAGACACAAAAAGCAGTTCAACTGATTTTAAGGATGAAGATACAGTAGATGTTTCTAGAATATGAGAAATAGAGAAGAAACAAAGATACAAGAGCTATCCTCACATAACACACAGTCACAGAAACTTGCTGAAAATTGAGGTGGCTGAAAGTTTCGCCGTTTTGTACGTTTTCAGTTGTTCACTCCCACTACCTGATCTTCCGTGACTCACCAGCAGTCACATTTTCTGCCGTCCGAGTATTTTGTTTAGACTCTGTTTGCCAGACTCAACAAACAGTAACTCTAAAATTTTGGCCGTGCACTGTGCTCATCAACTGTGACTCACAGTCGTGTTTTGTGGCTGCCGTAGTGTAATTTATCACATGGATTGATGAAGAATTGTCAAAAATCCGGCTCATTTTTGAAAGACAAACTTTGAAACGTTTGTTTTATTCGTTGCGGGTTTCAAAGTTTGATTACCTGGAACAATTTCGATTTTTCTCTCTTCTCTGATGGTGAGAAACGAATTCTTTGAGTGCACGGAATACCTTCAACTCGTGCCTGTTTATTGATATCAATGTTATTGGTATTGAGCGGTAATGTTTGCATTTCCAACATGTATTCTATGTGGAACCGAACGTCATTCTTCCCTTTCAAAAGGCTCATCGATTCTTTCCATTTTGGTTTTCTTTTTTGTTTTTCCATAGAAAAAACTTGATACTTGGCACTTAGCCAATGAATTTGAAAGACCGCATGGGTTTGTTTCCATCTTCATCCCTCCATGTTTGTTTTACTTACCTCCCTCATTTCGTTTTTGTTTGCATTATCCAGATGTCATCAGCAGTTTGCATTCGAGTGCCCTTCCCCGAAATTCACAGCAATATTTCCGTTTGGCAATACATAGCAACGCTTTGCAATTTTGGAATAAAATTTTGAAATGATGAGTTCTACAAATGCTTATCAGTGTTTGGTTTGTACGCCTTCTGTTTCCCGACCTGAGAATGTCAAATCATGTGACCTATTATTTTCCAATGACTCAACCTCAAACTTTTGATTAACTATATCGTAGCACTGTCATACTTTATACTCTTTCAATTGGCTTCAATGATCTATTTCGTCACGCGTCAATAAACGTTATCAGTGCTTGAAAATAAGTACGCCTCGATTCACGAGAAACTATGCAAAACGTATTAGCTATGAGTCGGGAACACTCCTTTTCTCGAAGGCAGACACTCAAACTGTTCTGTTGCGCAAATCAGAAAGTCCGATCACTTTTTCGTTCCCTCTTTTCCCCCATTCCAAGTAAGAAATCTTATTTGAGAGCGTTGTGCCACCAGCACGTTACCGCCGTGCTGTTTGCGGTGGTATTTACCCGACGATACGGCTCGCGGGGTTCGAGACGGTTTCATTCGCTTCGTGTCATTGTTTCCTCCGTCATTATCAATGTTTCTCTCGGATTAACACCGTACTTTCAGGCAAAATGAACTTTGAGTTTATGCGGACGCTGCACGGTTTCATCAATTTCATCCAGGTCCTATTCGGCTTTGCGGCTCTTTTCGCGTGCTCTTTCATTTGGAGGGACACTGATTTGTACTTCCAGTTCATATACAGAGTGAGCAATTTTGTTCGTTATGTTCTGTAATGTTCATATTTCAGGGGTATGGCTGGCAAAGTTTGATTCTGGCGATTCTGTTCTTCACTTGGATTTTCGCTGTGATGGTGTTCCTCTCCAACTTGTTCGACAAGGATGTCGTTGGAACAATCGGAAAAATGAAGGTGAGAATTTTATTCTGCAAAACTATGAGCAAGATGTTATTTCTTCTCATCTCTCAATAACTTTCAGCTGCTCATCCTCTACGTCATCTGCCTTGCCTGCCTGATCATCTCTGCTTCTCTGGAATCGTGGTATATATCGCGGTCAGCACACGACGGAAAACATCCGGACACCGTCTACCATCCGCGTTTTATTGCGGTCACTGTGAGTACATGCCAGAGAACATGCGCACGAATCATTTTCTAATTTTCAGGTCTTCAATTGGCTTCTCGTTGTGTCGTACATTGTGCTCATATTAGTCACCTTTTTCTTCGTCTAACTCCAACAATCGCATTTATATTTCAATACCAATTCGAACATAATGCAACACCTTCCCAATCTCAAATCTCCGTCATGCAATGTTTTTGAATAAAGCAACAAAACAGAGATAATCACTTCAATTTCCGAAAAGTTTGCAGCCGTCTACTGAATATCGGGATATTCCGCTTCTGACTCATTACATCTTGGTGTGTGAGTGTTTTTTTGTCAAAAATGTGCATTACGAAATGGAAAACAGCTTCTTAGAGAGATTAAAACGAAAACATTGCAAACAAGCGTTTCAATGTTTTATTTTTTGCTCTCTGTGGTCCAATCATTCCCCGAGGTAAAATTCTTCACCATTTATCAGGACGTCTTCTTGACTCTGCCTTTTTTGCCTATCCGTCTTGCCAAAAAACGAAAAATACTTGCAAGCAGCTGACTGATTCTTTGACCGTTTCAGCTCACGGGATTATTGACAAAATCCCAAAACCCTCGGATTCTCGATAAGCATTTGGTTACTTTTTAAAAGTGCAACTCCCGAAAAGCGCCTCAAATCCAGATGACGAAAAAAGGCATAAGAGAGGCGTGACGGATACGTCAGAGTTCGCCAAAATTAGTCGGTGTGGTTGATAGTCAGGCAACGTTTGCGGAAAGCGGACGGCGCAGATATGCACGACTCACTCTACTAATCTCGTAATCCGTTGGCCAAGAAAAGCACGAGAATCTTGATTGATTTCCATCAGTCTATTGAAAATACCTCTTGAGAGTATCTCCTTCTTCTTCTTCTTCTTCGTTCGCTCGTTTTACATGATAAACTCGGCCGCCTAAAGAGTTGTCGAACATAAATGAGTTGCTGCCCATCCCCATTACTTATTCATGCTAATCGAGTGCTTTAAAGCTACTCCGTCCTCATTTCTTATTAACGTCTTGTGCCCTTCCACACACTGAAAACATTCTCAATTCTATCCGAATCATTGTTTTAGGGACAGAATGGACAGCCCAAAGACTCCCCGCAGTCCAAAAGTTCTCTCCCATCATAACTCGATGAAAAGTTTGCGGTCGGTGCGCAGCCAGAAGAGCATGCGCTCGCTCAAAAGTCAAAAAAGTACGCAGAGCATTCGGATATTCAACCATCACCATGACACGTATCAGACCTGCTTTGGATTCATGCATGTTAAGGTGAGCTGTGACCATTGAACTTCTAATGTACACTTGTTTTTCAGATTGCAACCTGCTCAATTGGCTTCTTTGCCCTTCTGGGAGTTTGTTTGTCCTTGATGTACTGTGTTTTCACGTCACAAGAGGTAATTTTCAACATTAAAGCATACCCTTTCATCGAGTTTTTATTCAGCAAAGACGTCCGAACATGAAACTCTACGCAATTCCGATGATAATAGTCATCATAGCCCTACTTTACATGTTCGTGGGCATTTTGCAGCAGAAAGCACATTTACTGTTTGCATTTATTGCATTGCAGGTGATTCTTAAACCTATTCCAGTTCAGAGATCACAAATGAGCATTGCAGATTTCCATTGTGTTCGGAATCGCTATCCTTATCGTCATTATTCTGATATCCGTGGCATGCAACACAACATTCATCCTTCGATTTTTTGTGGACACCTCGCTCTCTCAATCGGAATACAGTGAGTGAATGCATTTCTATCAAAAGAAAGTGAGAAACAGAATAATTTCAGCTAAAACAGCACTCACAGCCCTGGTCGGATTGTCCTTCCAATTAGGAATACACATTTGGGCTCTGCGAGCAGTTTGCGGTTGCTATCGCTACTTCACAGACATCCACAAGTTTGACGTGCGACAAGCCCAAGCAAACTATGTCTGAGTCTGAATCATGTGAAGCCCGTATGTACTAATTGACCGCCCACGTGTTTATCATTAAGTTATTGTATATCTACCAAAATTCATTGAACAATGTCGATTAAAATTATTCAGTTCGGACAAAATGTACCCGCTAAAAGCTTGGAATGGAAGTTATTTACAGATAAAAAGAATCTATGATGTTATTTGCAGCACGTAGTGATAGTGAGCGTGTATAGGGAATCGTACGTATTCCGTTCCAAAGATGTCCCTCCAGCCTTTCCCATCACGATCAACTGCTGACCATATCGGTCCGTGTCCTGAAAAAGTTGAAAGTTCGCAAAGGAAATTGGATTGTGACATCAGAACGCTAAAGTCTTATCAGTGGTCTAGTTTACGGTCTTGCTTGATTATTTTCCGGTGAAATGACGTATTACGAACAAAGTTTCCACAGAAAGCTCAATTCTTGTTTCTGAGAATGTGACCTCTCAAAAAAGGATATGCTAATCCTTTTCAATCTCTTCTTTCTTCCTCTGCCCTATCTTCTATCAACGATTATTTGAAGGCACAAAAATAGACCCTTCAACACAATGATTCCTGATTCTATGTCCTCACCTTGGGATTAACATCGGTCTGGACTGACAGTTTGATGAGATCTTCGGTGAATCCGCTTGGACAAGATGATCCCATTTTCAAAACACACATTTGATCGTCAGTCCAAGCTGTAATTAATCGGATTTCCAAAGATTTTCAAGCTTCTGTTTACATTTACTGAATGACGATGTAAGCTGATCGGCCATTTGATGCGGCCTCTTTGAGTCAGATGGTATAATCGGGAGAGATTGGGACAGATGGAAAACTACGAAGAATATGAAAATGTTAGCAGAATAACGGACCATTTCAACAATCTGGAATGAAAAATATCAGCGAATCGTTTATATTTATACAGAGAAACAATTGGACGCGATACAAAGAATAGCTGGTTCAATTTCTGTCAGCTGTTTACATACTGAGATTCTCGTCAGAAAGACAACTTTTGAATATAAAACGGCAAATCAGATGTTGAGGGAACTATTGGTTAATCCGGGTGCATGACATGATCGATAAGAAACGAGGAGCAGTCAATCATTGCATTATCAAAACGCGCTTCTCTTGAATATCAGCAATCACATCAGGTTGACCGGTCACGAAAAAACGGAGGTAGAATAAATATTCGTCCACAGTACCATCATATGTGCCGATGACATTCGTGTTAACACTTTTATGTGGCTGAAAACTGGCACAACAGTAAAACCTTTTTCTTGAAGAGAAATCACACGGCGGTGAATCATAATGTTTCAATGATTCTCGTTTCCGGTGAGTCAGAATAGGAGCCAGGTTAAATTTAGACAAGGTTTTTTCAAACAATCAGTGAGTACTAAACTCTGAACTTTTTCTCCTTGCCACCATGCGTACAGAGCCTATCATATTTGTCTTTCGTACTAAATATTTGATCCTATCAAACAGGTATGTACAAATTTCGATTAACATTTATTGTAAAAAAGGGAAAAAACTGTGAATAGAATCAAACATTGAACGGATTGAGAGAGAAAAAGGAAAGAAAAACACACCTGGATGTAAGACAAGAAGAGTGAGAAATGATAGAAAAATGGCAAAAAGAATCTATATTTGGGTTTTAAAGATGTTTCCCGCAATTAACAGATAAGAAGGTGAGAATGGAATTCCAAAATTTTGAACTTTAAAAAGATAAAGGCACGTGAATCGTTTGTTCAATCGGAATTTGAGAATCAGCAATGAAAACGTTGTAAAAATGTGGAAAAGTGTCAAATTTGAGTGTGAACGTCGGCTTTTTCGGTGCTATTTATGAATAGTTCTGATTGTCCGATTATCTGTAAAAACAAGTCTGTTATAACGGTTTGGCATGACGATGGCGGTCGTTCGCATTCTTGTGCAACCATGAAAATAACTTTACGAGCGAGCATTTTTCACGCCAAGTATACTACTAACTCTTCATTTGTTTTTTCCCACTCACCTGGTCGATGTCGATTTGAGAGTACATAACATCATGCACTGGCGCCAGAAAACTGCCCGGAAAAGTGGTCCCGTCGTAGTAATCGTATTCCAATTCGTCGCATTCACTGAGAGAAGACTGTCCTCGTGTTGGTTGCGGCGATTCGTGCGACAGACAAGCTCTGGCAGTTCTAAAAACAAAAACGTTAGGGTTAAAAAGTTGTGCAGATTAGTTTCGTACCTTGGAGTGCTTTGGACACTGAGCTGGATCCCAATGCTCCGTTGCGCTACGTAATTTCTTGAACTAACATGTGTGGTTTCTGTGTTTCCACTTCTAACCATCTCAGAATCATATCTAAACAAAAACTGGTGATTCAGACATAATAACGACAATTTCTCACTTATTATCCATTAATGGAACTTCCGGACTGGAATTCCTCTTCATCGACGCAGTAATCGCCGCGCAGACCAAAGGAGGTATAAATATGATGCAGATGAATATTATCGCTGAAATTTAAAATGTGTTAAATAACGGGTTACGCCTTCGAAAATGTACCCATTATTGCAATAGCCATTGTTTTCGGACAAAATGGCTGACAGGAGTTGATTTTGGCGACGGTAGGCAACGCATCAGCATCTGAAAACAAGATGATCCCTCATTTCATTCCACCAAGAAACATTTTTTCGTCGTGTTCTTGGCTTATTCTCCAATTCTTTCTCCGTATTCAAAGTTGTGAATGTGTTGCATTTTAATTAGAACATGGCTCTCGGGCCCTCTTGCCCCCGTCTCTTCTTTTCTTTTCGTCTTCCAATTTCATTCCTGTCAAAACCTTCTACACATGTCATTCTTGTTGTCTCAATTGCTGCTCCGACTGCCTCCATGCACATTTTTAGAGGCAACGCGAAAAGATAGAAATGCGTTTGTCTGGGTCTCCCACAATTTAATATGTTTGGCCCCCGATCCGGATGACGGCTATCTTACCACCATATTCATAAGTAACTATTCCGAAAAATCTACCCGGCTTTTGATACGGACCTGTCAGAATATATAATGGGCAAGTACATTATACTACTGCCGAGTTTGTATATTTTGATGGATTACGGGAAATGAAAACATTTGCATTTGCGTACCTCGCACGGAATAGGATACGGTGAATCCGTCGTCAATCTGCTTCAGTCTTGCAGTTTCGTTGCTCTTACTCCACAGAACAACAAAAATGGATGCTGATAAGGGAAGAGAGAACTGATATTCTTGATGAGAATCCGAAGACCACACAAGTTCCTGAACATAAACATGATTATTTGAGTATAAATGAGGATATGCCTGATAAGGAGCTCTAAGGAAAAAGAAGAGTTTTCCCTTCGCTTCTCCCTGTTTTCTGATAGTAAAATCTGCGATTTTGAAGCCATTCATTTTAGGGAGATTCCAAGTCTGATTGCCTTCACACATTCTACTGTGTCTGGAAATTTAAATCATTGTCTGATACTAATGAGCACCGATTACCTTGAAGATGCAAAAAATGAACTGGCTTCCGTTGACAACGCACATCCACAAGAGCAATTTGTCGATAAACTCTGTGGCATCATCGCTTCCGGGCACTTTGTCAGCATGCACTCTTGCGTCTCAATCAACGGACCGTCACAATACTTTGACCTTTTCGGCACCGGCTCATTACAGAATCGTACTCTCCGCTGTTTGCCGAGCCCGCACGTTTCCGAGCACGCACTCCATTCGCTCCATGCCGACCATCCACCAACTTTTCTTTCAACTGCAAAACAATAGTTTCTCAAATTTGACTCGACATTTTTGTTTTGCATATTGCATGATTCACATTTTCACCCCCTGCTGTTTCTAATGACGGCGGTCTCGGACGAGTTGCGAGTTACGATGAGTCCATTGCTATGCAAAACAATCCACTTGAAGTGGGAAGAGAATTAGCACACTTGACAGCTAGATTGAGACTCTTCCGACGACACTTTATGATAATGACGGAACGGATTTGGAAAGGAAGTGACAGAGTCTTCCCTTCCGGCACTTTGAAACAATACTTGCAACTTAACTGATACAATCTGCTTCTCCCAACATATTGAAATGTCAAGTCGGGAGCCCATGTTTGCCCGTTCGTACACCTATTAGCTGCATCCCTAAATATTGTCCCCATTCATTGTGTCATCATTAATTCATTAGCACCTCTTCCGACTAAAAGCCCTCCAGAGGTCAAGTTTTGTTGATGTTTCTCTTTAGGGCGGTAAGATCAAAACAGTGACAATGTGTTGTACTTATCCCAATGAGCACCATATTGCGTCTAGAAGATGGAAGAGCGTCATGTGCATCATTCATCAGTTACGGAAGGAAGAGATGCAAAAGAAGGAGCAGAAGCAGAAGCAGTCATTAAATATAATTGTGTTTCAAATAAATATGGAAATTTTGATGTTGATGGGCATGAGCTGCCAGCGGTTTTCTATTGCTCTTTTTGCTGCATCTCCCCCAAACACTCGGGCGGGGGTTGATGGAATAATTACAGAGAAGAGGATGATCACCAGATGATGTTTGTTCAGTAATGAAGTACCTAGTTGACATGGATTGTTGCATGTGCCAAGTGGTCCCTCCTTGACCCGCTATGCTCATCGGTGCACATCTGCTTTACGCGTGTCGTACAATAGCTGCCCAGGTAACGGCTGTCGGTAATTAGGAGCTGCGTTTGCATACCATCCATGCTCGCGCATTATTCAAAGCAAGAAGAAAACAGCTGCAGTTTGAAAGGAAAATAGAAGAAGCATGGCGGGAAGCTCAGAATGTGACCCTTTCGTTTCCTTCCGCCAAGAGGACCCATATGATTAGCGGCACATAGCCACGAAGCAGGATTCATAATTCAATTGCAATTGTTATGAATATTGGAAGAGAACACCGCCCAAATCGAGTTATTGCAGCGTGACATTCAAAAGTCGATTCTTTCCTTTTTGCATCACCGCTCTACTATTATTCCCTTCAAAGCTAATTTGACCCAAAAGCCGGAAGTTTTTGGGTATCGGTGACCGACCCCCACCTACATTCTCCGTTGTCACCTGCTCGGGTGGGCCCATTCTCTCCCCCAATCTGCTCCGCCTGAGACTCCCTCTGGCACCCATATGTCATAACTCGTTTACATGTGTAATATGCAAATTATTGTTGTTTCTTGCACAAACAAGAAACAAATCCCCTGAGAGATAACGCGCGAAAAACGCAAAACGCACCTGGTTCTGTGCTCACACAGACACTGTGCCATGTGTGCGAAACCGAAGAGTTCCTGTTGACGGATACCAATTCGAAGCAGTACTTCTCGTGGATGATGTCAAACTGCGAACAACTGATTTTCAGGTTACTCTGATCCGGCGCGATCCCGATCTCTTCTGCAAATGTTTAATTGAATTGGAGTTTCCGCACCACTTGGATTCATTAATAACTGCGCAGGCAGCTCATCTGTTAAATCTTGCACATTTCAGGAAATGATGTGTTCCAATCGGTCACTCATCCCTGCGCAACAATAGGAAAGGCGACAGAGTTACTACGCACTAGGGACCACTTTAATTGAAACGAACATTTTCAATCTCGAAACGAAACCAATTACGCCTACTTCTCCTCTTTCGAAATGCAACCTCACATACCGATGTATACGGCTCCGTCATCGTGATTCTTTGCCCCTTCTGGGACAGCCAGAATTCGCAGGCGATAATGAAGATGCTCCATTGAACATTCGGCGATATTCCAGCCAATTGTAAAGTCCGAACTGCAATGCGGGAAGATACTATCCTCTCGGAGCCGGAGCATGTTCTGAGTGGTCCGATTTACGACAATCCATTTGTCAGCCTGAAAGTAATACTTGTTCCCATTTGGGCAGATGATGTGGATGACGAGCGGGACCCCATAAAACGAGATATTTATTATTGCTCATTTCTTTTAATTGACTCAGCGAGCATTGGGGTCCAAGTGCTCTGTGAACTCCTTGCTTACATATCTTTCTTCAATCTTGGAAATGGCATCTACACCCCTACCTCAAACTTTTTTCATTAAGCAAAAACCTAGCTTGCTCTTTGCCGCATTTTTCCGCAAAAAGTGGCACTGGTAAGCACGCTTCTCGAACTCTCCATGTCTCTGGGGACATGGGTCCGTCCTATCAATGCGGCCCCCATTAAAGGTGATGAAAATTCAGGCGCCGCTGGCTCCCCGTCCATCTGCGTGCGCTCTCTCCCTTCTTTTCCTTTTTCGGGCCCTTGTCCACACGTCTCCCTCCCCCTTCCTCGCTCCTTTATTTATTGGGGGTAGAAAAATGCGAAGAGAGGAAATGAGCTGAGGCGCGGTAGACATGTGTCGAAGCTGTGCGGAAGTACCATATAATCAAGAGCCTTCTAGATTTTCGTCTTGTTTTCCCAAAGCCTACACGCGCGTAGTCACAACAAAAGAATACAAAATGATCTGCCGGTGGCTCGCCGCATCAAAAATTCTAATTTTGACGACAACAACAAAAGATTGAAAGAAACAAATGGATGCCTCGGAATCATCTCATCAATCAAGTGTCGCGTGAAAAATCCCTGTCACTTTGCCCACCTGAACCGTATAATTGACGAGAGAAAGTCGAATTGACACGCGATAATAGCCGGGGTCGACGAAGTGCTTGCAACCGAAAATGAGGCTCGTCTTGGTGTCCTTTAACGTTTTTGCGACCGCGCTCACAGCCTTCCAACTGGACTCTTCTTCGCCGGGAAACACCTGCAATGGATACGAACATCGGTAATAATGGATGACGTCTCCGCTCACCTGGAACGAACGGTACTCCAGTTGAATGTCCGAGAGGTCTTCTCGACACAATTTGGGCTTAATGTGAACAGACAACTCATTTAGCATTTCATGTGTGCTTGGAGTAAAGATTTTGATGTCTGGAGGACCGACGGAGAACGTTGAAAGCTGCAAACTCGCAGTTTATAAAAAGAAGCGAAAACTATGTCTCACTAAGTTTCCACTCTCTTCCAATCGATAGTCATTGGAAACTTGAAGGAAACACTCGCAAGGTATCACAGCTGTTTTGAAACGACAACTCGAGATGTTCGATGCGTAAATCGTGAATTGACTTGTCACGTTTGACGTCTCCACATATGCTTGTGAGTTCGCATGAGGAGTTGCTGGATTTAAAACGGACGGAATGAGAGGAAGAGCTTGAAATGTGTGAAGTAATAGGAATAAGGGCAAGAATGTGGAAACGGCAAGCATCTGTATTTTAGTGTTTCTTCATTGCAGCCAGAGAATCTGAAAAACGGAAATGTTAAAAGTGAAACATAACCAATTTGTCACAAGCGGTGAGGAGGGAAAAGTTAGAAATTGGTTGGCCAAGGTGCCGGCAGCACTAATCTGCACTTGGTAACCACACGAAGACGCGGGGTCCCTTGCACGTCTCAGTCACTGGACATATCGGATTACGTAGGGAACGCTTTGAACGGAAAACACGTATCAATTACAAGCAAAAGTCGTCGAAAAGTATCAGAAGGAAACATGAATGGATATTGTCAATCTCTCAAACATTTTCGAATCGAGATGGCTATTGTGCAATGATTACAGAGAGGTGTGTAGAGGAGCTGCGTAATGCGCGCAGATGTCTTATATGAGAGCAGTATCCGTCGTCTTAGAAGCCCATTTCTTACGGGACCGTTATAATTGTATTTGGAATGGGTGTGCGACGACTGCTTAGCTAAGGACGGAAGGGTGTCGATAATTGGCAGACGAACGGATAGGGTTATAATACTTTGCGACAGAAGAAGAGACTCCTCAAATCATCTTAAACTTGACCTTCTTCTTGAAAACGTCATGTCAGCCGAAAAAGAGATGTTTTCGCGTCTGGATGCACGAAATGAAACATTTGAAGAACCACTCCAGTGAACCGGCGGAAAAACCGCAAAAACACAATACATAATTGAAAGCATGTGAAAATGGTTTCGAAACCGAGTCAAACTACCGCATTCGCCGTGAGAACAAATTTGAAAAGTCCCGGGAACGCTTGCCGGCTCAATGAGCCAACTCAAAAGGTTAGAATCGCAACGATGAAGGAGATTAGTGCAATGGCTTCAGAGGACAACGGCCTGGCGAAGGAGAACGACAATAAATGAAATTGTGATGGAGAATAGCGATAATTCTGAGAAAAGTAAAGTGCGAATTCGATTACTTTTACGTATTAGGTATTAGAAAGCAAAGCCACAATGCTAATAGAAAGCCTTATCTGATGAAAGCGGTTTAAGCGGAAATGCCAATATGAAAATGAAAATGTGAATTTGAGTTTCCGTTTGCAAGAGTCAAAGAGGAAGAAAAAGTTACAAATGAGGATGCTGATGAATGTTTCAAAAATGTTTTCTGAAAAGGCATTGAATGCTAAAGAATAGATGAGCCCTGACGACCACCAAGATGGGAGGAGAGCGCCGAAGAGAAAGAGGGGCGGGGTCGGTCCCGACTAAATTGGCGTGGGCAGCCGGGGGGCACATACGGAGGAGCCACCTTCCGATGTTCTGCTATAATAACCATGAGTTATTCATTAATTTGTCAACGCCCCACAATAGCCGGACAACCATCGCAATTGTGATTGGGGAGAAGTGACTATCAACTGAACAAAAAACAGAAGGGATATTGGGGAAAGGAAACGGAAATGAGAAAATGTGGTAGTGGTGCAAGCAATATTGAGGGCGCAGACATAAAATGCACAGAGTTGATGTCCAACTAAGTCGGACTCTTGAGAAGGACATGCTTTGCTTAAAGGAGGCCACCTGATAAATGTTTTGTGTATGACTACTTACACCGTTGGATAGAGCGCCCATGGTCACATCGAAAAGTCTCTTGTGGTAGTTTCTGGGCCGTCAATGTCTTTTGCATCGCACTGTATTGGAAAACACATGGACTGAAATAACGGCATTTTCGAACTAAAAAACTAAAACTTTATTCTAAAGTTGTGTATTTTGTTTTTTTGTGTAGTCGCCGCGAACATGCACAATCTTCGAATTAAGACAAGAAAAAAACCGACTGGCTTCCGAAGCCAGGCATTCCCGGCTTCTTGGAGAACACGCACCTGCTGTGTGTATGTACGTCCTGAACTTCTGAAAAAAAAAGTGTTCATCAAATAAAGTCGTTATAGATAAACCTATGTCTTAGTTCAGCCTTTCCACCATCTTGTTTGTTCCTGCCAGAACCAGGAACGACTTCCCTGGATGTGCGGCCTCCAGCATCTCTTTTTGTGCAAAGACTGACTCATTCGTGGTGTGATCGAATTCGCACATCCTGCGCAGGAATCCGAGGTCCTGCTGACGGAACTCTCCCGCACGAAGTCTGCTCAAGACCGCGTTCTGTTCCGAGTTTGGTTTCCTTCTGATAGTTTGCAACTCGAACACACTGAAGAGCATCTAGAGCGTGTCCGTGTTTGCTGGAGAAGCGGCGCGCCAGGCAGCCATGTGATTCGGTGGGAGATCTGATAATTCAAAAATTACATTAACTTTTCCAGGCAACGTACCCGAGCGCACAGGCGAGCCTCTTCCTGCAAGCTGATACAAGTCTCCAAACAGAAACACGGAAAGTCCCCAGAACGTTTTTGAGTTGCAAATCGGTACTTTGTGCGTCACAGTTGCAAAATCTGAAAATGGCTTCGCGAATTGACCCCTCATTGATCAAAAGAACCAACTAATGCTTCTCCTTCATCACCAGCCGAGATCTGACTGCCCCGGGTTAAAAATACGCTGATCACAGAACCACTGCCAGCCACATGTTACATTGCACTATTCCATTGCACTTTTCTCCAGAAATTACGTTTGAGTTGTGTGTGTATTTAGATTGTTCTCTGATCAGAGACACTTCCGTTGATAACAAAGAAGTGATCAATCACAATCTTTAATGAACAATGACAGTTGTGTAATGCCGGAACTATTCACGTGAATTCTGAGAGCAGTGAACAAAGTAATTGGGAACAAACAAACAAAAGAAGCTGGATTGAGTTGGCATCAGGCCTCTATTTTTTGATTCGTCGATCACAACATCAATCACTACACTGTAGCTTTACACTGATCTATATCAACAGCACCATAGATCTTTCCTCCCTCTCTAGTATCCTACTCTCCGGCCACTTGACTATCAGTTTCGAAAGCAACGAAACAACTCCTGCATGGATCACTGACTGAAAACGTCACTACGTTTCATTCTCTTTCTCTCAATGAACACCAGTCTACATGTGATTACAGCGTGTGAATGGGGTGGAGCGGAGGCAACGACTGATCGATGTCTTTTCATTCACTCTCTTTGTTTCGTTACGCCACTGATCTATGTCCCCACCTCGCCGAACATTCTGGTCTGCAGCATGTTCCCTTAAAAGCCTTCGGAAGTTTCTCCTTTGTTCTTGTTCGGACACATGCTCAGTTTGTACTTTTGTTGACAGTACTCTTGATATTTTTGGTAACCATATGTTCTTTGTCGCCACAAGGACGTTTTCGGGCGAAAAAACGGCCACATGAACGATCTATGGTTGAGTTACGAATTGAAGTTTGGTGCATTTGAATGAGATGACGTGCACTGAAAACAATGGTCTTTCTAACGAATATTATCAGTTTACAAACTGAAAGAATACATAAACTTCAGTTAATGTCTAAAATCCAATGCGACAGTTGCAATCAATTTGCCAAAGTTTCTGTTTGTAACCGATGTACTACGCCCGACTACTCAAGTTCAAACATTCATTTTCAAAAACACTCGCTTTTCGACTGCCCAACAGTTGTTTCTCGGCGCCCTATCGGCTTTTTCACGGAGATAGACCACATGTTGAAGATAGGGCAGACATAACCTCCTTTCATATTTACACATTGTCTTTATGAAACGCGTATTTTAGTGTCTTAGATTTAGATTTCGTACTTCAGTGTCTTAAATGTCCACGCTTCCACTATCTACAGTTGTTTTCTTGTTAAATGTGGTCCTCCAATCGAAAAGGCCACGAAAACAAAAGAGATACGTATCTTTGTCACTCTTTTTCCGCTCACAAATACCTCAACCAGTAAATAGATCTGCTCGTTTCGTGAGTCCGTACTTTTTTCCTGTTTGTAGATAGATAATCAGCCTTTTCTGTTTCTGTTTGATCAGCACTTTTCTGGTGCCACTTTTCTTGTTTTCAAAAAAGTAATTTGAACAAAACCTCATGACGATGATACGCCGCAACTTTTTTCTCCATCCATCCATCTATCATCTGGTGACCGTGTTTGGTGACATAAACACGTGTGTGTTTTCCAGCAGCCCTTTACCGAACACATGTGCGACAAACTGTCCTTTCTCGTGCCCTGTCTCACTTCAAAAACATGTTTTTGCTCATCTGTTTCTCACCTGCTTGTTCATAAATATATAAACGGCAGCTCAGTCTTCTTTTTCAGTTTTTCAATTCTCAACTTCCTTTTGTTCTTCGCAATGAATTCGATCGGCCACGGCTACTTCTTCCACCACACCGACCATCATCACCATGACGATCACGAGCAGCACGTCAACGATAATCTGCTGCAAGCTCCGGTGAGTCCTTGCCTCTTTTTCTCATCTTTGTCCCTCTCCCAGAATTCGTTCTCCGTGTGTTCTTTCTTCTTTCGTCTTCAAAGAAAAGAGAACAAACTATATAAGGGCGTCCTGACAGAGAAAAGCTGAAAAAAGCGTGCGCCTTCCCCGCTATTCTCGTTCACTTTTCCTACCCCGCTTGTCACTTTCAAGGTACTCTTTCTCTTCAGAAAATCTCTCTGCGCACCATGAGCAAGAGCGACCCGCACCTCGACATTCCGCATTTGCTCGTTAGCCAGGACGCAGGTATGTCCATACTTGTTGACCGTGCCAAACCGTGATTCCCATAAATTTTGTTATTGTCACTAGGAGGCCCGCCTTGTTTTTGTCCTTCCCACCCTCTCTTGTTCCCACTTTCCCTTTTTTTCTGTCAAAACAGAGTCAGCTACTCACATCTATCTCTGAATTCCGAAATTTTCGTACGAAATCTTTACTCTTTGCTGAGAAAAATGGACCCGAGACTTCATAAATTCTTGATGACCAACCAATTTTCAAAGCACCGAGATCATTCTGAATGTAAACTTAGCAAAATAGAAACGCTTCAACGGCTCGTTGATCGGCACGAAACATCATTTTCAGCTCATCCATCGCTTAACAAAATCATGTCCAACTTGCAACACGTCCACGAAGGACTCAAGACTCCGGTCGCTTCTCATCCAGATCTGCAGGTCAGTATGAAGTGGAATTTCAAGAAAATACGATAATGAAATACCGAACAACAGCATGAGAATCTCATTTCGCTGTTGACTGCTCTAAATTCTCCGATTTCTTTCTGATCTTTTCGAGAAATAGTCGATACTTAGACGCGAGACGCTGTCATTTTCAGGCTCTGCGCCGCGAAAACGAGCTCCACGACAAGTCTATCGGGTCAGTTGCTTTTTTGTTTTTCTGGTCGCTCTTCCAGTTCCGCATGCTTAGTCTCTCATGAATGTTTATCGGAAAGCATGACGTAGAAGAGGAAAGCATATTTCCCAGAAACGCAGGCGCGGCGACGAAATCTGAGTTCAAACAATGCTTTTTCCGAGGCGGGAACCGAGAAATAAGTGTTTGGGCACATTTCCGTTTGTGTGCGCTTTTAATTTTTTGTTTTCCTTTTTCTCATTGAGTCAATTCCGTTTTAGGAGAATGCCCTTTGTGTTGTGCTCAAAGTGCGAGCTCATAAGGGCATTGCCGGCGCGCGACTTGCTAATCACTTTGTTTTTGGCTGACTTCTTCAAATAGCAGACACAGATCATTGTCAACAAGACTGAAGAACTATTTCCTGTATGGAATGTGCTTTTCAAACTGTACGAGCTTGTTTACTTGCAGAGTTAGTCATGAATGGGAGGGGAGTAATCTGAAAATCCTAATCAGATATTCTAATAAGCTTTTTTGATAAGGTCTCAGGAAATGAGGCATCAGTGATAATCCGTTGAGCCGTTGAGCTGTGATTCCCCGTATAAAAGAGACATTCGAGAAATATCTCATCAGTTTGTAGTCAACGCACCGGTCACCCTTATCAATTGCCCTTTTCTCTCACTCTCAATTCAGCAATTGATAAGAGAGAATCGCCGAAAAACTTCCCTGCACACGGAGATTTCCCCCCAACGTTTTTCCTTCCGCACCACACCCGTCGTCGACGTCGTCGCCGTCTATGTGATTTTTCGAACCAGTGACGATTTGCGGTCGCGAGACGATTGATATGTCCAGGAAACCCCTTTCATTCAAGTCATAAACATCGTAGACCGCGTGGCGAGGGAAAGAAGACGTCAAGTACGGTAGAGCGTCTGTCGTTGACAGCGGCAAAGTGGGGAAACACCGGAAGTCACAGATTTATTGTTATTATTTGGATCTCAGATGACAAAAGAAAAAGAATGTGAACACACTGAAAGTCCCCCGGTGCGCCCGTCCTCGCTCAAGAGCAACGCAGGTCAAGAGCCTCTTTGAAAGTTTGAACTCGGCCGATTTTTTTGCTCGTTTGCTTGCTGTTGGCGATGACCTCGCCTCCGTGCCTCCTCCGTTTTCCTTTCCTCTCAGAAAAGTTTTGCTGAGCTGCACGTTTCCTGCAAATGTTCCCTGCCCTACAGCTGATCTCATCGCAACGCCGTTCGTTTTGGTTCGGAAATTACAGTAGGCTCGTTTTGCTGGTTTGATCTCCACAATCCCCCTCCTTCTGCCCTCGTCCCTTATCTTTTATCTGCAAACACTTGGGAAAAACAACAAAAAACGTCGACGGGCGGAATGGGGGAATACTCTTCGCTTTCACTCTCCTGATGTCCTCGCGTGGCGAGAGAATTGCATCAGAATCATCACCGGTCATATGTTCGAAAGACCAAGAACAAGATCTTTTTGCATTAGTAAGGAATGCAAAAAAAAGGATTTGATAGGAACACGGAGCACACAGAACAAGAATTCAGCGGGTGGTAAACAAAAAGCCTGGAACTGATGCTTGGCCCATTTTTCTGGTTGTTTTTCATTTTGCTTCCTGTTTCGCAGCTTCCTGGTTGCATTTTTCCGTTCCTGCGGGTATCCACAGTTCATTTCTTGACACCCACATGCTAATTGCCTGTTTTTTGTTCTACCCGGGTGTCAACAATTTTAGTTTTCAACCTGTTGACCCGTCCAACGAGCGTTCTTCACCCTCCCAGTCTGAAATTTCTCTGTTTACGACTACTTCCTCTTTGATTAATGACTTCTGCTCGCTTTCCCTCTGCTTTGAAAACCATCACTATGCACCCAAACGACCCCGCCGGTCATAAAATATTCTCGTTTCTCGATTCCTTTCCGAACAGATAAAAATAGCCGTCTCACTTCCGATTGACTGCGCGAAACACGGAATTTTTGGGTGTTTTCTTGACTCATTGAGTGAGAATGATGCTATCTTTTGCAAGAATTAAGGAATCGAATGATGGAAATGTGAAAAGCGTGCAGTAGTAGTCAACAAGGCTATTTTAGCATCACTTGTTGGTTTTCCGAACAATGATGCAGCTAGATCAGCAGAAAACAAGAGACCGATTGGTATGGACATGCTTCAGTTGATGATCGCTTGTTCTTTTATCGATCACCGGGAGTAAACATGTACACACTGAGACGAATTGGAAACAAAGGTTCCGGTTTCCTTACTCTGCAAATTCTGGATGGTTCTCCAGACGTTTCAATCGACCTGAATTTGGTTTTCAAGTGACAGTTTGCCATAGTTCACGTTTCTCCTTCTGTCCCCTTCTGATCTTCGTCGTACGATCAGAACGTTTGGCGCCGTAGTCAGACACCACGTGTGTACGCCGGATGTTTCGTCACAATTAGATGTCACGTGGTGACTCGGTTTGCACGTAGCTACTTCCCGGGAGGTGTGTCCCAAGCGCATATGTGAGCGAGGACGAACAACTTGTGATGTCAGAGAAAACGAGACACGACCACGTGGGCCTTCTGGGTTCAGCATACACTCAGAATACACTGTGACTATGTAGTTGTACACAATGGAATCAAATTGGAGCCTAACGGAAAGGGGCATGTATTGCGGGGACTACGATTTGTTCAAATAAACATTCGCTGGCCGCGCAGAACGAAAAAAGAGACGACTCATTCAGCTGCTCTTTCGCAATTCTTTGCTCATTGCCTTTTCGTCAGTGACGAATTGTGACGAGGCCCAGCAAACAGTGCAGTTTCTGCTCCCTCTGAAGCTTTCCTTGTCGTTATGTCCGATGATGACATGGAACCCAACGTTCTGCTAGCTGTTTATGCTTATTTTTGCATCCTCTCAAATTGCATCATGCCACGTCGCCGCCGAAGCCTGCTGTAATCAAGTTTCTTTGCTCAAGAAGATTCTTCTCCCGCCAACTGTTATCGCAACTGCTACCACCCGCCGGAAAAATTGTTCCTCATCTTTTGAACTCAAGCTATCTATCTATTTTTTCTTTCTCTCACTCTCGTTAAGCTTCTTTCAAAAAAATTTCCGTCTAAAGAAAAGCGATAAGAGTTGGTCATAATCAAGTTCAAGAGCCAACAACTGTTTGGGTGAAACGTGGAAAACGAAAACGGAGGTGTTTTTCCCATTTTGATCTTTTCATCTGGCGTTGAAAGATGACCAAATTTCAACAAATCAACGAACGATAGTTTTTCATTGACAGCCAACTTAACACGATCATATGTCTCCACGTGGGGTCTCCAGCCACCTACAGAAGATACAAAAAGCCGTAAAGAGAAATACCTCCCTATTTGTTTGCCACTACACAAACCAGCTAGTGCAGATCAGAATCCAAGAACACCCCCACATGTTTCGTATAATTTCTCCATGTCTGCTGTCATACTGTATCCGATCTTGTCTGGCTACATGATTTCTGAATAGTTGGAGACTTGAAATTGCATATTAACGTAGTCGCATACATATGGAAAACTTCAGTTCCTTTCAACAACACGCGACCACATGCTCCCCTCCGACCAGAAGTCGTTTCTGGGACTGATAAGTAGAATGTAAAGTGTAGTGTTTCTTCGCTATCAAAGGGAGCTGGTCCGAGGACGGTACCCTTCTGAAGTCAAGAATTAGTGTCGTCACAAAGGAACCAGTTAGTCCCAGAGAACGGTGACATCACCGAGGCCGTACGCACGCCGCTACACTATTTCTAATTCTGATTCTGATTCCTGATGCTAACCGACGCTTCGTCTGTGCAAATAGCCGCATTCCACCCAGTCAGCCAAACGGCCTTTATTCATTCGTTCATTCCACTAACTTCTCGCCCAATTCCTTTCTCCCGCTTCCGCCTCGCCGTCTGAGTGGGTGTACGAACAGTCGTATGACTCGTCGTCCGGTCTGGGAAGAATAGAACGAATTGAGTGTACCTATGACGTGGTTGTAAGCGGAGGGAAAAAGGTGGGTGCGGGAAAACGGCGACACCGATAAAAGAAAAGCCTTCCAACCTCGGTGCACTCAATTTCAACTCGATTCCCCCGTCATTCTTATCGACTGTCTTTCAAATGCTTTATCTCCGTTTGAAGAGAACGAAGCTCGCCTGGTAGTGTCACTCTAGCTTATCTTTTCCGTATAATCAGCACTAACTGCCGTCTTAGGTTGAAGTTCAAGAATCAGAAGAGACGAAACTCTGCAATAGTTGCATTGTTTCCGGATTGCAAGCAAGGAGGAAGGGGCGGAAGCTGCAGATCAAACAATTCGCAGCTGGTGTCAAGTTCCGTTGCTCTCTTTCCAATTGCCCAAACACTTTCGGCGTCATCAGAAAGTTTCAGTTTCAGCTGGCGCCCCCAGATGATTCAATTCCTCGTTGAGCGTTTGATCTGCGTGGTGCATGTTGCGCTGAGCTTTTCTCTATCCCTTCCTTCTCTCATTTCTCTTCGGTGACCTCGAAATCAGCGGAGAGCACACAATGGCTACGGCCACAGCCACAGACACAAAGTCTCGGCCGAAACCACACCACTTTCTTTTTTTTCCCTCCGTTTCGTCAGATAGAATCATCCCACGTGGGCCTTTTTCTCCGAGCGCCGAGAAACATGATGATAAAACGAGAGATCGCAGATGTGAATGAGGGGTGTCCCGGCCGTGTCATTGAAAACTGCTAACTCTTGTCTGTGTTTCTCTACGATCGAAAAGTGTCTTGACATTTCGTTGCCGCGCCACAACGCCTCTTTCTCTGGGCTCCACCCCTAGCCCTCCCAACCGCAACCGCCAGCCTTCTATAAAACGGTCTTCGTAGGGCAGTTCATATCGGCACCGTCCACCTCCTGACTTTATATTCTGTAACTATTCATAGTCTTCAAAATGAACTTTGTCGGAAACAATCAACTTGAATCCGGGCTTCACTTCCCATGCAGGTAATATCTCTTCCGAAAACATAGTTTGTTCGAGTTTTAATAGTCGGTATTTCAAATAGTCATGCGTCTTTTTCCGCAACACATTTCGGTGTTTGTGTGGGGGGAGAAGCGTGGGAGGCCTGGCCGCATGCCAAGAATGCAGCGCCGCTTTGCAACAAAAATCGATTTGGTAGTGCATGCGAGAGAAGTCGGCACGGCACATTTTCCCTCGCTTGACTCTACTTTGTATTTTTTCCACGCTGAGGCGTCAGTATAGTGTCAGACTGAAACCATATTTCCTTCTCCAGTCTTACTCAATCAATAGTGCGAGACTTTGGAAGGTCGTTTCGTCTTTCCTACAACCTTCTGAAGACACTTTCCACTTATCCTTTTCCCTCCAAAAAGTTATCACCGCACACAGCGCCTGCAGTATACCTTTCTTCTTATCATTCCAAATCAAACCCAAAAACGTTGCGTTCTTTATCACACAAACATCTTTCTCGATCGGTCTCTCGTTTAGCCAGCCTGACAATCCAGAAATAAAAGAGGCCGAGAGACCAGCGAGCAAGTGCGTCGGGTACGTACAATCGCCGAAATCGCATCTGATATACGCCGATGCATAGATAATGAGACCTGTCTGTACCTGATGGCGGGGCCGGTATTCACGTGAATTCACAGTAATAATGGCCATTATTCACATGATGCCATTCTAATTTGTTCTGTACTTTAACCTCGTATCAAAAAACCACAATTGTGTATGCATTGTGACACAATTGACCACGCCCCCCACTTCGACCCCGTCTTCAAATGATCCTCCTACACTCGATCTTGACCTGATCAGTCCCTACTCTGTTTATCACTTTTCTTGTATTGTCCGTTTTTCAGCTCGGCCGCTCTTCTCTCTCAAGAGAGTTTCGCTCAGCCACCACTCCGCAAATCGTCCTCGGCCATCGACTGGAACGGCGCCGTTGTGGAAGCGACTCGCAAGACATCCAGGGTTCGCGAATTACCTCACAATGTGACCTAGATTTTCAGCAGCCCCACTAGGGGACTGCTGTTCAAAAATTGGTCCAAGCAACGGTTTCTGAACGCTAAGTACGTGCTTTCCATCGTAAATCTTTTTCGATTCCATTTTCTTTCTTATAGAGTTCGAAACCAAAGAAGTTTATGACAAAATCAGGGATATTGAAACTTTTGAAGACTGAAACTGAATGCATCATTTCAGCAAGTCGACTGGCAAGCCGCCTTGTTCGACAATAGTCGCAAGACGAGCTTCTCTAATCTCCAGCCCTTCTCTCAAGCACATCAGGGTGGACTTGTTATGACAACTTTGGACAACAAGCAAGGAATGTCCGTTGCCACTGCTCAGATGCCACAGCAACAGAACCACTTTGCCCAGACCCTTGCCCAGTCGGCCAGCACTGCTTCTGCTCCAGCAGCCACTTCGGCACCGGTCCCGGAGGCAGTTGCCAATCAGCCAAGAGTGAGTTTATGATGTTATTCTATAGAAAAAGCAACCAGCACTTGATATAAACAATAGACATTCTGACAGAATGGTAGCAATATAAACTTTTTCAGGGATCCCATTTATTCGGAGGTGTCTTCCACCGCGGGTTCTTCTCGAAGCCAGTCGAGAGATCAGACGAAGAAAACTACCGCTATCTGATGGCTCTTGATCGTTAGACTTTCAATCCCCAGCACCCTCTGCCAACACCCAAATCATTTTTTTTCTCACGTAATCCCATTCTTTTTCCGTTTTATTTTCTTCCAATTTTCCACACCGACCCTACCCAGATCTCCTGAGAGGGCTAAAAGAATGAGACAACTATCAAATCACAGAAATTGTCGCTCGTCCCTACAAAACCACTTCTCATCCCAAATGGTTCAGGTCACATCATCGTATTCCATGTTGTTTACTTTCCGTTCATTTATCAAATACGTGTGTGAGAAACCATTGGGAAAACTTTCTCTCTCTCTCTCTCTTTCTCTTTTTCTGTTTTCTCTCGCTCTTTTCGGTTACCCATTGTTATAGGACGATTCCCATTTGTTCGTAATTTTTTTGTGATCCTATCCACTTTAGGATAACCCGAATATTATAATCGCACGGGTCTGGGGGTAGTTTCAGGCTTTGCCCTGTTATCAATGTATAATTAATCGCCAACACCTCATCATTTTACCTCTTCGCACTGTTTTGACTCTTTTTTTCATGTATTCATAAATATTGAACAACGCATTTGAAATGGGCACACATAACGATCGAATCACCAGGAACAGTTTTTTGTGTTTACAGACGGCGACGCTTAAAAAGATTCTACAAAAGACGGGGAACACGTGAACAAGTTCTGCGAAATGAACTAGTGCTTCTTAAGTTATCAAAGCTATCTGTTTTTATTGTTGCCATCTCTAACGGAACCCGACCATGCAATTAAAACAGCAATCTAGGATATAGCACGCGCCATTAAAACAAGGAGTTATAAGATATCAGTTAATGAGCAAACAGAGAGAAAAATCAGTAAATCGAAAACGTAGAACACACAAAAAACTTTAAACGACAAGTAGAGACCACCTATCTGATAGTTGAATGTATTCAGAAAGGTTCATTTGTTAGATGTACGTGGAAGCTCTGACACACAATCACATACTACGGCAAGAAGAAGCATACCTCTTAAAAGTATTCATGAAGAGCTCTATCGGCACTTACTATCAGAAATCATAGTCTGATTGACCTGTACTAGCCAGACTTCTAATTCAAGACAGGGATTTCATTTGATAATTCATCGAGCAGTGCAGAGATCTGGCATTGTTCTACTAACCTTTAGGGAGACATGTACAAGTGATAATAGTCAGACAACACTTCTCAGTCTCTGGACACGATAGGCAAATCAGAAAACGTCCAGCGCAGTTAATCCTTAAGTGTTGAGACCAGTGCAGCTGAACAAGGAGTTCAATCGCATCGAATAGTCAACGTGATCTGAATTTAAAAAAAAAGCACAGATTTTGTCCTCCCAACTGGCTTCATTCAGATAGTGTCTTGTTGATATACATAAAATGGGGAGGAGCAAAAACAATGTGAGCGTGAGTAAAAACAAAGTAACGAGTGCGGGTGAGTAACAAAAAACAAGTAACAGATTTCAGAAACAGTGGAAAAAAAACAGGAAAATGATAAAGGGAGCTTTTAAAAAGCAGAGGAGATTCCCTACTCGAGTGGTTCTCCGAGAACCAGCGCATTGTTCTTGGAACCATAGATCGGGAAACGCTTGAAGTGCTCGATGAGTTGATCGACTGACTCGAAGAACTCGTTGCCGAATCTGTACCGGACTCCCTCCCCGAACACGTTGAAATGGTGGACTTTGTCCAAACCACGCACCGACAGAATCAGATTTTCAGGCTGAAAATTGTTTTTCATTGAAGACGAAGAACTGGCTGCAACTCACTTCGATCGCGGATCGAACCAGGAACATTCCTCTCGGAGCACGTTTGAGAAGAATATCCGTCCTACTCTGATCGAGGTTAGCAAAAAAATACGACTCCAGTCGGAAGTTTTTTCTCGCGGCATTGACGTTCTGCAAATTATCGATCATTAATAAAAAATGAAATGTAAAGTATACGTCCAGGTGGCAGCGAGGGACCAGTCCCGTGATTCCCTCACTATTTTGGACTCTCCAGAAGTCTCTCTTGTCAGTGTGGCGATGCAGGATTTGGAGCCGTTCTCCAATTTTGACAGAAAGCTCACGTTTTTTCGTCGCATTGAATGAGCTTCGCGCGCTGACGAACTGAAAGAATTGGATTATTTGAAGGGCAATCGAGCTGAACAGCCACCTCGGTTGTCGTGCACTCCTCAGGAGGAGATCTAGGTGGCACTCTTGATGAGGTTTGGGTTGGTGATGGTGATGGACCAGCAGTTGGCGTCGGCGATGTTGACGGCGAGCGAGCTGGTGATTCCGTTTCAACCTCATTCTCGAGGACCTGCAAGCCAGTCATTCACTCAAAAATTCAAAAGTGAAACATACGTCGAGAAATTGTCTTGGAACGAGACCAATGTCTCCATTCGCATTACGTACACGGAGCCAATCCTGGCACACTTCTCTGACGAGGTCAAAGCGTTCGCCCTGCTTGAACGTGAGTTCTCCTGACTCATTCGCATTGAACGGACTGTTTGACACAAAACTCTAAGTGAGTTTAACTATTTCAAAGAGAAAAAGGTTGAGCAACTACCATCAATGAAATTTTTTCCGAAAAGGATACCTGTCGCTTCCGGCTTTTGACCCACTGCAAAAAATATCTAGTTGTATCAAGATTTTATCTGAAAATATACCTTGAAGCAGCGTCGTGGTACAAATCCTGTATTTCCTTGCGCATCTTCGACGTACATTTCATCGCCGTCCTCGTCTACAAGGATTTCGAATTTGTCTCCTTTCTCGAAGGAAAGCTCTTCTCTGTCAGACGTCTCATAAGAGTCAATTGCTTCAATAAACTGAAAGGCATGATTGATTTGTACGTGGAGTTATCCGACTACTTACCACCGGCACTGGCTCAGCTGGGACAGCTTTCTGACCCGATTTGGGTGATTCCGGTGCTTTGGATGACGAACATTCCTCACCGTTTGATGAAAATTTCGGACTAGATTTCTCCTTGACTCTGGTCGAACGTTCCTTAAGCAGTTGGGAGGGACACCATCCCACTCCTCCCTCTGGTACCTTGATCAGCCAGCGGCAATCGGCGCCAAACTCTAAGACGTCGACGACCTGTCCTTCCTCCACGAAGATCTCGTCCGCTTTCTGAGGGAAGAAGTCACAGACGGCGACCGCCTGTAACGTTGTGGTCATTGTGCGGACCTGGAAATAAAAAAAGTGTTCTATAATATACTTGTTTCCTTGCTTACCGAATTTGTTGATTGAGTTTGAGGGTGCTGTGGTCCCCTTTCCGATGTACTGTCCGATTGTAAATTTCGACTGGATAGACGACGTTAAAAGACCCTAACTTTCCGATCGCAGGGCTCAAGTGCACAGGCGACGCTGAACGACCCTGAAAACATCACATTTGCGGATAAAAAAAAGGGAGCAAATAAAAAGTGTCGCGAAGAATAGAAATATTGCGTGGAAGCAGCAATGCTGGCTTGCCGTCACGAATCGAACAGATGAGTGAATAGATTCACCGCAAGGTTGGTTCCGGCGGAGGCCAGTGGGCGAGCAGACGAATGACGAGAACAAGAAGAGGAGGAATGGCTGGAATGGCCGAATCTCGGCCTTTTATAGTCGACCTGAGTAGATCAAATGTGGAGGGCGAGGCGGGAAAAGACCCAGAGAAAGAGAGATTAAAGGGCGGTGGCGGAGGGGCCGCAGGGCATCGTTTGAACGAATGCGGACTGAAAGTGCGGATGGAGCACGCTTCCGAGGGGTTGACGCTGATTCCAGGGGAAAGAATTCGACTCTACGATTGTGACGCTTGTTATTTGACATACTTTCCGCAAATTTGAAGATTTCAAACATGTTTCCTTGATCGATTGATGTTAAGTTTTGAGACAAAGGCAGAGAATCCGAAGCACATTGATTGATATCTATGATTGAGAAGCTATAGACCGCTCCCAGGTTTTTTCTAGTGGTAACCTTCACGTTTTTGTTTTACCGGCATTGAGCTGTTTGAAGAAAATATAATTCCTTTCTGAAATAGAACCAGGCAACAATAAACGCTTTACATTGCATTAAAACATAGTCAAATGGTTGCATTTTTTGAAAATCATTCTTATTTAATAAAAAGCTGACGGAGTCTGTTCATTTCTTTCTTTCTTTCTTTGTCCGGAAATTTTTTCATTTCTAAAACGGAAATAGTTGTGACGGAGAAATTAAGAACTGGACTCGTGAACTTTCGAACGGTTATCAGAAAGAAACAAGCGGCAGCTCAGCCTGCGCAGCGGGCCCAGGTTTAAAAAGTCTTGTTACACATAATGAAAAAATTGAGTTCAATATAATGGTTGAAATTAGTGCATTGATTGAAAAAGGCATTCATGAACGTGTGATTTCCGATCATAAACTGCCTGATGATGTTCTGGATGTACTCTTGGGGACGAGCTTCGACGTTCCGGGAAGATCGATAATCTCAACCTGTTCTTGAACGAGAGCCCTTTCGATGAAAACGCATCGAATGAATAGAGCGCCACGACAATCTGGAACAAATAAAACAATTAAAACTTAAATGAGGTGAACAGGTACTCCAACAAAGCTCTCGGAGCTGCGACACTCTGCTGGATTGGCGGTGATGGCGGGGCAGCGGTCGATGGATTTCTGTTATCGATATATATACAGTGTACGAAATAAGTTTAGGACCCCTCTAAATTTTAAACGTTCTGACAAAATGAGAAGAGATATCAAAAATCTGTATATGTCATTCGATTTGGCATACAAGATAACCCCCAAAGGCCATTTGGGTCTATCCGAAAACGTTTTGTACTCCTACACCATAAAATAACGTTTTAACGTTTTTTCGGCTGCGAAATAAGTTTCGGACCTCCCCCTCCCTCCCCCATGAAAAAATACGAAAATGGTCAAATCATGGGCCAAATTCCTATCAGTATTATGTAAAAAAAAATAAAAATAGAGTTTTGACATCATCTGGACATATCTGTACTATCGGAGACTTTATTTTGTAGACCTCATTTTGTAGACCTTATTTCCAGTACTTAACAGTGACCAGCTCGTAGAACTCCAAGGAAGTACCTTTTATTCTAAGACCCCAGACACCAAAATTGTTTTCCTTTTTATCAATGTTATTGACGACATTTTGTCCGAGTCTGGTGAGAAACGAAGAAGTTTCAACAAGGTTATGCTCGTTGAAAGTCGATTAGCTTCAGAATTCACTGTTTTTGCACCAACTAAAAAAATAGGGTTTACAAAACGAAAATTCCAGCATTTACCAGATAGCCGGATGATATCTAAATGCTTTTTTCTGTAGTTACAACAATTCTGCAATACTTTTGACTCTCAAATCGCCAGTTTTATAGAAAAGTTTATCATTTTGGAGAGGTCCTAAACTTATTTCCCGGCCAAAAAAACGTTAAAACGTTTTTTATGGTGTAGGAGTACAAAACGTTTTCGGATAGACCCAAATGGGCTTTGGGGGTGCCAAATCGAATAGCATTCACAGATATTCGAAATTTCTTCTCGTTTCGTCAGAACGTTCAAAATTTAGGGGGGGGGGGGTCCTAATCTTATTTCGGGCATTGTATAATATTTTATTGCATGCCAAACCCATGGACGTCTCCACAATGAAAGATATCACAGGCGTCATTTCCGAGCAAAGAGAGAAAGGCATCTGAATACCGAAAACTTTATGTAAAGAAAAAATAACAGGTATCCAAGAAACTTAAACTACATGTAACGAGACCGCCTATCTGATAGTTGGGCGAACTTTGAAAGTGTTATTTGTTAGGGTATGCGGAAACTTTAACATCTAATCACATTGGGCAACTACAGCAGAGCGTATCACGGTTTTTCAAAGTCTTCAAGCTTTTGCTCTATTTCCTTTCCTCTCTCCAATCACTACCAAAACACTGCTTTTCATTCGCCTTACTTGCCGGAAGTTATCGTCTAATTCAAGACAGGGATTTCATTTGATAATTCATCGAGCAGTGCAGAGATCTGGCATTGTTCTACTAACCTTCAGGGAGACATGTACAAGTGATAATAGTCAGACAACACTTCTCAGTCTCTGGACACGATAGGCAAATCATAAAACGTCCAGCGCAGTTAATCCTTAAGTGTTGAGACCAGTGCAGCTGAACAAGGAGTTCAATCGCATCGAATAGTCAACGTGATCTGAATTTTAAAAGAAAATACAGGTTTTGTCCTCCCAACTGGCTTCATTCAGATAGTGTCTTGTTGATATACATAAAATGGGGAGGAGCAAAAACAATGTGAGCGTGAGTAAAAACAAAGTAACGAGTGCGGGTGAGTAACAAAAAACAAGTAACAGAAATTCAGATTTCAGAGGAAAAAACAGGAAAATAATAACGGGAGCTTTTAAAAAGCAGAGAGGATTCACTACTCGAGTGGCGCTCCGAGAACCAGCGCATTGTTCTTGGAACCATAGATCGGGAAACGCTTGAAGTGCTCGATGAGTTTATCGACCGACTCAAAGAACACGTTGCCGAGTCTGTACTGGACTCCCTCCTCTAACACTTTGAAATGGTGGACTTCGTCCGAATCACTCACCGACAATATCAAATTGCCAGACTGAAAATTGTTTTTCATTGAAGATGAAGAACTGGCTGCAACTCACTTCGAGCTCGAAGCGAACTAAGAACGTTCCTCTACAAGCCCGTTCAAGAAGAGCCTCAGTGAAATGCTGCGGGATGTTTCCGTAGTAAAATGTTTCCCTCTCAATTGTTCGTCCTTGAAGGGCAGAGGGCATGCTCGAGGCATTGCGATTCTGTAATTTATTGATAATCGAAATAATTAAATTGTAAATCCCTGGATGACTGTCCCGAGACTCATTGTTCTGAGAAACAATCTGCAGGAAATGGGTGGTGGACTATCCGGGGGGTACTGTCCCTCCACTTACCTGACTTCTTGTCAACTTAGCCGGAGGCCATTCAGCTGGTAGTCTTAATGGGGTTCGGGCAAGTCGTGGTGGTGGACCAGAAATCGACGTCGCTTCTTTTTGTGGGGAACGGGTTGACGGATGGGGGATATCAACCACAAATTTCTTAGTGGACGTGTGCTTCGGCGATGATACCTGTCGTTTCCGGGAATCGAGCTCCTGCAAAGAATAACTAGTTCTATCAAGATTTTGTCTTAAAATATACAATAAAGCACCGTCGTGGTACAAATCCCTTTACTCCGTGAACATCTCTGACGTACAAGAAGTCATCGTTTTCTTCCGCCCCTCCAATGGTATCAAACTTGGCGCCTTCCTTGAAAGAGAGTTCATTGAACTCGACCGCTTCATACGACTCAATAGCTTGAATCATCTGAAAGACATGATTGATCTGTACGTTGAGTCCTCCGACTACTTACCACTGGCACTGGTGGAATCTGGCGTGTAGGCGTTGACTGAGACGGGACGGCTCGCTGGCCCGACTCAACTGATAAACGATCCCTCGATGACAAATAATTCCACTCGCTCGTCCGATGGATGTTGAGCACTCGGCTGGAGCACCATCCAGTTACTCCGTGTGATGTGTGAATTTTCCAGCGGCTAAATTCGCTGCAGTCCAAGACGATAACAACCTGTCCTTGCTCCACGAAGATTTCATCGGGGAGCTGAGGGGAGAACGAGGCGATAGCGATAGCCTTTACGACTGGACTGCTCTGGAAACAATTCTGACGCGTTAGAGATGGCTTGGACGGGACAGCTCGCTGGACCGATTCCGGTCATACCTGCTGTGGTGACCACCATGAACTGCTTGATTCGAACATTGGAGACTTTATTTCGCCGCTAATGGACTGTTTCTTTAGCAACCACGCCGGACACCATGCATATCCACTTCCAAGGGGGCTTTGCACTTTGATGCGCCCATCGACGCCAACCTCTAGAACGTTTAAGACCTGTCCTTGTTTGATATAGATTTCATCGATCTTTCGAGGTATATACGAACAAATTGCAATAGCTTCTGTTGGTGTGGTCATTTTGTTGTGCTGAAAGTAATTCTGGCGGGTTAGGAGTGGCTTGGACGGGTCAGCTCGCTGGCCCAATTCAGGTGATACCGGTATTCGGGATGACGGTCCGGTACTGGTCGTTTGAAAAGACCGAGGCGCAATAAAGTTGTCCATGATCCGTTGTTCGTTGAACACTCGAGCTGAGCACCAACCAGTTATTCCGAGTGATGTCTGCACCTTGTAGCGGTCATCCGCGCCCATCTCTAATACGTTGACGACCTCTCCTCGTCTCACATAGATCTCGTCCGCTTTCTGAGGGAAGAAGTCACAGACGGCGACCGCCTGTAACGTTGTGGTCATTGCGCAGACCTGGAAATAAAAAAAGTGTTCTATAATATACTTGTTTCCTTGCTTACCGAATTTGTTGATTGAGTTTGAGGGTGCTGTGGTGCCCTTTCCGATGTACTGTCCGATTGTAAATTTCGACTGGATAGACGACGTTAAAAGATCCTAACTTTCCGATCGCAGGGCTCAAGTGCACAGGCGACGCTGAACGACCCTGAAAACATCACATTTGCGGATAAAAAAAGGGAGCAAATAAAAAGTGTCGCGAAGAATAGAAATATTGCGTGGAAGCAGCAATGCTGGCTTGCCGTCACGAATCGAACAGATGAGTGAATAGATTCACCGCAAGGTTGGTTCCGGCGGAGGCCAGTGGGAGAGCAGACGAATGACGAGAACAAGAAGAGGAGGAATGGCTGGAATGGCCGAATCTCGGCCTTTTATAGTCGACCTGAGTAGATCAAATGTGGAGGGCGAGGCGGGAAAAGACCCAAAGAAAGAGAGATTAAAGGGCGGTGGCGGAGGGGCCGCAGGGCATCGTTTGAACGAATGCGGACTGAAAGTGCGGATGGAGCACGCTTCCGAGGGGTTGACGCTGATTCCAGGGGAAAGAATTCGACTCTACGATTGTGACGCTTGTTATTTGACATACTTTCCGCAAATTTGAAGTTTTCACTATTTTTTTGAACCGGTAAGCGTCAAGTTTTAAGAGAAACTCAGTGAATCCAAAGCGCATTATTTGATGTCAACAATTGAAAAGATGAAGACAGCCTACACGACTTTTCTGGTGATACCCTTCATGTTCATGCTTCGTCGGCATTGAGTTGTTCGAGAGAAAATAGCATCTTTCTAAAAACCGAATCTGTCAACATTGCCCAATAAACGTTTCATTTACACTATCACATATGGCAAATAGCTGAATTCTTTGATAATTCCACGAAATGGGAACATCAAATGAAATAATGGTTAGGATAAATCGATTAAAAAATGTTAATGATATACAATAAGAATTGATGAGTCCAAAACCGTGACCAACCGTTCAAAAACATCAAAACGGTGAATGGCAATTCAATAAAAGTTGTCTAAACACAGGGCTAATTGTGGGATTTGATTGAGAATGGGGGACTGTTCAATGACAACATAACACATGAAATTGATGGTTTTTAGTTTGAAATGTATAATTATTTAGGCAAAGGACCAGTCAAGCACAGCTTTTCCGTTGAAGAAGAGAATATCGGGTTTGTCGTGTAGTGATTGATAAGAGCGCTCATGTTCATGAACGTGCGATTTCCGATCTTCAGCTGTCCGCCGATGTTTTGCACTTTGAAATGCTTATTCCGCTCAATTCCGCGCATGGAGATGGACAGATCGCCCGGCTGAAAATGGATTTTGCATTCGAAAGAGGGAATCGGCGGCGACTTACATTGCTCTCCGAGTCTCGCACGAGAAATTCTCCCTCGCGTCCATGCTGCAGAAGGTCCTCAGCGCGATCTCTCGAAATACGACCAAAGTACCACGGCTCCTGCTCCATTGGCAATTCTCCTTTTCCAGAAAACTGCGGCTTGAAATCTTGCTGTGGCACTTTGCTGTCGTTTACAACCTGCAAATTCTGGACTGTCTGCGGGATTCAGCCGAATATACCTCGATGTAGTTTCGGGGAACAAGTCCCGTCGTGCCGTATGCATTTTTGGCAAGCCACCAGTCCGGATCATGTGCGGGATGATCGACAATCTCAAGGTGTTCTCCTTTTTTGAACGAGAGCTCTTCCGACGAAGACGCATCGAATGAGTAGAGTGCCACTACAACCTGAAACAATGAAAACAGTCAAAACTGAAATAAGGTAAACAGGTACCTCCAACGAAGCTCTCGGAGCTGCGACACTCTGCTGGATTGGCGGTGGTGGCGGGGCAGCAGCCGATGGATTTCTGTTTTCGATGCTGCCTTGATTTCCGTTCGAAGACGCCTCGACCTCTTCAACGTAATTCGACGGGAACCAGCCGGTCGTTCCGTTCGGAGCCTCTCCTTTCCACCATCCGTCCGTGCTTTTCTCCACGACGTACACATATTCCCCCTTTTGAAGCCCGAGTTCGTCATCCAGTCGGCGCTCGTACGTGAACTTCACAACCGCTTTCGTTCTGGTACTCATCATGGAAATCTGAAAAGAATCAAAGCATGTCCTGCAATATTATTATTTTTTCTCCATACTTTATTTGTTGATGTAGGAGTCAGGGCGCAGTTATTGTTGAGGCTGAAAGCGAGTCGTTCGATTCCGTTTGGCCGTTCTTCCTGGAAAATTATACTGTCGAAAAAAGAACGGAGCGAGTGAAGGAATAGAAACGAAAAAGACGAGCAAGAGAGACAATTCTCGAAGTTTCAGTCTCTCCCTCTCTCTCTTTCTCTCTCTCTCTCTCTCTCTCTCGCCCCGTTTTGTTTCCAAATAAATTGCTGGAAAAAGCGCATTAGTGTTCTACAAAAACAACCGAAAAAGAGAGTGGAAAAACTTCCTCATTGAAGAGTCTATCTTGCGATGAGAGTTTACTTGCATGAAAACTTAATGTGAGGAGATAGCGTGCCAAAACTTTTTCAATGCAGCGAAAATCGATACGGAACGAATGCTGCAGATAAGAAGAGCAACGACCGTTAGTTAATTCGATTGGGCACTCGTAGAGTTAACGAAAAAGAGTCCCAAGTGGCGGGATCTCGTGTCGAGCCTTCTCGCTTCTTGCGTACGTGGCCAGGAGCAGCACAACCTGCTACCTTCAGTCACAAATGCAAACAAAGTGAGCGCTGAGCTCGTAGGCAATGTGCATGCAACCACACACAGGCAGAAATACGATTCGGGGTGAAGAGAGAAAAAGGCCGACAATTGAGACAAAACGTATCGGAGGCAGAGGGAGAGACATTTCGCGCGCCTGTAGACTATCCAACTCATTTGCCCGCTGTACATTGTCGCCCTGGAGCATGATAACGATATCGATACGTACGCGCGGCCATTTCGAGCATACAAATACGCGCGCCTACACAAACACTGACAGTTCGACCATTTACGACGGTTTGAGGACGAAAAAGTGCGAATTTTGAGGAATTTACTCTGTCAAATGATGATATTGTGGGCAAATTTGTGGAGAAACGAGAGCGGAAATTGAGAATTGAGAGGGCAATCTGTCAAAAAGGCAGCGAACGCAGAGAACAGAGACAAAACGGGAAGATGACGAGCGAGAGAGGTCGAGTGTGCGGGAAAGGACCCACCAGGCGGCCCAATACCCAATATTTTACGCGCAAAACATTGTTTCGCCGGTAATTAACTTTTCGACAAAGGGTTCAGAAAGAAATAAAGAAAACGAATGGGTATATCTGACAGTTCAAGCAAAAATTGATGACTTTCGTTCATATTAAACGTTTTCGCCAAACAAATCGATCAATTTCAAAATAAATGGAAACCATTTAAAGGAACGTCAAGCTGTGACATCATGTGTTTGAGTTGTAAAGGTCGGATAGAAAAGATCGATACCTTCTGACTGATAACGGACGGAATGGCAACGACAGAGAACCTTATCAATTATGTTATAATACTTTTCGAGCGCTTCGAAGGCAGGTTGGTCAATCGCCTCACGTTGACTATTCTAATTATCGAACACCATTATGCCAGCATCAAAAAGCCTGTGTAAACACAGTCTATCTTCCACGTGAGGACTGGTTTTGACGGTTATGAGAACTGTCTGTGTGCGACATCACAGCCGACTGCTGTGCCGCCGCCACCGCCGTCTCATTTGAAGGGTATGTGTTAAAGAGGAACACTCACTGGCTCGGGATCTGAGGATCGGTTGCGACCTCGCGCCAGTCCCTTAATTGTGCCTTTTGCCTTGTCCACAATCGACTCCTTTCGCACATAGTTTGATGGCACAAATCCAACGTTGTTCGCATCGTTCACAACCTGAAACACTTCAATATCGTTTGAACGATCACTGGCTCACTCACCTTCCACCAGTTTTTGCTGTCATCTAGCAGTTTTAACCGTTCGTTCTTTTTAATTGTTAACTCTTGTTCCTCTTGGGCGAGATAATCGTACTTGACAATGACATAGTCCTCCGACATTCTGGATTTCCGATAAAACACCCTGCAAAAAAAAGAAATCCGTTATGAGGAATAGTCGAAATGAGAATACGATGGGAAAGGTGACGGATCGGAAGAAGTGAGAAAAGAAAAAGAGAATGGGCCAACTCGTAATTGATGTCGTCAATCCTACCACCGGCCGTCCCTCGTCGCCTACACCTATACCTGATAAAATCAACATTAGTGAGCGGAAAAAAAGAAGAGAAGGCGCATCTTCAACGTCGCACACCACTATTTTTCTGGGATATATCGGTCAATGTCAATCTGTTCAAAGTCAGTTAGACTGTCGGAATGTCGAAGCGTGTCATGAACGTGTTCCGGTACATTACGCGTATCTAACTTTGCAAAACGTATACTATTTTCTTCCGCTCTAAACCTTTTTGACCATTGCTGACAAATACGGTGAAACGAATCGAAACAAAGAACTGTGCGAAAAGTTGGGGAGTGTGAAAAGGAGGGAATAATAATAAGTAGCATAATGCCAACAACATTGGCTATTCAATATTACTATTTTGTGTGCAAATATCAGGTTTTGGTCTGGAAAGAAATAGTAATTCAATGGTGAGAAGAAGAGTTCGCGCGCGTTTCCAGAAAAAAGTAAATGGCTACTATTATGCGAAAACTTTACTTTTTCACAGTTTGCACGTCATGCCGATAAAACACGATCTTCGGATTTAGGTCTTGTGTACGAAAGTTCACTTCTCCGTTTTCGTCAAAACAATCCTTCTGAGAAAGGATTTTTCAGTATAGAAGCTAGACTACTCTCATGAAAGGGAAAGAAAATGTGAGAGCTGCGAGAGAGAATTCATGGTGAAAGGACAGGTGAATCACGCTCACGCGCAGAATTGGATTTCGTCAGAGAAAAAGAATTTTCCGAGGAAAAAGAGTGAGAGAGAAGGAGACGGCTGCCGATGCACTCTTTGAATCAGAAAGCTCATTCATTGCCTATTCTGCACTTTCGAAATGGAAAATTATTCTTCTTGTTTCTCGTGCGTGTGACAGAAAAGCGTGTCTGGATGGTCGGTGCAAAAAGGGGGAAGGAACTTCGCAGGAAAAAAAGAGAAACACAAGCAAAAAGCAAAAACAAGCAAGAAAGGGAGCAACAATGGATAAGAGAGCCCCCGTCTTCTGGGCTGCGTACACATTCACGGACAGGACACGACTCAATGACAAATGATGGGAATTTTTGGTTTCGGAAGGACCACAGAGGAGCAGTGGCAGAGAGCGCTAGAAGACGTATTGCCAAAATAATGTGGCAAACCGCGGGCGAGAATGGTGCTGCTGGATGGGCTCGTAAGTGAGACGGAATGAGGACATGCACCGAATGATGCTCATCGAGATTATCGAATCATTTTGGATGATGATGAGCGCCTATTTACGGAGTAACACTTGCCTTCCGTGTGCCATCGGGGTGTTCATTCATTCGTCTTGGCCGCCTGGTGACGAGTATTAGCAGAAAAAGTAGGGGAGAGCGTGGACGGAGGAGGGGCACAACAACAACAACCACCACCATTACCAATTATTCCGTCGACTCTCTCTCTCTCTCTCTCTCTCTCTCTCTTTTTCACTTTCTTCGTTGCTGTTCGCATGGAAACAGAGAAACATTATAATCGTTGAATAGGCTACTAACAATGTGTGTTGGCGATTGGCGATTGGGGAGCATTGGGAAACGGAGGCCATACGTTTTCGATGTGAGTCATGAAACAGACGTGAATCAGAAGGAAAATAACACAAACGCTTTCAAAAATCATTTTGATTGCCACTATTGAGTCTTCATCAATCTCGATTAGACCCATTCAATCACAAATGACGGAAGTGTTCGAATTAGAGCAGCTGGACTGGAAAAGCAGGTGCCCGACACTGGTGCTGAGCGACAAATTTGACACGTGTCCAAAAACTGACCGACACATTCTAGCATGATTGTCAGCTGCGCTGGTCAAAGTCAACGAAAACTGTATGAATTTTTCTTACCAGCAAAGTTATTTTGAGAAGCTAAAGCTGGATAAAGAATACTAAATGACAGTTTTGGCCCAACAACAATACGCGGCATGAAAATAATCCTACTTTATTATAGATCTCAAAGCGTATTGTTGGCATAGACCGCAAACGTTTCCTTTTCTCCTATCTCTAAATTTCCATTCTTGACGACAGATCTTGAGACCGGAATAATTCAGTGATACAAAAAAGAGGGATAATTAGATAAAAGGGAAATGTTGGGCATCCAAGCAACCAGGCTGAGAAATGATACGGACACACACACACACACACGCATTTGAATAATTCCAATTCGGAAGGACAATGAAGGTGTAGAACAAGAAAAAGCATGTATTCAGACATGGACCGGTGTTTGGAATACGTATATGCAATTGGAAGTACGAATCGGAAACGAGCCGGGACGATTGTTTTTCGAGGGGGGCGAAGAAAAAGAAAAAGTTTCCGAAACGTCTCGTATTTCTCCTTCGCACTTGTGGTAATTTATCCTTAGAAACCGGGGGTGGAAAGTGGAGGAAGTGCGGATAATTATAAACGTTTGGCATTGAAATGTGGTCGGGCTGCGATTATTAGAGTTTAGAGACGAAGGAAATGTTGAAGTGGATGTAGAGTCCGACGGGTTGGGGGCCTTCTTGCGTCTGCAGATGGTAATTAGTGCGTGGATAATTCTTGTGGCTTTGCTTTTATGATTGAGATTTGCAAGCAAGACCTTGTGGCAACATTGCAATGCCAGTAGTCTAAACGGCTCATAATTCAGAGGTGTCTGTGGCAACCAAGCGAAAATGTGCGATCACACGTGCTAAGAAACGCATATACGCATGCATACACACAGCCCATTGATGGATGCGTTGAGATAATGGAGAAGCGAGAGACGCAGCAAAAAAGAGACCACCGTAATAAAAAATGGATCGTTTCATCGGTTCGTCGGACGTCGTTCGACGTTTTACTCTCCAGGTTCGTCAGTTTTTCATAAATCACACCACACACAAGGTGACAGAATCCAATCTCTAATTTGGAAAGTACCGGCGGTAAGAAATGAAGAAACCAGAAGACGCACAGCACTAACATTACGTCGGTTTGTGTTAGAACGCGCAGAGATGTTTACAGAAGGCGTCACTAAATGGTACAACCTTGCTGAGTCATACGTAACCAGGGATTACTCATAGAGCACGGACTAAATGAATTGAAACGCAAGGAATTCGATAGGGAAAAGGAAAAAAGGGAGGCAAATTGGTGTACTCGGGGGGTGTGTGACGCCAATCTCGTCGCCGGCTGTGGGTGTACCAGTATTAGTGGGTGAGCGGCAGAGATGAGCCCGACCCAAGAGACTGGAGAAGAAGTGAGAGGCGCAGAGAAAGGGTCGGCCGATAGAGAACGGGTCGGTTGAGGATGATCGCGAATGTCATATGTCACAGTGCTTTCTTAGAGATGGATGATGTTGATCCGCTGCCCACACGTACTGCCTACTACTCGCAATCAAATTATCAGGGCTTATTGCCGGCAAAAAATGCGACAAGTTCTATGATTCAGAGAAAAGAGAACAAGTGAACTAATTGGGAAGGGAATGGGAACACTGATCAGCGTTATCAAACGGAACTAATAGGGGGAGGGGCTGTCTACCTTTCTGGCTGATTGCAAAAAAAGGAAATGTTCCTATCCGATTTCACGCCTTCTCATCATCAGCAGCAGTGACCTCTTTTACCTACAGAACACAAATTAGGCAAACGAATTCTTCCGATTTCGTCAGCACGTTGACCCTATTCGAGACGTTTTGAGAGTGTCTGCCACATTTCTCGCCTATGCGGACGCCCTGTTTTGCCTATGTCAACATCTTCCGTTCTTGCGGAGGATTATGGTAAAATAGGCTTATTCGAGCAAAAATTGAGGTTCAATAAGCGATGACAGTGGGTTGAGAGCATGTTGGACGAGTGACGTGTTTTGAAATCGAAATGTTGTGCAGCAGAGATATCGCAATCAATCAAATGTTTTTGTTGGCAAGTGCAATTGGATGCGTGCTGGGAAAGTGCAGGATTGGGGGCTCAGAGGCTGGCCTCCAGCGTGTTTCACTCCCAAAAACGGAAATCATCGAAGCGTGAGAGTGAAGGTCACAAAAAGTTCAGCTACACTAACAGATCCAATTTCCTATAATTATTCTATTATTCTATTAGACCGTGGATGGAATGTAATGCTGAGCAAAAAGGAAACGGACGAGCGCTTTTTTTTTGAAATAAGGCGGCATGATGCATTAAGGCGAGGCAAAAGTTGATGGTGGTCTGAACTTTTTGGACGTCATAAAAGCGTCAATAAAATTTGGTTGGTGAAAGAGAATGCGCGGCGAGGAACAGAAGATAGACGAGTTATTCGTCAAGTAGCCGTCGGACTATGCGGGCAAGTTGTGTGCCACATCTCGCAACAAAGCCAAATTTTTGCGCCCACGATTGGAATTTCGAATGGAAAGAGGAGAAGGAGGAAGAGGAAAAGGAGAGGTCCAGGGAAAGGATTTGTTGGATAGATAAGAAGAGCGTTTTTCTTTGACTGTTGGGTCCAAAATTGTTTATTCGATGGGTTGGTCGTCGCGGAATGTGTTCTTTGTCGGACAAAGAAACACAAGGGCTGACAACTGATTCTCAGAGCTGCCTGCCTGGGCATCTTCCGTTCGATTCGTGTGTAACATTTGATGGACAATTGAGATTTACGACTATTGAACACGCACTGAAAGTTTGCAGGACGGAGACCGCCCCGGCGGAAACGCCAAACTTACTGAACTGTTCGTTTTGAATAAGCAAAGACAGTGCAGCGAATTCTAAGATCAACAGTAACAATACAAAAGAGGGCGAGAGCGGAAAAACAAGAAGAAATGGTCAAGTTTTCTCGGCGGATTGAATTTCTTCTTTTTCTTTTCGTATTGATGAGAGCGAACGAAATGGTTTTAGGCGAGACATGAGTGAATAAGTGTTTGCCTTACCATGATTAATTATTTTGCGCGTCTGACCGAAAATTGAAGAAAAAAAGGGAGCGCCGAGAGAAAACATAACCTTAGACAAAGAATGCATGCATACACAGACACGTTTCGATTCCTCCTTGGGGGTTTATTTATGACGGTGCAAACTGAAGAGAAGATAGAGGAAACAAGGAAAAAAAGGAAAAGAAGAAAGAAGAAGAAGATGGATTTCCTTCCAACATCCGGTCAGTTTGTAGCAAAGTGCGAGGTGCTCGTGTGTAATAAAGTTGATATGCGCGGTGGGAGGCTCACTTGAGCCAAACCCAAGGCGAGAAGCACTTAGCGGGTTGCGGCGACTCGCTCTCCGAGTGCGGATACATCTCAGATGAGTTGTCCGTATTGTTTTTTGAAATTTGAACCTTATTCGGTTGTGTACGAATAAGTATAATGACAGATGTTGGGACGGGGGGAGAAGGGGGACTTTTGAGTCTAGTGTTACATGTTCTCTACAAGTGGTTAGGAACAAGCTTCTTTCGGCTACTTGAGATACTTGCCGATTTTGAAGAATTCGTTAAGAGTTGTGAAAGCTAAAGGGTGATTCCAAGAAATCTTGCAAAAGTTGCATCGTGGGCCTTTAAAGGAAAAAACAATCAATAACTCTGAGTTTCAAAAACCCTGAAAAGATCTGCACAAGTCAAGTGGATGAAAAGTGCTCTCTTCACAAAAAGCCAGTCAGTTCCATCCCAGTTTTTTGCACAGACCTCAGCAATCTTTTGGAAACACGTGTTTTGCTTTTTGTTAATAATCCCATACCTCTTTCCTTTTCAGAAATCCTCTTTTCGTTAGCTGTCTAGTGGCCCTTTTCGGTTTTCTTCCTTATTTTCATGGTCTCCTAAAAGACAGGAATTGTGAAACGTACTCTGAAATTTGCAGGATTCAATCAACAAATGCAGTGTAATCCAATTATGGCCAAGTGATACGATCGGAGGAGCAGTGTCGACACCGAGCCGTAGTTGTGTTCCATGCTTCCCTCCCGTCTCTTCCACGAGGTGTTCTCGCTCGTCTTCCTCTCATTTTTAGGTACTTCCAACTCCTTCCCTTTATGTTCTTCTCTGAACCAATTCTTTTAAGCGGCTACAATATAAGAAGTCTTCGTTTCGGGCTCTCGTACTAATTGACTCGCTTTTCTTTCCATCGAGGGCTTATCGCAAACCCGACGACTTCTTGATTCCCGCCCTTTTTCATTTCCTGCGCGGCTCACTAAAAGGTTCGCAGATTCTCTTGTTTGCCCCCTTTCAAATCCATTATTTTTTGAAGACAAGTCGTTCAAACTGGCTTCCACGTCCGCTTTTCGGATTCCTATTTATGTTGGTAAAAAAGTTTCAACACTTATATAATTGCAAACTTTTTTCTTGAAGAATCGCGTCCGCAACTTCTTAGCTCGTCACTTATTGCTTACAAACGTCGGAACAAGTTGCGCCCAAATTGGAACAGCCGACATAATTCAGCAGCACATTAATGGTGACGTCGATCGTGACGGATGGGACTGGCGGCGAACATGTAAAGTTTTCAATTTCTTTTTCGCGGCTTTCGTGACAAACTTGCATTTTGAAACTAATTAGTTGCCGGGAAGGTCAGAAAGAAGAGGGTTTTTGGAATGACGACTTTCCGCTTCTCCCTTGGGAAATCATAGGAACCTCCTAGATTAGAAGTAGTCAGTGTCGATGTTTTGCGATAATAGTTGAGCTAACAACGGAACAGTTGCAGGTAGAATGGCAGCAATCGGACTGGTCATGGCACCAAGTTTGCATTGCTTTTATCGGGTTTTGGACACGAGAAAGTTCAAAGGCTCCAAAGAAAGCAAAGTTTTGAAGAAACTGGCATGGGACACCTCGTTCATCCCGTTTTTCTCTTGTACTTTCATCACAGGTACCCAACTCAATTTATAAAATTTCAGTGACGAAATCCTTTCAGTCGGAGCCATTTATGAAGGAAAATCATTTCAAGCAGCGTTTGCAGAATACCAACGAAAAATGTGGCACATTTGGAAGGTTTGAGATACTGTTTTTCAAAGAAAAACTGGTTCCCACTTGCGTATTTCAAATCCCATTCAGTTTTCGTTTCATGAGAGAAAGTTTAACGACTTCCCGGAAAATACTCAATTTTTGAACGATAAATAGAAACCGGTTCATTTGGGTGACAGCAGAATAGAAAAGATCACAACCACCAAGGTTGATAATGAATAAATAAGAAGGTCTAGTTATTGTACCGATTCCCGGACGGTTTTTTCCCTCGGTAATAACAAAGTATGATGTCCCTGTGCAAACTTGATCTGCCTCCTACTCAATAGTCATACGGATCACCTCTACACAATAACCGCGACCAGAAACTTGTTTCTTGTGATGCAATGAATGTACATCCTCCGGGGGCGTCAGGCATAATTTTCCGGTGATGTATACTTCATGTACGTCTTCATTTTTACAGGTCGACTTCACACTTTGGCCCCCCGCCCAATTAATCAACTTCTACTTTCTGCCGCCCGCGTTGCGAGTGGTTTACGTGAATCTCGTCTCGTTACTCTACAACTGTATCATGTCCTACATTAAGAATAACGAGCTTCATCACACTGCCAACTAGGCAAACTTCTTCCTCAACGTCCCGTTCTTCTAGACGCTCATTTTTGCATTGCAATTTCTACGCGCTGTCTGTTCGGATGTTCGAAATGTTCCTTCTTTCAATCCAGATGGATACCGTTCCTCTTTTGAAATAAATATAATGACTGCAAGTGTCTCAAGCATTTTTTACGGGGAAAAGGTTGAGAGGAAAATTGGGAAATTGGAAAATTGAAGCAGTGCACTTATGATTTTCTCACCGGAAAGGTTCGTGGTAGAACCGGACAATTGAAATCAACAAAGCGGTGCGGTTAATCTGTCTGTCCCTCCGGTAATCTCACATTCTCTTTGGTACCCGTGCCGCTCGGCTGAGACCCGGATAACCGGTGTTATCCGGCCGGTGTGAATTTTATTTTATTTTTCAAAACTTTCCATGACACATCGCCTCATTTCTCTCCACCTAACAGCCAAATAGTGAGTATGAAGGCATGACTCTAATTCCTTGAATACCTGAGAAGATGTGCATGTTCATCAGTTGACTAATGAAATACTCGCACGCATACTCTTCGTGCATAACGCAATTTCTTCCGACTTGTTTCATCGCTTTTCGAATTTCGATTTATTTTCACGTTCAGGTATGAATTTCACACTTGTCGATCAAAATCTCACGGAAGTCTACGATACATCATGGAACTACACGTACCCAACCACAGAAAAAGCGTACGTGGCTTCGCATCACTATTATAACCATCTTGATCAGATTGACTACATTACTTTCAACAAATTCATAAATGCGTGAGTTTTGTCTTTAAAAATGTTAAAGGGAACATTTTTTACAGATCTATACACTTTTTAGATCCTGGATTCATCCACACAACTGTATTTGATTTCATTCGTCTTGGTATCACGGTTTTGGGAATTATGTTCAATATATCGGTATTAGTAGCGAATCTGGTGAATGGGAGGAACAAGCATGGTATACTCAAGTTAGTTGGACAACTATGTATTGATAGTGAACAGTTTTTTTCAGAATCAGACTTCTTGTGCTCTTTCTTTTACTCATAATGACAATCACTTGCATTATTATGACTGTTATCTTCATCTTCGACTGTCTAACGGACGTGAGCCAACCTAATTTGGACCATAAAACGCAATTTCACATTTATTTAAATTTCCAGGTCTATGTAGATCTTCAGAAGCTGTGGAGCGAAACGGAACAAGACGGCGAAATGTCGTTTTTGTGGAGGAATCTGGCCGATTACCTCCTGCAGCCGATGTTCGACCTCCAGTCGATTATGATGATGTACATTGCGCTTGATAGATATGCCAGTTTGTTTGTGGTCGGTGAATGGACATCAAGTTGTGTCTTATGTTTCAACGTTCAGGGTTACTGGCCATTCATTGAGAACCGCAAGAGATTAGCCTATTTTCTCACGGCTCCACTGGTTTTCGCATTCATTCTTATGAGCCCTGGAGTTCTACATCTAGTCCTGCCATTTGAAAGTTTTCTATACGCAAGGTTCATTTCAGTTCAAATGATAAATGAATCAACAAAGTTTCAGACTTGCACTTTTGCTACTCCCATCAGCCATCTCATTCCTTCTTCTCTCAGTTTGTCTCGTGATTAAGAAAGAGAGATTGAATTATGACCCTGGGTTTAGCATTTCTCTCTCAAAGTAGGTGCTAAACTATATTTCCTTGTTTTCGTCGACTTGAGGAGTTCAAGGACTTTTCGAAATTGTTTTTCTTTTTCTTTCAGAGCTCTGGTCCGTGTACTTTATATAATTGTGATAATGGACTTTGTCAGTCGCATTTTTCTTTTCTTCCGCCTCGCCGAGGACAACATCGACTTTGTTGTTCTCACGGGATCGGAGAACGGAGACGCTGTCCTTCACACCGTATTCAATATCGGCTTACAAGTACGCATCAATTCATCATTTACCCCTTGCCCCCTCTTTCTCTCACTTCCTACCGATCATATGGTTTGACCTGTCACCTTTCAGGCCTCCATCTGCGTCTACTACTTGGCGCCTGTATATATTCCGATCGCCCTGACACTCTTCGTCAAACATTTCAGGGATTCGGTAAAACTGGAAGTCTGTTGACCAAACCATCAAATTATTTCAGATTTTCTGCTGTCAACGGCTCAACAAAGTGCACATCATCTAGTCTTTTCGTTTGGTTCTTCTTCACTTAGGTCGAAATTTCAGTGAACCGTTTTATAGCTACAATAAACTGGTTTGAAAAGATAAAACTGTAAAGCTATGCGAAAACAGAGACAAAAATCGAAATCAAACATAGTTTGAGACCGGCGTCTTGGAATTATTCAGATTCCAGTCACCTTTCAAAGGTGATAATGAACCGGTCGGATCTTCCTCATTATCATTCTTTATGAGACCCCCCCCCCTTTTCTTCCGTGTCGTCCATCCAATTTCCCTCATTTCTCCGAAACTTTGATCTCATTTGCAAAGTACTTGAACATGTTTTTTCTTGTAAACCAGAGACGTGCACCCCATCCGACAAACAGTGAAGTGTTGTGACGTAGGTTGTGACGTCGTCGCCGCCACGATTACTGTAGGCGGCTCTTCAGGCGCTGACGTAGATTTCCTTCGAAGGCTGGACGTCGTATATAAAAGTGGACATGGTAATGGTTTTCCCCAATAAGAGGTTCAACAAACTGGTATTTCTGGCTACACCACCACGAGAACGTTTGCCGGCTAATTATGCTTCGGGCTACTGCAGAAGTTAGGAGGGGGAGAAAAAGTAATAGGATGGATGGTCAAGCAGATCAGTCGCCGTTTTTAATTATGTTTACCTCCAGTTTGAAACCGTGTGAAATGCAAAAAACTGTGACTGGCTAATGCTGCCGCAGGTCAGGCCCTCCCCAAAACGTCCTCCTCTTCTCCTATCAAATTTTGATAAGTGACCACTACTTGACGGCGCCTACCGGTCACTCTCTTATCGTTTTTTCCCATTTCATCTTAGTGACCTGCCCGAGAATTCAGAATTCCGAATTGGACTTGAAAAGCAAATCGAATCGAGAATTCAGTCGCCTATCAGCTATAATCAGAAGTGGTTAACTGGTGGCTGCTGATTGCGTCTCTACAAGTTCCGACGTCTCACACTCACTTATTATTATTTGTAGTTGTTCTTCATTTTACACCTTCTTCCCTTTTCTCCTTTCTAACAGTAATAATGCACTCTGTCATGCATTTTTTATTACAGTTTCGATAAACAGGGTCAGAAATCGAATGGGTAAACTTTCTGATACCGACTTATCTCAATCCTATTGACCTTATTTGCGGTTATGTCTCATATCTTTAAGTTTTCTGCAAATTCGTATTTATTCTGAGAAAAACAACGGTGGTCTTTTATAATCCCCAAAGACCAGTCTCTCTCAGCCGTTAGTTCCTAAAATGCGATTCCGTTCCACGATTTCCTTTTGCTTTTTAGTACAGAGTCTGTCTGGATCCGGAAATTATTTTCCAGTTACTCATTTGCTTGCCCTATAAATATTAGTTCTGACAAGAATTTCACGGCTTATGTTAGTCATCCAAAGCAGAACAGGAGGAAATCAAGACTGGATCTATTGTTCGGGTGTGTGAAACCAAAACTCTAGATCAGTGAATCCATTGAGACGGGTCAACTCGGTATACTACCAAAATCTTTTCGTTATTTCTTCTCTCCAACTGTTACAAATGTGTACCCTCTAAAATGATTCCAGTTATTTGCCGAAAAACTTTAAATTTCGAATTGTGTTCCACAAGAATGCGATGCTTCACATGCCACAAACACAGAATGCGTAGGTACCCTATAAAGCACTGCGATCAGGCGCTTCTTGATTTCCCCCATCCTGTTTTCGGCGGTAACATATCATAGCACTAGACATCAGTTAGTTTTTGCAGCGACTAACATGCACTTTGAGAATTTAGAATCTAGGGAGCAGACTGTGTTATTCATTCACTGGTATCAGAGATTATGTTGTTTGTACTTGAGGGAATAACAACGTGACTAAGCGTGCGAATATCATGGAATCACTGCATGTTTTGATAAGGCTCGTGACTGGCGGATTTTGAACCGGCAAGTATTGGGATATATAATGTGTCTTCCAGAAAACAAGTATCATCCGATCCTACCCTCCATACTCTTAATATCTTTCAATTTTACTGCCATCAAACCGTCTCCAAGGCCAAAGTTCACTTTGGGCCGGCATTTTTCGCGTGGTTCGTGTGACCTTCACTGGCTTCTTCCAGCGAATGACCATTCGAACTAGTAGTAGCCACTGCTTATCAGTCGAGACCTGCGTCTCTGCAGACACTTCCTACTCTTTCGCCTCTTTGCAAATTCCGTCTATTTTGATCTGTTTCACACCTTGAAACCTGTCACATGATGCGCGCAGATTTTCAGCAGCGGCGGCGACAGTGCTAGGCATTGGAAACACCGCAATCAGATGTAGGCCAGGGGTCTTTCTGATCGGGCGTCTCAGGCTACGGTAAGACGTTGGGCTAGCATGAACTGTGTTTTGTTCACTCGCTTAATTAATAACAAACCAGCGGCGGAGCCTATCGCCGAAGTGCGAGCGGTGGGAGTTGTTTCCTGGATAATCGGCAGGAGAGAATTGTTATTCTATCAGGACCCAAACAAACCAATTGGAAAAAAAAGTGTGGTGTTCTGTGTTCTCTCTGTGAATTTCGATGAAATTCTTAGTACACGGAACACCCTCGGGGTGCCCTTCCAAGGGAAATCCAATTCACTATATATTCGAGCGTTTTTTGTGTGTTCTCCTCCAGATTCAACTCTGTTTTCGATCCTTCTTTTCATTTGCAAAAAACATCTACGACGTATACATGATCCTCTTGCCCTCACGCCTTCAAATCCTATTTTTCACTTTATAATCACTGAATTTCTCACTAAATTTCATTTTTTCAGAAATGAGCATCACGATTCTCAACGATCCCCAACTCTCTTCCGACGTTTACGACTTGCTACTGTCCAGGACCCCAACCCTTGGCTGCTTCTGCGATCGTATCCCCTCTTCATCAAGGATCATGTGCCACGACTCCATCATCTCCAATCAATCTTCCAGTATTGAACGGATCACATCGAGTCCCTACCGGAACGACGGATAACTCCCCACCGTAGCAGTAGGCAGTGATTTGCAGTTCCAGTTTCCGACAGCTTATACTCGACAGATCTCAATACTGTTAATATGTACATACACTAATAATTGTTTTCCGATCACGTGTACCATATTTTTTTGATGAATGAACCTCTTTGATGACAATATTTACTCGATACGTTTAACTCTTCACAGTTTGAGACACGGTTGAGAAAGGATACTGTAGATTGGCGAAACAATTGAAAAAATGGGAAGTGAATGATCACGAACTTCTTTTGGTTGGAGTGGTAGTGTTTATGTGACACTTTAAATAATAAAGACAATTTGACAATGAACAATATCATGTACAGTTCAGAAGTTTTTTTCACAGAAGGATGCTCTTCATGATACACATTGGAAAGTTAGACTTTTTCAAATTTTGGGTTGCGAAATAGTCTCCCCAACGTTTCGCAACTCCACGTGAAACTTTCTCAGTGCAATTCATGGCTAAGTGATTCACATTAGTTGCGAAACGTCGCAGTTTTGAAATGCCGGTCCCATCTCCATTTCATATGGTTTCAATCAGACTACTTTTCTAAGAATTCATATTTTTGCAGCTACCGTATCCAGAGTTTTTCCATAACATTCCAGAACGCAAGTTTTCTTGCCTTTGTCCATGTTCTTGCCCTTGTTACTCCCACATTGGCGTAGTCCTTTCTATTTATTCCTTTGATAGTGTAACGCACCGAACAAACTTCGGAGTACTGTTCGGCTTCCGAACTACACACTCGATTAACTTCTTTCCCTCGCACTTCAATCATATTTATCTCCAGAAGCTCTGGAAATTGAGGCACAACCTTCGTTTTTGAGATTCTAGAAGTACCCCTGTTCTCCTGTAAATACTAAGAATCGCAAGTTGTCCGTGGGAACTTTGTCCTTTCAGTTTTTCAGTTTACTGTTCACAATTCGTGTAGTTTCTGGCGTTATTGTGGCGTACTGGAATTTCACACTAGGCTGCATAAATTCAGATTGGTTTCTTGCTCATGTTTTTGCAGATGAAATAAGGAAGTGAAGTTTCTCGATGGAAATTAATTCCATCTCAGCAGAAATATTTTTCTGTTTTTAGATCTTTGCTTCTCGACAAACATCGCTTTTCAGACAAAGATCAGGAGAATCGGACGCCACGAGACAAGCAATTCTTGGAATTCTTGAATGCACTATGTAGACTTGTTTTTGATAACTCCAATGAATGATATCAGAATAAACTATTCTTCATTTTTGATAACCTGCAACAAAAAGTCAAAAAACAATTGGACCAAACCACACGGGGGTGTTGATGAGAAAATTAATAAATTATTTGAACTGCGTCCCGGTTATCGATGGTGAATACTGTTCTGTGTGATTGTGATAATAAATTAATGTGCTCTCGAGTGTTCACAGAGTGATCCTTGTCTGAATGGTAGCACACAGCAGCTCTCGGTAAGGATCGCGATTATCTCGAAGACGGATTACCAGTTGATAGGCCGACTGAAAACAGAGACTGTGAACATTGACGAGGCACACCCGTCACTCTTCGATCACTAAGGATTTCCAGTACGTTCGCCGTCACGTTTACCTTATGATCAGTACCCACCAAGTCATAGTGAATCATTCGGAACAGGTTGGTGAACAACTTTGTCGGGTCAATCTCAAACTCAATCACTTGTCGTCCCGGGCTGACTGGGCACGACGGGTTGTCGTCACACATGTCGTAGTTGCTTCTGCAAAAACAATGTTTATTATGATGATGTGCACACGGCGAATTGCTCACAGCAAACCGAAACTCGGCAAAAACATCCAGCCGCATCCAAACCAACCAGTTGAACGTTTGAAGATTGAGACCTCAACCCCCAAATTGTCATATCTTAAACAAATGCAATTAGAAAGATTGACTAAAGTTGCAAAAACCTCTTATTAGAATTGCTGGATACATCCAAAAAGATACGGATGGGGGAAGTGAAAGAAACTGGATATGCGTCATCACCATTACCGTTTGTGATTGCTCCACCATGGAGTTCGAATTTCGTGTCTGACAAGATGAACAGAATGATTCATTTTCCTAGTACCTGTACTCTCACCATCTTTACATTGGAAAAAAGAAGGCCTGACTCTGGTTCTGTTCGGCAACGCCACACACTCTTCTTCTTGTTCTACAGAAGAATCTCTCAAAAGATACGGAGCAGTCGGTGCGGCTTCCGGGTTATCGGTGTTGTCTTCATTAGAACCAGCTGCCTCATTGCTGGCATCTTGGTGACTTCCGAAGTTACGGAGAGATCGAAGTCGGGCAGGCTGAATCGAGGCAACACGGATACTGTACTAATTCGTTTGGTCAACACTAATAACAATGAAACAAGTGTGAAATGCAAACAACAGGGCTCAAAATGTTACCATTTCCTTCTCAGCTTCCTCACTGTCCAACTCCACTTCTTCTAAACTAGCGAATATGAGCGGGAATAGTAGAAATAAGAGTAAAAACGGTCTGGCCATCCTGATGCAACTCTTCGTTTTGTCTATTTGAAACTTTTTGGAGCCGGCGGCCGCCACCTGAGTGTATCGAATGTTTAGAATAAAACACAGATGAGTGCAAATTGAATAGAGCACTCGACGCACGAAAAGGTGCGGGTCGTTTTTGAATTGCCTCAGGTGCTAGCGGGAGGTCGACGGGAGCGCTCTTTTCTCCTGTTCTCTGTGCTTTATATACCTGACCGTCTTTTTCGAGAGGAGACATGGGGCGTGCTTGAAAATCCGACAAAAACGCGATTCGCACCTGGTTTCAAGGCCCCGCCAAATCACTTGAGAGCCGCGTTCGTCGCTCGATCAATTTCTAATTAGAGCAAATGGTGGTGCACTTGAGATTGCCGTTTTCGGCATCAAGAGAGTATTGTCGCTTTCGGGGCACTGTCTCTTCCCCCTTCTTGACGAGTTTTTATCACAAAATCGTCATTGAAGCGGTCTGGACCGTCCCGGTGTTCGTGCAAATACCGGAGAGAACAAAAAATCACGATTGACGCTTGGATTTATCGAAAATTAGGATGAAGGAAGGGATATAAAATAAGAATCATGGAATCATTTAGAATTAAAATAACTCAGCAACTGAAGTACTGTTTTTAAAAGTGAAACCTTTCAAAAAAGTGTATTGAAATTTCGGGGTCGAAACTCGAACATGTCAAACAACACTGGGCGGGAATCGGCTTTAGAACTACAAGTGACATGAGATAAAAATAAAAAACTGCTGTAGTGAAATGTGACATAGGAGATGATTTGATCAAGGAATGAAATATGAGAAAGTAAGATGTGAAGTGTTTGAGAGATATAATAAATAAAAACAAAATCAAACTCTATCAACAGAAATTTGTAGATAATATGTACTCAATCATGCTCATCAGTATAAGAAATGTTGTCTTCAAGAGCATAATGATTTGCGGCTTGCCTCAAAGATTCGAAATTCACGGGGCCAGTTTGAGCGGCCATCTTGGCAAAAAGCGAAGTCGGCTCGTTCAACAGCACTATCGGTTTGTCGAACTCTACCAGCGCTCCCTTTTCGAACACCTGCAACTCGCAAACATAAAGTCTGTTTGCACTTAGAAACCTCTTACCATTATCCGATCACTGTTCATAATGGTGTGAAGGCGGTGCGCAACAGTGATAATCGTGGACCTTTCGAAGCATTTCCAAATGGTTTTCTGGATGATGGCGTCGGTGTTTCCGTCTACATTGGCAGTTGCTTCATCAATAACCAACACTTTCGAGCGATGGATCATTGCACGGGCCAGACAGAATAACTGACGTTGTCCGACGGAAAGACTCACTCCATGATTACCCAGTTGTGCTTGCAATCCCTTTTCTCTTGAAATTGCCTTTTTCAGATCACACTGCAATTCACGTGTCATATTTCTGTTATTAAAATTGTATTTCGTTTTTCACCTGTTCCAACGCAGCCCAAATGGTTGCGTCTTCGTACTGATTGTAGGGATCGAGGTTCTCCCGGACAGTTCCAGAAAACAGAACTGGTTCTTGTGGGATGATGGACATTCCACCTCGCCTAAACTTCAAACTGACATGATCCAGGTCAATTCCGTCAATAAAAATGTGCCCGTCACAGTAATCTTTCAATCCGAACAGTATTTTGATAAGTGTGGACTTTCCTGCACCAGTTCGTCCAACAACGCCAACCTGAACTCATTTAATATTCAATTTTGGAGACTCTGATTGTGATGCCAACCTTTTGACCTCCAAGTATCACACAAGTAACATTTTTCAGAACTTTTGTTTCTCCGTATTTGACAGACACATTATCAAATTCGATATCTCCTTTTGCTGGCCATGATTGACCCAAATCATCGTCCAAATACGGTTCATGAGGCCTGCGCATACTTTCCTCGGACTTCAAAACGGTGTATTCCAGGACTCTTTCAACGGAAACCATCTGCAAAACCGATGTTTCATTTTGATTCCCACCCACGAGTGTGTTTTCATTGTCTTCTTTTGCAACATTTGCTCGACATTGTGCCCATTCAGAATAAAAAGAGCAGATTTTCGGGGGAGGCAACGGTAGTGTCATTTGGCGCAAGCAAACATTCCATTTGTGTTTGTTATGATGTGTGGAAATGCGACAACCACTTGAGCGGTTGGCGCTTGACCATTGATCGAAACTCTTCTAACCTAATTCATGATGTTCCGGCGGGGGCATAGTCAGCTCTATTGTGAGAGGAGGCACGCAAGAGGGGAAGGGCGAGAGGGACAAAAAACAAACTCACTCCGTTCTCCAATTCGGCGCTCTGCCGCATTATCCACGAGAAGAATCCGCTGAGCTGGACCGAGCACACAAGACACAATCCAACTTCGCCGACAGTCAAAGATTCTACAAATCGGTGTGGTGTAACAGGATATGCGGGGTGGGGGCACTTCACTTACCATATTGGACGACAACGACAAACGAGACAATTGAGACGAAAACGGACACTAAGAAGTCGATGCAGATACCGAACCAACGGGCCGAAAGGCTTCCCATGTTGTAGGCAGCCATGTAAATGTCCTAGAAAGATTTGCGTGGTGACAGAGGAACTGAAACATCATTCTTACATGAAGAACACAGAACTTCTCAATCATTTCTTTTTCTTTTCTGTAAGCTCGGATGATTGGAAGTCCGTAAATAGTGGAAGTGATGAGTGTGTTGAGAGGAGACCGGGCTGGAATCAATTAACTAAAGAAATATTCGTTTTTGTTACTCACCTGCCGACTCAATTCGCTTCAATTCTCGAGATCTTGCGACATAAAACTTTCTACAGATATAAAAACCAAAGGTGATGGGACCGCATGCTACGAACACAATTGGTCTCACGACCATGACCAAACTGACAATTCCGAAAAACGTCAATGCACCCTGGAAATAATATATGTAGTATTCATATTGTTAAGATATACAAACTTACAAAAATAAACTCAAAATAAGTGAAAGCCAGGAGATCATCGGTCAACCCGATATCTTTAGTGAAACGATTCAAAATCGTACCTGAAAAACTGAAAGTAAAGTGATTCGAACAGTTTGTATATACCTTCCGAGTTCTTTTCAAAAAACTCAGACTGTGTATAAAGAACACGGCTGAACATCGAATTATGTAACAAACGAGACGCGGACAACTGGGCGTTCCGGAACCAAACAGATCTCAATACTCCTAGTACTGACATTATGATTGTGCACCAAATGAACGTTTTCTGATAGGTTATGAGAGACACGGTGTATTTGAGTCCGAAAACAGAGACTGTGGAAAGGTATGCACTACTATCAGTTCCATTTAAAGATTTCAACTCATCAAGTCCAACGAGCCTGGAAATGAATTATTTGGCAAACGAATGAATTAATATGTTATTCGTACCATTTGTTGAGAACCCAATCGAGGAAGTTGGTCAAAAGCTGAGTGACCACAACGCAAATAGTCAAAGCCAAACCATAAGTCACCGGCTTGAACACTTCTCTTGTATACTGCCAATACACCCACAATGAGATCGTTCCCCGTTTTCTTGATTCAGTGTTCGGCACAGCTGCCGGCATTTCCTCATCTTTGCTTGGTTCAAAAGGTTCTTCATCGGACTTTGTTTGCTCGATAAGTATTTCAGAAGATATCTCAGGTGCCTTGTGAGGAGATGAAACAGCAGAAGAAGTTGTCTCTTTGTCGTACAAATCTTCGTCATCTGGGGGAAGATGTGACTGAAAACGCGGTGTTCCGAGCCCAACTAGAGAAAATCAACTTACTTGAATATTTGCGAAATCCTCAGGAAAATTGTATTGCAATTCGTCCAAGTGTCCGGACCCAACAATTGAATGATCTTTCATGAGGATTACTGTGTTCACAGTGTTCAAGAAATGAACTTGATGAGTAACAAGAATGACAAGCTTGGCAGACAGAAATCCTCGGATGAGACTGAAAACGATGAGAGAATTCAAGGAAAATTTGTGCGTGAAAGCTTACTTTTCGTAAAGTTGACGGCCAACATAGCTGTCCACAGCTGAAAGCGGATCGTCAAGCAAGTAAATGTCCGCATCAGCGTAAACTGCCCGCGCCAATGCAATTCGTGCTCTCTGACCTCCGGAAAGTGTCGATCCGTTATCACCCACAATGGTTTCGTCGCCTTTCTCCATATGTTTCAAATCGTGATTAAGCATGCACAACTCTATGGATTTCTTGTACCGTTCCTCATCATAATCGTTACCGAACAGAATGTTATCTCGAACCGAACCAGTGAAAATCCACGGTTCTTGGGAGCAATAAGCGATAGATCCACGTGTTTCTAGACTGCCCTTTGTGATTTGAGCTTCACAGAGAATGGTTAGGAGGAGAGATGACTGAAGTGAGACAATAAAAACAAACTTTTGTGTTATTGTAAATACCTTTCCACTTCCAACTGGACCAATTATTCCATAACAGTTACCATCAACGAATTCAATAGACAGATCTCTGACAGCAAAGATGACGTTCACGGAGGTATTAGTATTATCGTCCTGCGCTCGTTTCGCCTTTTTCTGCGTCGTTTTCTCAATAGCATCATGCCAAACTGAAGTCAGTCCGGTAAGGCTAATCTTTGGTTCTTCCGGTCTGTTGTCATCAAGAATCCACGTGACGCGCGGCTGAGCATTCTGAAACCATAATCTTTAGGCATACGCCTTACGTTTTTGCAGCTACCAAAGTAATCTCACAGTTGCCGTTCTGAGCAAATCTCGTTTTCTCTGTGTCTTTTCTAGAAGGAGCTCTACGTGAATACTCTTTCAACCGGAAAAAGAAGTTGATACGACGACTCGTGGAAACCAATTCTCTACCGAAAAGAAGACCCAGTGGGAAGAAAAGAGCAAATGGCAACCTGATGGAATTGTAAAGAGCTGACTGAAAAAACTGCCATTGTATCGTACACAAATATTAGAACAAACCACTGTGAAGACGCTTTCCGTTGTTATTTTCTCATTGTAATACAAGCACTGCAGTATATAGGCAAAGAGACCGATCTTCGAGGACACAAAGTACATGCCCATGACTATAGCCGAACAGTGCGCTGATCTCTTTACGGCAATCATCTCTTTTCTGAAAGTTTTTACAGCTCAAAAATTAGAAACTTTAGATTCTTACTCTCGTAGTTGGTTGATCTTTTTAGCAAAGGCTTCTTCCCATAAGTGCATTTTGATGACGTTGATTCCAGTGATAACTTCACTCATAACCTTTAACCTTGCATCCATTTTTTCGGCCAATTCATGTCTGGTAAAGACACACATTTGAATTTTTGCGTGTTGATATTTTGCCTACCTATTGATACCCATTTGATACGAATGGTACACTTGAAAACCCACGATAATCATCATCACGAGAAAACCCGTTAGACAAGTAAATCCAAAATAATACCACAGCATAACACCATAGCAGAAACTCAAAATTGGGCACAACCAAACATAGTGGATAAACAGAAATGCTTGTTCTAACTTTGCTGCGTCCGTGTTCAGCAATTGGATCAACTGTCCACTGTAGGTTTCCGAAAGGGATGTGAGTGAGAGTCGGAGCGTTTTTTTGTAAAGCAAGACGCCAGTTCCGACTCTCGTGTCATTGCCCACTTTTAACAGTCCATGGAAGTACGGATGATGAATAAACACCGTAGCAAATGAGAGTAGAGAAAGCAAGGCGGCCACTGAAAATGTAAGCATTGTTGAACGTTGTGTTGTTTTGTACGGCACCTATCACGGCCATTTGAAATGGAAACTCGTGGTATATTTTGCGATCGTAATAACTCATGAGCTCTCTCAGCAACAACGGCTGGGCTACTCGAGCCACCTCCTCCAAGCACAAGGTCATTGCATGGAGCATCACACTGAATTTCGTACAATGCCATACTCCAACCAAAAAATGACGGTTAAACGATCCGTTCTCAGCCCATGCTCTGTAAATTCGCACTTTTTCTGTATTTCGTGAGAAATGAACTGACTTCTCTAGCCGATTCGCAGCGTAGTGTGCAGTGATTCTCCGGGATGGCTGCTCCAGAAAATCCTTATCCTCTGCCGCATTTCTCGTTCTCCACCAATAACGTCCGACGTAGGAGAAGAGCAGGCCGCTCAGACACCCAGCGTTGTCTTCCGAACTTGGAGGCAGCCCCTCGACTCCTTCGGTTTCTGCTTTCTTTCTCTTTTTTCCTACTTTCACATTGCTTGCCAAACTCTGAAAATTTCCCAAGATTCACAATTGGATTCTAAAAAAAGGGATGGGAGAATTTACAAAAATATCTGGGACAGGTGTAAATCGGAATCAATTCAGTTTACCCTTTAGAATGAATGGTGCCTATTACAAGAACAATAGGTATTTGGATGACAAGAATACAAAGTGAACGCTGAATGGAAAGTCTGTTTACTGGACAATAGGCTTGACTTTGAAAACATTTGTACTGACTTCGTTCTTAGGGAATCCAGAGATCCTTGAAGAAGGTGAGAAAAATAATGCTGACCTGTGGTACGCTCTTCTCGATTAGCGGAACGCGATGCTCTTTGTTCAGCTGCTCTGCCGATGTTCTCGGATCTGATATTGACATCAGACGTAGCTGAAACCTCATATTCCGAGTAGTCTCAAAAGGGAGCAGAAGAATTTCGTTCCCAAGAGGGCGGGGCTTCTCGAAACATTACCTTGCTTTGCACAAACACATAACAAGAGGACAGAAAAAACAAAGGGGAACTGGTAAACAGACCCATCTGTGGATGAGGGGAATGGTGTTTTGCGAGATGGGGCCTTAGTCAGACGAGAGAAAAACTACTGATTCAAGTTTTTAAGAGTGCTCGCACAAAATACATGTGAGCCACCATTTCGTGGTTTTCCGCAGAGCAATCCCAAAAATTACTTCTGGACAATTATGGTGAGTGCATCTGTGAAATGTGCACGCAAAGTTCATGTAGAAAATTTTCGTTGTTAGCGGGAAATTAGGAAAGAGATAGAGAGAAAAATTGAGGAGACATATCCAATGTAACCGGCTACAATAAAAATCACATGATACTCAAGAAAACATTTATTATACAAACAGAATTCATCAATCAGAGTGCAGAAAGTCTCAGCCGCACTGGAGCTAGAAGAAGAGAAGGAGAAGAAGAAGAAGATAAATGACTATTCGTCAGCGGTATCGTTCTCCCATATCTGGTGCAATTTTTCAAAGAAAACCAAGACTCCAGAAGATTTCGGAAAAAAGAAGCTCAGACATCTCAATCTTAGACTTGGTCACAATTCAACTCAAGAACCCTCACAATTCAAGTACTGGTGTTTCAGTTTTGCGAGAACTTCAATCAAGCAGCAAAGCTTGGCGTTCGAAAGCAAAAAACAACACATCGTGGGCAACAGACCACCAAGTGAGAAACACCTGTCGCTGGTCACGACGGGATAATTTCATAAGCTGTTACCCCGAAGAACTTTCCAGACAATAATGGCTATGAATAGCCAGAAGGGTTCTCCAGAAAGTCCGCCACATTTCAGAGAACGCTAGATTGCTCTGACAAAAATTGAAAACAAGATCATGTGTTGGAATAAACATCATTCAGAAGATCCACAATTTGAAAGCAATTTTGTACATGTGAATGCTCAAGATAAAGTGTGCTCAGGTATAGTTTGATCGAGTGTAGTTCCAGCAAGTTGTAGTGTTTAGGTTGTTCATAAATAAATGCTTTCATAACAGTTCGCTCGGCCCAAAGGTTTGTTTAAAACAATGATCCGGTGCAAAGTCCACTCTGCCAAATCTTCTCACATTTCAGAATTTTCAATAGAAACCAATGTTTGAAATTATACGTTGTCGTCGGTTTACCCCAAAGTGCAAGAAGGAGACGGCGAAGACGCACAACACACACACACACACACAGGCAAATCCATCCGTAAATGTGCGCGGGTAAGGCGAGCAGCCAGTTAGAGCAAGTGTGAGCACCAGAAACAAAAGCATTGCTCAACCGACTAATGACACGTTACACCGCCTTCTGACAATTTTCAGAAACGAGTCCACTTAAAAGAACCAAAAATGAAGAGGGAAGGAGAACTGACGTTGGGCAGCGTGTGGCCTGACTCGGAGCAGCTCACGCGCGGAACATCAAGAGAGCGTCTAGTCAAATGAAGACAACAGAAAGAGGATAGCCTTACTGCATCTGCGTCTTACTCTACGAACATTTGAAAAGAGGGTATCGGTGTGATGATGAGTCGCGGCAAAATGTTTGCCTTCCGCAAATTTCAAAAAGTTCGAGCGAACGTTGCAACAAGAACAAATGGATTGGAAGCAACAACAGACGGTATTGTGTCCACCGAACTGTAGGTGACAACAGCTTTCATTGTTGCTTTTTTTTCGACTTCTTTTTTCATACTTTACTTTGTCACCTTCAGCTATCTAATCGCGGAAACGAAAAACAGAGAAGAAAACGGGAGAACTTGAGTTCGAAGGCACATGCTTTCTCACTGGCGGCCCGTCTTCCTCTTCTCATGCACTAGCACGTATAATGGGCTGCTTGGTGTTCTGCGCGGCGAGCAAAGCGCAAAAAGACGTCTAGCTCGAGAGTGTTCATGATATTGGAGAACCTCCGTGCTCACATCGTACTACAAACTAATGAATTATTCTGAAAATAAAACTCTCAGAGCGTTACTGACGGCAAAAAGTCCAGTTTATGTTTCCGAGTAGTCATAAATCGTTGCATTCTCGTTGTCTAATTCGAATACGGGGTAACGACAATGCACGCAATTGTCCAATGAGTTATAATTCATGTGCTTTCGTGAAGTGGGAGAAATGAGAGAAAATGTTGGCGCCGGTTGAAAATGAGGAACAATTGCGAGAGACAGAGAGGCAGAAAATTTAAAAGACGGCTCGAGGGCTGAACTTGACGAAACGGATTAGAGTCGGACAAAAACGAAAGTACTGAACGCCAGGGTAAATGTACGACTATTGAAGGGAATGCTCGGATGTGAAGTGCTCCGCGAGAGGAGGTGTTGTGCTCCGGCAGGCGAATGTCGAATCTGTTACTAGGTTACATTTGGTTCCCCTTTTCTAATGAATGCACGTGAGCTTCCGAAGTGTTTTGGTGGTGTGGACTTTTTTATTTGATTTCAGTTTCCATACTGGGCCCAAAATAAAAAATATCGATTTTTAATTATCATGAAATATTCGCTGAATTCACTATTATCATCCACTACATTCTTTATATTTGCTGTTCAAACCAAACTTCACAAAAAATTTGGAACCCTTCACGAATCATGCTAATCTTCTCTGTACTGTTCCAAATTTTAGTATACACAGGCAAACCGGCGTGGGTAAGATCAGGTCCACCGGCGGGTCGGCGAGGGTGAGTTTGGTACATATTTCGGCACGAACGTTTGGCCCACATGAGACCCTTATTTGAAACACGGGCGGCCAGGGGCTTTGCTTGCTTGGTATTTCGGGTACTCCTCGTATTTTGATGGTCTCCTTAGAAAAACAAGAGTCCCTCTCAGACCTCCAGGAAAAACAAGGATGCCCTTAAGAAAACAAGGGATCCTAGTAGTCGGACGTGGTCAAAAATGCAATTGTTTTCAAATTTGATTTCTTTGTTTGTAGATTTTTTTATGTGTGTTGCCCTATTTGAAATTTTTGCGGTCCCGCCTCCTCCAGCTTTGTGATCGTCATCTAAAGGGGCGTGGTGACGGTGAAGCACGGCCGAGTGTGCGGGATTTCACTGTCAGTGACAGTGAAATTTCGTTCATTAACGTTCATTAACCATCTCTCGCTTTCTTCCTTTGATCCGACGTTATTGCAATGCAAGAAGTCAGCTCTCTCTCTTCCTCCCTCTGACGTTATTGCTATGCAAGAAGTCAAACTCTTAACCAAATCTCTCTCTTCCTCTCTCCGACATTATTGCTTTGCAAGAAGTCAAACTCTTAACCAAGAACGAACGAAGAATGGAACTCCTCGGTAAAAGTCCGCAACTTTTATCTAAACCTTACACAACTTGTCTTTTAAAACTGCGTAAAGTTTGCACTCTGAACACTCTGAAAGCAAAGTTTGCATTTTGAACACTCTGAAAAATAAAAGGGCATAAACTTCTAATACAGTGCTTACGGTATGTACAAGATTGATGTTTTTCAGTTTCCCACACAATCAACAATTGCAACTCCGAGCAATCCAAAAACTTTGGCCCCATCAAGCAGCGGAGATCCGTAGTCGAAAAAAGTTACAGACAGACCCCGAATTGCGGGGCCAGTTGTGGGTCTTTTCTTTGTCCTCGCGCTCATTTTTCCCAGTTCGCCCGCATTTCACACGCACTTCATCTTCACCGGTTGTCCGTTTATCCGCGAATGACTACAAATTGAATGTGGTCCAAATAAGGCTCTGATTTCAGCCTCCCCGCTCGTTTGCCCACGCCTCGCCCTCATTTCACCCACGCCGGGTTGCCTGTGTGCCTGTGTTCTCGGAAGAACACGACTGACCGGATTGCGTGCGCTTATATACCCCATACCACTCTCTCAGCAGCCGACGTTTCACTGGGTAAGGCGGTCGGCCGACCCCGCGGGCAGGCAGAGATTGCGCTGCCGGCGAGGGAGCGGAGACGGCAGACAGTGGTAGAATGAGCGAGAGAGTGCGCGCAGACAGCACGACAGGTGGGTCTCGCAACGAAAGGCAGCAACGGAGGCCACGGCCACGACCACGACGAAAGACCAGTGGTTTATCGGTCTTTTCTGTATATTGATGGTCTCGCAGACACTTGTCGAGTATCATTCATTCGTTCATTCCATGCTCAGTTTGCTCGCGCACTCCTCTTATAATTGTTCTCGCGCATTTCAGTTGCAAAATATTATTTATCTGATTTCAGGAATGGCCGCTGTTGACGTCAACCAAACAATCACCGGACACAAGTCCGCCTTCATCCGCAACTACAACACCAACCCAAGACTGATCTACCAGACCGTCTCTGGAGTCAACGGACCGCTTGTCATCCTCAATGATGTGAAGTTCCCCCAATTCTCCGAGATCGTCAAGATCACCCTTCCGGACGGCTCCAAGAGATCGGGACAGGTTCTTGAAATCACCAAGAACAAGGCCGTCGTCCAGGTGTTCGAGGGAACCTCTGGAATTGACGCCAAGAACACCATCTGCGAGTTCACAGGAGATATCTTGCGTACTCCAGTGTCGGAGGACATGCTCGGCCGTATCTTCAACGGATCTGGAAAGGCCATCGACAAGGGACCACCAGTTCTTGCCGAGGACTTCTTAGACATCAACGGACAGCCAATCAACCCATGGTCCCGTATCTACCCGGAGGAAATGATCCAGACCGGAATCTCCGCCATCGACGTCATGAACTCCATTGCCCGTGGACAGGTACATTATTTCAGAACAGTTTTCAGGAGTTAATCGCCTTTCCTTTTCAGAAGATTCCAATTTTCTCTGCTGCCGGTCTTCCTCACAATGAAATCGCCGCCCAGATTGTGCGTCAAGGAGGTCTCGTCCAGCTTCCGGACAAGCCACATGAGCAAACCAACTTTGCCATTGTCTTCGGAGCCATGGGAGTCAACATGGAGACTGCTCGTTTCTTCAAGCAGGATTTCGAGGAGAATGGATCCATGGAGAATGTGTGCCTCTTCCTTAACTTGGCCAACGACCCGACCATCGAGCGTATCATTACTCCACGTATCGCCCTCACCGCCGCCGAATTCCTCGCTTACCAGTGCGAGAAGCATGTGCTCGTTGTCTTGACTGACATGTCCTCATACGCCGAAGCTCTTCGTGAGGTGTCTGCTGCCCGTGAAGAAGTGCCCGGTCGTCGTGGTTTCCCCGGATACATGTACACTGATTTGGCCACCATCTACGAGCGTGCCGGACGTGTCGAAGGCAGAGACGGATCTATCACTCAGATTCCAATCCTTACCATGCCCAACGACGATATTACTCACCCGATTCCTGATTTGACTGGATACATTACTGAGGGACAGATCTACGTCGATCGTCAGCTTCACAATCGTCTTCTCTACCCACCAATCAACGTGCTTCCATCTCTTTCTCGTCTCATGAAGTCCGCTATCGGAGAGGGAATGACAAGAGAGGACCACTCTGATGTGTCCAACCAGCTCTACGCTTGTTACGCTATCGGAAAGGACGTGCAGGCTATGAAGGCCGTCGTCGGAGAGGAAGCCCTGTCTTCTGATGACTTGCTCTACCTCGAATTCCTCATCAAGTTCGAGAAGAACTTCATCTCCCAAGGTATAACAGAGCTCTTTTCAGTGATGGATGAATAATGATCGATTTCAGGACACTACGAGAACCGTACGGTCTTCGAGTCGCTCGACATCGGATGGCAACTCCTCCGTATCTTCCCACGTGAGATGCTCAAGCGTATCCCGGAGAGCACCCTCGAAAAGTACTACCCACGTGGTGGAGCCGCCAAGGAATAGGCTATTTTGGAACCAACATGACCACCCAATCTTGTCCCTCCATTCCATTCCACGCGATACTCTTCCTTGCACTTGATTTCGTTTCAAGTCAACCATGTTTGATTTAATTGTCCAGTAGTCTATATACGAAAGCATGCTCCCCATGCGATCCCCCCCCCCCAAACCACCTCGTGATATTTTCTCTCGTCAACTAGATGTGAATATAATCCACTTTTCGTATTATGTTAGTGAACCCCCCGCCTGAAACCGATTGTTGTAATCATTCACTTATGAATCGCAATGAGATGTGGTGCGTACTCGCATTACCGTGATAGCTTGAATTTTATCGTTGTTTTCCTTTCCAGAAGCAATATTAGGTTTTTTGTAATTAAGTGAATAAATAAGCTATCACAAAACAACGATTAAGATCAAAGGTCTTATTAAGAAGAGTAAAAACGCAGAGACGTTTAGACATCAATCACATTTGCAGGATCGTTGTCGTCGTAGTTGTTCTGTCGGCCCGGAATTCCTTCTAAGTTCTTCATTAGAGTCTCCATTGCATCTGATGTCTGAAGGAACCATGTTTGAAGGAATCAACTGCACTTTCTGCTTACTGGATCTATGTTGATGGCAGGAAGTCTCCGGCTACTCGCACTACCAGTTCGGCCGTGGATTTGTGGCTGTTCCACCTGAAACACTTTCTTCAGTTTTTCATTATTCTCCTGATAATATCATAAACCCACGTCAATTTTCGGAATTTCCTTCGCCGGTTCACGCTTGTCCAGTGTTTTGGTGACGTAGCTCATAAGACGTTGCGCTGCAAATGGCTCATAAAATTAAGAAGCAAGCGGCGCAAACTAACAGAATCGTCTTTTGCTTAATGTGGTTTGAGTTTCCGACTCGTCTTCGCTGTCCGTGTCGAAATTCGGCGAACTCCTGACAATCGATCGTCGAGTTCTCTAAAAGTGGCAGATATTGATTAAAACACCGAGTCAAAATTCACCTGGTCGAATGTTGAATTCCTTCGCTGTTCATGGAATGAGCACCATATTTTGAGGAGGCACAAGATGAGTCCGGTGGTCAGAGACGCAAAGAAAATGAGAATAACGAGGAAAACAACGAGTCCATAAATGGAATGGTCGGTGTAATCAACGAGTTCAGTAGTCGTTTCCATCTGGAAAATGAGAATGAATGAGTGGATGACCATGTGCATGAGCACAACGGAAATGAATCGGAGAAGAGGAAGTTTTTGATGATCAGGAAAGGATTACTGACGATTTGGACTTCGCGGGGATTATCTAAATGTAGAAGTTCGGTGTTTTCAAAAACAAGAAAATACGCTGGAGTGGTGACCGGAAAACTGAAAATTCGAGAGAAAACGAGATGCACTCATCGAATTGAGTTGTTTTGAGAAGCATTGCTTCTTGAACAACAGATAGGACACAGGCCCTTTTGTTCTATTTGATGTATCAAAGATTTTTTGAAGTTCTAAATGATTCATTTGGGCTCTGATGTCTGATGAAATTGACATACTGCTCCTCTGACCAACGGCATACTCACCTTAACAATGAACTTGTTACATGGACTGTCAACAGGTATCATGCCGTCTCATCTCGGCCTGCAACAAAACAAAAATATGAAAATGGGGTTGGGACGCAAATGGAAACGAAAATTCTAATGAGAAAGATGTCAGATGGAAAAGTTGGGAGAAGCAAGTGGGCGGGCAAACGAGCGGGTGTCAGATTTTTTGAGAAAGGAAGTGTCGAAGATGATGACGACAACATTTGTGTGTGCGTGTATTCGCCAGAAAAAGAAGGTCCTATTGAACCGATTTGGGGGTCGCCCCGGCCTTTTCCTACAACTTTCGCCTCGTTTGTGGCGTATTCACTCGGTGGCACAAGTTTATTTGTAGACATTTGTGACATCAATCCGTCATCGAATGTTTGGCGAGAGATGAGTGATGAGACAAATTTGGAGAAAAGAAGAAGAACATCATGCATAAGGAAAAGAAGATGCTTCTTTCGAAACGATCACGAAAAGAGCACTGCTAGATGAATCGTTGTAAACCATTGGAAATTCCGAATGCGAATGCGAAGAATCTAAAATTTCGTGGCTGAGAATGAGACAAGTGGAAAACATCTTGAAAAAAAGGAAACAGCCATTCTCAAGATTTTCAGTCTTGCCGCTGAATTAGCTGAATTTTGTATGTAGTGGAGATTGCGTGACGGCAAAAAAAAACGCTAGTAATCTGATTTCAAGAACGAGTGGCGAGATTTTCATCGGGTAATTCAATTTAAGTGTATACAAATGGAACACCGCGCCGATGGAAAGGTTTTTGGAATCACAGAAGTATATGTTTGAGGAAATGTGTCATCCGAGATACACGCGAGATAATTGACCACGTAGAAGATGAACAAACGGAAAGCACTCGTATCGACGATTCGAAAATGTGGCTAATTTGCTCAATCGCACATCGCTCCGTTTCACTAACAATTTCCAAAATGTCAAGACCGTGAGCAAGGGGTTTTTGTCGATTGCAATCGAGTGAATCAGCCACATTTTGAAGACTACAGCAACCAGCCCAATATGTTTTTGACTCACTCTGTGCGGTTTGACTCTTGTCATCACTGTCAGATCACTATTGATTTCTCTCCCTTTTAGAAATGTCTGATTGTCTTTGCTATCACTTTGTTCGCAGCATTTGTTCCAGAGGTGACTCACCGTCATCTCTCCTACCAAACATTCGCTTTCCGGCTGCCTGACGGAAAAAACATTGAGTGCTACATATTGTTTTTTATCACTTTCCTCTCCGCCTTTTCTTTAAATTTTCTCCTACTCAATAAATTGTATCAAGTAAAATTTTCCTCATCGAAGCATTTCAGTGAAGCAATGGCAATAATTCCGCGCGAGCAGCAGCTGGCGGAGTATCTTCTCAACATGCCCATGTGTATTTTCTGCAGCAGTTTCCACAGATCAGAGACATGCGACCGTCTGACGGACACCGTTTCGAGAATACTGCATCTTCTGCACAGAGGACTGTGTCTTGTATGCATCAGCCACCACGTTTCCCTTCCGTGCCCAAGATCAAGAATCATCTGTGCAATGTGCAATCACATGAGTCATCACGTCTCCATTTGCTATCAGAACGACATGCCGAGAGACGATATCGTGGACATTTACGAGGATGAGCTCGAGGACGACTATGAAAAGTGATTTGTTAGTTTTTTTTACAAATATGTGATTATTTTTACTATATTTTGAGATAATAAACAAAATTAAGCTTTAAAAGCGTTTTTAGTTTGCAATTCTCGTTTTTTTCACCAGCGGTCAGAACTAGGCATCTCTTCAAATGCCAGAAAAAAATGAGAAAGAAATATTTTAATATTTAAAAAGTGCTACAATCTAGTCATTTCTGACTTTACCGCGACTGTAACAGGTTGTCAAGTTGCCCCAACTGTCTAAATTACTTCGTTTGGCCATATTCATTCAATTGAGTCGTGGTGAGTCTCGCGAAACGCAATGATTATATTTCAGTGCAGCTCTTCTGAGAGCATCCTCGACCGAACCACACTTTTGTCAACCCATTATTAACTTTTTCTTCTTCTCACTTAGATTATTTTTAGCTACGCTCGTTTAAAACAGGCTCTATTCATTCTCAATCAAGTAATTATGATACTATATAAAACAAACATTATTCAATCGATATGCTACTGGATCGCCTCATGGCAGAAGATTAGTATCCGGAATGTCATTCTCCTTCATCGCTGCGGACGTCGTCGGTCCGTACACGGCGTCTCCAACTCCTCGCAAGAAGTCGCTAATCGGAGCCATGTCCTTTGTGTTGCTCGATCCTCCTTTCACCTTCTTCACATTGCTTCTGCGCGTTCTAGTATTGCGTTTGAGCACGTTGAACGGACGAGCCTTTCCGTACGCTTTCCAGTAAATCGCGCACGGGCTGCAGAGAAGGTTCCAATTCTCGTCGCGTTTCCAGGCGGTAGTCCACGTCACGTTGCAGTTGTAACAGTGTTTCGCATAGAGATCGCTCTGGGCAAGACGTGAGGATCGAGCCGGCTCCGTGAAGATCGGAAGAGTCGTAGACGCCGTTTCATGCTTGGAGATCACAGGAGAGGCCAAGTGGAACGGCTGCGGGTTGGGAGAGGCGGTCTCAGGGCTCAACTCTCCGGAAGCATCCGACTCGACTTTGCCCGTCTCGAAATCGGTGAAAACACTCTTAGCTGGTGACGAAGGGGTTGAAGACTCTTCAGAAAATCCTAGTCTCGGAGAATTCGGAGACTCGGTCCGTTCCAGAATGGCCTTTGTCATCTGAAAACATAAAGCGTGAGTTAATGAGAAATATATCAATGAAGTCCAAATGGTCTGCCTATTGTTCAAAATCAAAATGAATAACTTACATGGTACACGCATGCTTGATACTTCCGGCATCCTTCACATTTCGAATCCGATATCATTTTGTCAAAGCTGACCATCACTACCCTGGAATTAACTTTTCATAACACTTGATCAAAACTAGCAGTTTTTGGAGAACAGGAGGAAAACAGAGGAAAGAAAAAAAAACAGCGAAACGATTTTGAAATTATGTTACAAAGTGACTGAAAATCAATAGCGATAAGCTGAAACCAAGTGGAAGAGTCGTCGCAGATAGATGGCAAACCGAAATATTCGAGGAGAATAAGATTAAAAGGAATGGGTTGATTCTTCAGCTACTTGCCAACACATACAAAAAAAGATCATCATTTTACATATGCTCGTGCCGGATTCATTTTAGACAAGACTCTGTGAGTGAAGAAGTTGTGCCTTAGTTTCGATTTCGGACTCTTCCATCGGTAAACGTGGCTCCGTCTAGTACGTGTAGAGTTTGAGTGTAGAAAGAAGTCATTGGGATTTATGTCTACTTTGTTGGCTAACAATTTGAGTGAAAACTTATTATCTAAATGTGAGCGGCGAGTTTCTAGTGATTCGAGATTAAATTGACGGCAACGTTCACTAGCGTTTATGTAGTTTGGCGAATCTCGAGGTACAAAAGCTCCTATTTTCCGTAACCGAAGTTTACGAGAGAAGTTACTCTGAACCTGTTCAATTTCTCTTATCGTAGCTTTCTTAGAAGGACATATGTATGCCGCATTCAAAAATGGGCCAAACGAAGGTTTTGAATAAAAGAGTCATCAGGCTCGGTGAATAAAAGGTTCGTCAAGAGGGTTGTAGTCCACAAACATATCCCGCTTAGCACATGTTCGACGATTCAGTCACATTACACCTAAAACTATTAAAGGACCAGGGAACCCAAAAATTTTTTGATTGTTTTGTGAAATGTTTTTGTGACTGTTTGAATTGTCTCTTATTGCCTCATACATTGGTGAAATGCTGCCTCTCAAAAATGCCAATGAACGAAACGGCATGCAGTTGAAGTTGTGGCCGTGGCCTAGCGCCAATGGCCGAAAAATATATAAAAATATACGCGCTTCTCGGCCATTTTATTTTTTCCGCTTTTTTACCGGTTTTTTTCCAAAAATTCACGGTTTCTCCCATTTTGGCACTTCATATCGACTGAATGAAAACAATTTTTTAGCAGTGAAAAAATAAGTAAGTGCCGAACAAATGTCAATCAACTGAAAAATAGGAGAAACCGTGAATTTTTGTAAAAAAACCGGTAAAAAAGCGGAAAAAATAAAATGGCCGAGAAGCGCATATATTTATATATATTTTTCGGCCATTGGCGCTAGGCCACGGCCACAACTTCAACTGCATGCCGTTTCGTTCAATGGCATTTTTGAGAGGCAGCATTTCACCAGTGTATGAGGCAATAAAAGACAATTCAAACGGTCACAAAAACATTTCACAAAAAAATCAAAAAATTTTTGGGTTCCCTGGTCCTTTAACCTCTTTGCTGAAAATGGGAGAAAGGACTTTCTTTCCGACTTCCGATTTCCGGATGAACTTTTCTCTTTTCCACTTCCGACTTCCGATTCTAGAAACATGACCTGGGGTAAGGTCGGAACAAAAGGTATGGCACAAAGGTACAAGCAAAAAACATCTATGAGCTCCCAGAAAGCATTATATGGGAATACTTCCTAGTCATTCTCATTATTCGGTTGAAATTTCCGAAAACTGCTAGAGAACAGAGAAGAAAATAGTTTTTGCTTCCTAAATTTTTCGAAATAAGCGCAAACGCAGAAACAATGGTTTCTAATTGAGTTCTGCTTACAGCAAACAGACTTACGAGATGACGGACTGAATAGCAACTTGCAGTTTGGCCAATATTGATTGACTGGAATAGGGACAAATGAAGAAATGCGCGGAATGAGCGTGGGGTTGACCTGTCGGGGGTTAAATGGCGACAAGGGACTGTTGAGAGATGAGAGAGTGTGAGACAGTTAGCTGGCCGAGTGAGAGACTGTGGAGGTGCAGCAGACAGAGGGACGGGAGGCCGGATGCGCATGTCACGCGAATTATTGAATTTGTGAAGAAAATGTTTCAAGTTTTCGTATTTGTATCCTTTCCCAATTATCCATAAAAATTTGAATCAATCAGTGACCATCTCACATGAGGCGATGGCATTTTCTGTTTTTTTAAGTTTTAGAATCAATTTGACAGCTCAAACTTTTGTTGTGGCCCTTTTGTTTTGTAATGTACAATTAAGCTTCCAAAAACGTTCCGAACGTATTCTCTTGTTTTTCTTCGATCAAAACGCCCGTAACCTCACGGGCATCCCCCTCGCTCTGTCCGTGTCTCCGCCGCTGCCACAGTCTCTCTGCTAACTGTTTCACACTCTCTCGTCTTTCAACAGTCCCTTCTACCACGTATTAAAATATGGCGTGATTCCATTGCAAGCATCTTTTTTTGTGAAAAAACTAATAATTTTGTCAATTTGGTGGAGATATGTGGATGCAGGTGCTGCGGTGGGGATGTGAAGAAAATGATAGCGAAAGTTACTTCTTCTGACAGAGGTCGGCAAGCTGATCACTCTCATACCCTTTGTTGCGTTTGTTCATGTTTCTTCCCAATAAAATTGCTCACTCTTCAATTGCTCAAAAAGGCATGCAAATAACCCATTCAGAGATCTGCCAACCCATCAAATCCATTTGGTGACAGGTCTATGCACATCTACCCACATCTGCCTCTGTTTCACTCCGACGACTCGCCGAGTCTGTACAATTGTAACGCAGATTTCGATTTGTTTTGAAACAAATTGGTGTCTTTACTACGTGCTGGCTACGGATTTCTTTTTTCACACTAGTTCAGCTTCACTTTTTTGTTCAATTTTGTGTCAAAACACTGATCACGTTTCATCTAAAATTATCAAAGAATCAGAAGAAAGCCTTTGTGGACTAATTAAATTCGAAGAGAAAGTGGTTGAAACTTCGCAAAAAATGAAGAAATCCGTGTCCACTTGTTGCACTTTTAGACCACCGTATGTGCTGCGAGCGACGTTGCGCGCAACGGAAAAGTGGAGGGCGAGTGGACAAGTGTACATTTTCTCGCTGAGAATGCAGAATTGACGTTTATTGCCACTCTCCCTTTACCATTATCACAGCCGAAATCATTCTCTAAAATACTTTTTCAAATAAAAGTTGTATCGAGAATTTGAATTAGTTCCCTGAAAAATAGAAAAAACTACTTCAGACGCCAAAATATTTTATTATAGTTGTCCATTTTCCAAAACATTTGATACAAATCAGTTGAAAATTATTACAAAAATAGGGGTGAAAAGAAGAAGGAATCGGAAATGGGACAAATAGAACAGAGAAAGGGCGTTCGTATTAATTGCGATCATTTGCACAAGAAAGGACAGAGAGACGGTCATTACCAAAAAAAAAGCGTATGAACGTCTGACAAACAGCAAGTGCATAAAGGGGAAACCAACGGTTGTACTCGTGTGGGGGAGAACTAAACAGAGGAAAAAAACGTACTGAAAAGGGATTCTACAATAAAGTTGCCTGCTGAAAACGGAAAAAGAATAGTTCATCGGGACAGAGCACAGAAAAAGGGGAAGAAACCAAGGACCATGTTTTTGGATGGTTTTTTTTGTGTAATCCATTGTTTTTGTCCAGATTTTTCGTTTTTGTAGAACTGGGATTGGATAGAAATTGATTCTAAAATGGGAGGCTCTTGGTTTGCTCACAATTTAGAGCAATAAATTACATCCGACAGAGGTGGAGAGATTTCAAAAGGCGTGGGGAGAGGAGAGGAAAAGGGCAGAAGTGTAGGGTTTTCGACTAAAAATTACCAGTTGACGTAGGTGCACTAGTGGAATGGGGGAATGACTGGAAAATCAAACAACCATCACGAGAGAATGACGAGAAAACAAAACAGACCAGGAAGACAAGAGGGGAGCCAGAAGCAAGAAAAAGAGAAGACAGAAAAGTGATTACAAGAGCGGGAAAAGGGTACATGGGGCGAATAAATGACAATTTTGATAGGATTGCAACAGGAAATTACCGAAATTAATAGATTTTTCGAATTATGAAAAGAGTGCGATGAAGTGATTAATTAAAAGCTCGAGACAGATGAGAGGGGTCCATGAATGGGTTCGGAATCAGGCCAGCCACCGTCTTGGCGTCGAATAGCTGGGGCATAGGGAAGTATTGAACGTTGGGCAGTTGAGCGTCAAAGTTCGTCGGAGGTATCACAATTTCCTCTGACTTATTTGCCGTTCCAGCCCCAAGATTTTCGTTGCGGACCGGATTCATTGCTCCTGTTCTTGTGGTACTTCCACTGTTGCTGGATCTGAATAAAATCACGATTAACTATTGTTTTTGTCATCCTTACTATTACCCTGCACCATTGCTATCCTCGTCACTCGACAAAGTGATGACTGATGGAGCAGGGGAGTTTTTCTTGAGGGGCACTGGCACTGGCACTTGTATTTGAACGGGCGCGGGCTTCGGCTTCACATTTCCGTTGATCATCGACTGAGCACGTTGCTGAGCTTGTTGTTGTTGCTGTGCAGCCATTGCCAGTTGCCACGTGGGATTCTCTTCCGGCATAATCACCGGATTCCCATTGAAATTGCCTGGCATCGTTAGAAACGAGAATGTTTGCGGTGTGGTACCAAACATCTGATTCAGCGGCGTGATCTGCGGAACTGCAGTCTGTGGTGCTCGCATCATGTCATTTGCGAGAACGGCGAACTGTTGTGCGGCCCCTGGTGGCCACTGTCCCTGAAGCATTGATGGATCCATTATTGGGACCGGTACAAACTGCGGAACCATATGACTCGGGGTGGCCAGGGATAAAAAATGAGGCGGACGAGCGGCAAACGGGTGCTCTGAAAGTGAATAGCATGTTTACCAATCCAAAGAAAATCTGGAGACTTACGTAATTGATATTGGAATAGCGGAGGCGGCGGCATGGGCTGATAGAAAAACTGAGCAGCTGTTGCAGCGTTACCAGCGGCTGCAATTTGAGTGTAATGGTGCATCAAATTGGTGAGATCAGGTTGAGTCTGCACGGGCGGAAGGTTCGTCGGCTGAAGACCGTTCATCGAAGCCGGAAGCACAGCGATCATTGGCTGCGGCATCTTCGGCGGCTGTGGTTTTTCGGCTGGAGTGATCGGAGTTGCGACATTCGGCACACGGTATGGAGTTGGCATTGTTTGCTGTCCGTTCTTGCGACAAATCTCCATTTTCTTGTGACCCTCGTGGACATAATTCGTAAAACCGTATCCGGTGAGGTGAGTCATTGTCACAAATTTGGTATCCAATCCTTCAGCGGGAGCCATGCGGAATTCGGGGTTCAGCACGAGCATTTTCTTGAGCACATCAACAAACTCCTGTCGGTCGATACGATCGCAGAGATGCTCAACTGGGTCCGATTCGAATCCATAAGAGACGCGGCAAATATCATCGAGAACGTTGAAGATGTACTTGCGCGTCTCCTTGGATTTGGCGGATGTCGACGACGTCTCGTATTCCTCGACCGTTTTTAAACGATAGTATGTGCCTCCGACACTCGCGTGATTCGGACTGTCTGATTTGACTTCCTTGAAGAATCTGTGCAGCTTGGAAGCGCTCTCAAGCATGGTCGATGGAGGAACACCTTGAGTTTGAATAATGAATCTGGAAATTAAATATGAGAATTTAGTCGTGTGCACCCAATTGCTTACCTAATCTGATCATATTCAGAGCTTCCTGGGTAGAGCGGCCAGCCCAAGAACAGCTCAGCAATAACACATCCCAAAGACCACATATCAATCGCCTCGTTGAATGGAAGTCCAAGAATGATTTCAGGGGCACTGCAAAATTGAACTTTATTCGAAGCAATTAGTGTCGAATTCTTACCGGTAGTATCTGCTTTGCAGATATGTGTTAGTGACTGCCTTGCTTCGATGCGAAGCACTTCCAAAGTCGATGACTTTGACACGGTATGGCTGTTGTTGAGGGTCAACAAGCATGATGTTCTCTGGCTTCAGATCCGCGTGAATCAAGCCAAGAGTTTTCAATTTGAGAAGAGCTGTGAGTACTTGGAACATAATCGGACGTATCGCGCTTAGCGGTAGCGGCATGAACTTGTTCTGTTTTAGAAAGTCGTAAAGATTCTGCTCGAGCATCTCGAATACGAGACACGTGTGACTTTTGTGGTTGAAACATTCGAAAGCTCGCACAAAGTTGTACTCTTCCGAGTTTTCGTTGCTCAGCCGGGAGAGGATCGACACTTCGATCTGCCCTTGTCGTGCGTAGCTCGGATGTTTCTTCAGAATTTTGATGGCAACGATCTCGCTTGTGCCTTTCTTCCACGCTTTCACAACTTGTCCGAATGTGCCTTTGCCAAGGAATTCGAGTACTTCGTATTGGTTGCCGTAAGGAGAACATAGCACTTCATTTTTGATGAGCTAAAAGAAGATTTGTATACTAACGAGCTATGTTTTTTCTTGACCAACCTGATATTCTCCTTCTCCAGACAATTTTCCACGAGTAGTTGTTTTTGTCGTGGTCGTGACTGATTGCGGCGCCATCTTGCTTGCGGACCCGAGCGTATCCACAGGCAAAGACGGTTGCTTACCAGGTAACGCCGTCGCCTTGGCTAGCACACAAGTCTGTGAGGGGATTGCCGCGACTTTCTCAAATTATTCCGATTATTTATTGTTATTCGACTGCAATAATGTTACCAGCTCATCCGGTCGCCGCTTTGGTCCGCGGATCTCGTTGTCGGAGGCCGAGGCCGGAACTCTCTGGAAAAAAATGATAAGCACGGTTAAGAGTTGGAATGAAAATAATTTAGGATTGCAGAAACTAACAATGGTCGACTCGCTTGATGATCTCGTTCTTTTTCTAATTCTTCGGAACCCCATGAGAAAACGATGAAGAATAGACAGTGAATGAGCTGGGGAGACGCAGACAACGAACGTGGAGGCAGAATACGAGAGGGCAGTGATGGTAGGTGAAGATGGCTACCTCTGTCACCCTCCCAGCCCTCTTAGAACCCCCCTTACGTTTGCTCGTGGGAGGCCACCGAGGCGATTCGATTACTACGGTAGAACTGCAAGTGATTGTGGTAATAAAGGATTATATTTCTGGTTGCGGACCACTAAATGCGGTTGCGAACGAGTGACGGAGATTAGGATTATGAAGGATAACTATGTTCAGACAGAAAGCGATCAGTTTTGATTGAAACCTAACAAATACGAATAGATGGAAAACTTATAAAAGAAGAAAAAAGGCTAGAGGGTCCAGAATTGCGTCATGGGACCCGAGATCCTTCTTTCGTGATAGGAGAATGACTGATGGATAACCATTAACAATGCTAATGTACTGGAGTGAGAATTTATTTTCACTTTTCTCCCCTCCCCCCGCTTTCCTTCTTCCTAATTTTTTCGCAAAGCGTGAGGGAGATCCGAAAAGAACTGGCAACGAATGTAATGAAAGAGGGGGAATTTCAAACAGATAAAATCACTGAACATGTCTCACATCTCGGACTACTTTCAACCCGTTTCGCCAAAAGGGCAGACAGTTCTCACGTCCACATTCGTTTGATTCAGCGTTGTTAGGCGCCGACCTATCAAATTTCATTTTTTGGGAATTTGAGAACCAATCTGACGGCAGAGAAATAGGTTTTGACGACAGAAACTGGACTTCGACTCCGTATCAAGTCTTGGGCAATCACTTTCGATCATCAAACGGCAAAGGACACATTCGAGAAACCAACACGTAACCGCAAGGTCTGGTTTGGAGTGCGTCGAAACAGATAAACGGGTGTTCGATAGGATAAGATAAAAGTTGCGAAAGATCGATTGTCTGCGAGAGGAAGAAAGAAAACCCGTCAATACTATCCTTTGTCAACATTGTTATCAGTCCGCTCGCATTCAGTAATATTCACTCACTCTCTCGTTACACCTCCGTTAGTGATCAAATTAAGATGCTCCCAAAGAACTAAAGCTGAGGAATCTCTTTTCCGTGTTTCCTATGTGAGTTTCGTTTTTCTCGTAACTTCTCTCCTATCACGCCGCACTAAGAGTTTGACTCTTCCGTATCAAACATGCCACTCCGCTCCTATCTCTCTCGCTAACGTTTACCTTTTAGTCAAACGCCTGATACTTTCAATGTTTGAAACCAGTTTTTGTTCCGTTTTTGAGAGATGTCATCAAAAAATACTGATTTCTGCTCTCGTCATGTCGAAACATGTTTTTATGATTATATATGAGAGGAAAGTTGGGCGAAGCGTAGTCGACGTCTGCGTGCACTCACCCGAAATCCAAGAAAATAAAATCCCGATATGATTATGGAAGACTCGGCAATAAAAAAAGCCTCCTTCTTCCGTACAGCCTCTTTTCAATGTCACCTACGGCTGCCTAATCAAATTTCTTATTGTTTAGCAAGGAGCGGAGAACAAAAGCTGACTATACAATACAAAAAAAGGGAAGCCAAATGTTATGTAACGGTCCAATTCTTCTCTCGCGCTTGTGACATAGAAAAAGGATCGCACACTCAGTGTGGAGTGAAAACGTCGGCGTCCAGAAGACAAAAGAGATAAATTCTCATAGAGACTGCCAATTGACCGCATCTAGGTGGAAAGAGTCAAACAGGTGACACTGTCGCAGTGTGCGCACAAAAACTGACTTCACTCAATTAGAAGTCTGGAGCAGTTGGTTTTGTGTGAAGTGCAACTGATTCGAATTACACATGAGAGAGGAGTGTTAAGAAGAAGGGGAGAAGGAGGCGAGCATTTTAATATATTAAATGGAAATATCTTTTTTTTTTAATTCACGAAACTTTGTGGGTGACTAATTCTAGGAAGAGGAATAGGAGAGCTCGGGCGGATTTTGTAAGACACCTTGAGAATTAAAAGATAAACACTGATCGGAACAGATTTCAAAAGTGGTTTTTGGTTTCTGATCAATCCGGCCCCTTGTGGTCCCGCGTTTTTTTTTGAAAGTAATTGTTACGAAGACACTAACCGGGACAGTGTCAAAAGGATTGTGCAGGGTTGGGTTGTAAGAGGACAGGAGAATAGATGGCGGGCCCAAGATCCTGAGAGCCTCGTCGATTGTCTTTGGTGTCTTCGAATTTGTTTCCGTCGAATGTCCGGAAATCTTGCGCTTTGGCATCGCCACCTATCAGGCAATCGATAGGATCAGGAAAGCAGTCGTCTCTGACGCCTCCTGGTCACTCCTTGATGCTGTTCTCGCCGTCTTGCCGACCTCCGCCAATTGGCACCTTCCTTCAACTATTCGCCAAATTTTCAGTTTTCAGTGTCCTCCTTTTGCCTGCTTTTCGGAGTGAAAACGCTTGAATACTCTGCAAACAGCAGAGATTCCCGACCCGTCTCCTGAAAAAAAGAAGATTGTTGAGAGAAACGTGACAAGAGTTGATAAGAGAAATTAAAGTAAGATAGGAGAAAGAGAGGTTGGGCGAAGAAAAGCGCGATTCAGACAATCGTCATGACGTGGAACGGAGTGAGAAGTCGATAAAGCAAAAACAAAAAACAGGGTTACTGCTGAGTCACTTCACAAAAATTTTTAGGAGTTGAGGAGAGGACGCGAGAAGAGAAGAGAAGAAACAGAGCAACGGGAAATTGAATAAATGTGAAGAAATGAACCACATGTTTGTGAGAAAAAGGAATCTGGAGGCTCATCTCAAAATAAGAACTTATTTCTTCTTCTCTTTTCTCTTATTTTTCTTCTTCTTCTACTTCTTTTCAGCGCAAAGAACTCGAGATGTCTCTCACATGAATATGAAGTCGGATTAGTAGGCGGATAACCCTGTTGAAAGTGTGATTGCATGTTTAGCGGGGATGAGCAAGGCACTACACAAATGGGAAGCTCGGCAGAATTAGTGATGTTGATACCGATTCCAGTTATTGTTATTCTCGCAGAGCGCCCGCCTTCTATATAATACCGGGGGGAAGATTGTGCCATGGACCGACTAATAATAAGCAAGAAAGCGGCGATGAGGGAATATTATGTTATTAATACTAATACTAATACAGCTGTATTCTATTCTATTTTGATTTTGACAGCCACAGCCACAGATGGTGGAACAATTACCAAAGGAAGGTGTCCGTTGAAAATAGGAGTGTTGATACTGATAATGATACTGAAACCCGATCCGACTTTTGCTGTGGGACATGTACGCCTTCTGAAGCAATCACAAAAGGGACGCCGCCTTCTCTTCCGAACGATGTCGTCCCGCGATTCCCTTCCTTTCCGGGTTTTCTCGTCAAGTGCCAATCGATATGATGTGTTTGGCCGTCTTCAGCGTCGTTTTTCTTCGTTTCCCTCAGCCAACGACAACGATGATGGTGGTGGTGGTTTCGTTTGACTGACGGCAAAAATGAAAATATTTTTCACACTCCCAGACTAGACCACCGCATAGTTGGGTGGTTGGTTGGGAGGCCAATGGCGCAAGTCAGCACTCCCCATCTGCTCCGCTTGGCGCCCGCCTTCTTTCCCGCGGCTAGACGTGATTGTGGTCGCCTAGCGATCTAGAAAACACATGTCACCACGAAAAATGCACACATTACAGTAATCCCCCCGTGGCACGAGACGGGTTCGATCGTAGAACAAAAAGGCTTTTATGGTGATTGATCGATGCAATTGGTTCTGAGAAGAAAAAGGAATAAAACAGCGGAGTGGACCAACGCATGCATTTTGGAGAAAGGAAATGGTTGGGGCGGGAGGCAGGCGACACAATTTTTTGCTCAGCCGGTTCGCAATGGTAGAACTAGTTGAGCGCTCGAATTATTTGAAGATTATCTGCCACCAACAAAAATTCGAAATTTCCATTCCCCTCTCAATTAATTTCGAGATCGACTGGTCCATGTCGATTTGTTTCTCCTTCAAGTTCCATTTTTCTGTATCAAGAACACGGGGGTAAAGAGATTTTGAGCCAACTTAAGAGTATGACTAACCCTTTAATTGAGCATTGTCAAATGGATATAAATGGACGATGACGTGTTTTCAGATGATGTTCTATATTCAACTGATGTCAGCCGTTGGCTCCGGATGAAGTAGGCGCCTGCTCCTGTGGGCGGAGCCTGGCGGGCCCATCATTGACTAGCATCTCCTTATGAAGAACGAAGTCCGAGTGAAATGAAACTCTGATACTTTTGTAGAGGGAGTACAATTCTGTGTGACTCAGGACGGACAGACGAAATAATCAAGAATGTCTCCGATAGTGGAGGTGGGACGTTTGCCGGGAAGAAAGAGATTGTTGACATGGAGCAGCAAGAATTTTTGAGGCAATCAATAGCAGTACTAAACTTCCTCTACCCTAGCAAATGACTTCGTGACGAGAATAGGCGAGGAATTAGAATTAAATGTCCAAAGTCATGAATATGGATTAAAATTAATTTAACATTCCTGATTGGCATTCACAATCCGAAAAAGGAATTTTAAAAGACTGCCCTTTGACAGATTTGAAAGTAAATGAGAAGAGAAACCTTTGCGATATGACGAGAGATGAGAACGGAGAGACTTGTTTTTTGATAAAAGTCATAAAGGCGATGTGGCCAACTGGCCTAAAAAACTAGTGCTCGCCACCTGACTGAGTGCTTCCTGTCGCGGCAAATTAGTCTGACGATGGCGCAGTCCATCGGGCGGAAGAAACCGCTCCGCAGAGGAAATCGGATTCGATTCGTATGCAAAGAAGATGTCGGCCACAGACAAAACCGATTGAATACGAGCGAGGCGGACTAATGTCTGAAGGGAACAGCAGATGTTGGCGCCGGCTAGTGCTCCCCGAAGAGGACGATTTGGGCGCACCCTGCCTGTAAGACACCCGACGTTTATTGCAGCGCGGAGGGCCATTTTATGACATTTGCGAGCGAGAAATTGATTTCAAGAGACGGAAAAGGGGCTCAGATGTTCGAATGGAAATTTGGAACCTAGGGGCCATTGAAAATTTTGATATTGTATAATGGTTAGATTAAGGCATTGTTGGAACCGGAATGAAGTCTACAGCAAAACAATGTACAGTATGCCAGTCCCTCTCAATACAATAGTGACTACTCTTCTGTTAATACCACTACTACGACTACTATTCCCTCAACTACAGCGCCTGGGCAAAACAGAGGAGGCAGTTTCTGAGGCAGTCCACTTAGAAAACCCAGCCTAACAACGTTCTTTCTTTACAACTAGGACCAAATGTCGAGACTAAGAAGACGACCCGGATGAGGTACAGTTCGACTCGTCCAGTTTCTAATCATGACTAACTACAGTAAGAACGGGCAACAAAAAACTAAAGAATGGTTTTATGACGCCAAAATGAGATTGGCAATTTTGGGGAGAGGGATTACTTCTTTTAGGGGAGTGAACCGATGGTATGTAACCAAGATAAGGGTAGAGAACTGTAGACCATATGATCGCGGAGATGGCTAGACGTTATCACGGAATAGGGAGCGGACGACGGGCACTTGACAACGTCTTGGAGCTATCATGGCGACCGGCGGCAGAAAAACGAGGGTCCCAGAGCCGGCGCGTGACACAGCCTTCTAAGGGTCCAACCACACAGCCAGAGGGGTGGAGCAATAATGGCACCGCGGACAACGTCACCAAATACGGGCTGAAGACACACAAGTATCAGTTGAGTCTTTTTAAACTATCCCGCAAACATAGCCTTACCAAGAACCGCAATAGATTGATGTACAGTATTCGCTTAGATTTTCATCTGATTCAAACATTTTTGTAGAATACGATTCAAGGTGACTTGACGTTCACTTTACGGTAAAATCATCGACAGACTAAAGCTTCCATCCCACTGGCAAGGCCGTTCCGCTGAGAAGCAAAATTAGATCGTATTCAAGGCTGTGCGCTCGGCGGAAGACGATAGAGTACTGTCCCTGCCGCCACGAAGAAGACCTCGTTCCTTTAAATCGCCAAAAATCATCAAGAAACGCCATCTAACAATGGAACGGGGGAAAGAAGAAGAGCCTCCGGAAAAACAACCTCCGGAAAAACATAGTGACTAAATGTTGGTCCGGTTGCTTAGCAGTTCGCATCGAACTTGGTGACAGCTGAAAAAGGAATTAGAAATTCAAATAACCAATTAAAGTGCTGAAAATGCGATTGCGGTTTCCAATCCACCGTTTCCCTCTACTTCCGAATTTCCTTCCAGGAAATGTGATGTTAACATTGATAGCATTCCATAAAAAATAAAGAGTAAAAGAAAAGAGATGACTCATGCTTTAATTTCCCAGAAAACTAAACTTTGTAAAGGATTAGAGAGTAGCAGTGTTATGTGAAGAATTGGATGCATTTCGTATCAATCCGTGTTCAGTGTTGTCGAAATTCCCATTTCAGCTCTGAAGATGTCGACATTTCCCAGTCAAATACTTCTAAATCCGTTCCCGTTTTCCCAAATCCTTTCCAATAATTGTTTGTAAGTCTTGTTTTATCTACGTTTCTTCTCTACGTGTGATTATTACCTTGAGATTTCATTATGTTTGCTGACTCACCCATGCCTACTGTAGCTTCAATGAAGATTCAGAAGTCCAGCACGTGGGCAGTGGGTGAGAAAAAGAAACGAGCGTGGTGAGGGGTAGTTTTTGTGCTGTAGATTCTAAATGGGGGACCTACCAGGGTGCGACACCCGTCTCCCGTTACTCTTCATTTCTTTTCATCGCGGATTCAGATGTGGGCTTCGGCGAGAATAGTCTAAGGGGTGGGTAGGCAGTCGAACGACAATCGACATTTTGATCGAAGCCCTCAATCGAAATAGTGTGCGGGCCACAGAGACGCAAACATTCGCCATCACTCCCTAGAGACAGTTGTGCGAGAAGAGAGCGCAGAGTGTATAGTGTGCGGCCCCCAGAGACGTCGGTCGGTTAGAGAAGCGACACAAACGTCGCTTTTGGGAGATGTATACATACGGCCGTCTTGTTCGCTGTGGGTGGTCAGAGACCCACAACGGTTCAAGAGACGCAGAGAATCATCGATAAGTGGCTTCGTTGTAGTGCGAGACACATCGACGCAGACAGGCCAGAGAGCTTTGTGTGCCCAGTTGGCGACACAGAAAATAGTGAGAGAAAAGGAGAAGCGTAAACAGATAGACAGGACGAGGGAAGGAAGGAAAGACACCGATGCGGAAGGCGAGAGGGGACAAGATGAGA